CCAGAGATTTCTTTGGTTTTTTCGAACTTCTGGGCTGCTTTTGGTGTACTGTCGTTGGCTGATTTGGTTCTGTCTCACTTAGTAGACTCGTCAGAGTGGTAGTAGTGGTAGTTGATGTTCCAGGCTGAGTACCATTATTCTAGAAAATGAACACATGCATTTGAATAGATAGAGAGTATAGCTCTTAAAACTTATCGTTAACAAACTATGAGCTGAATCTATAGAAGAAAACAGGAACAAGTGAAACAGCAATATCAATTGATTCTGCAAAGTTGTCTACGTAAGCGAGTAACTTAAAAACCAATGCAAAATCAATGAACTACGCACTTCTTTATTCGATTTCAGGTGAAAAAACCAAATTCTTAAAATCTTCACTAATTCTGACAATGAGTTAACCTCAGCTCATAAAGCTCACCAAGTTTGAAACGAGAAGTTTTTGTAACAAATCAAGGAGCTGTTGTTGATCCAAAGCGGGTTGTGAAGACATACTGAAAGGTTTTTGTATTCAGGCAGAAAAGTTACAAATTAAACAGAAGGCCATGTACCGATAACAGAAGAGAAACCGTACGTTTTATATCAATTCAGCGTCATTAACTTTTTTCTTACTCTTAGAATTTCGTGCTGCAATTCAAAAATTCTTTTGAAAATTTTCTAATCAGCAATAAACAACGATATTTTTGAGTTTTTCAACTCTTTTGCAAGAATATTAGAACTCAAAATATTTTGAACTCGTGATCAGAAAACGTCAAAATGAGGTATATTAACTGCCTCACATAATCAACATCAATAACAACAATTCTGCAGCAGTTTTTGAGTGTTCTGATAACCGCTTTTGTTTGTGGCTTTAAGTTACATTGACCGACAAAATATTCTGCTACATCGGGGCTCAGAGTTGCCGAACGAGCCGCCGAATTCTTGTGAGCTTTTGAGTGTGTGAAATTGGCGTGTGAAACAATTTTGCTTTAGTTCATTTTCCAGGAAGAAAAATCTCCACGAAGAAGAGCTTCACTCGATGCAATTGCCTTTGCATACGCAAAGCATCATTTTTGGTTCCTCAACTTCTCGCCCCCTAGAAACCTGCAAAACCGAAGCTTTTATAAATCTGTCAAAAGCCTGTTCGAGAGAATAAATAGACATTTTTATTGGTGAAAACTGTAGATTAATTGGTATACTAGTTATTTCTAAAAAATGCAATGAATAAGTGTACCAACTTTCAAGTTGCCAATCTAATAAAACAATGCGCGGTCTCACTCATTAAACTCATTGATAGTGCTGTGAAAACGAGGAAAATGTGTGTTTTTCGCATACAATTTATGCATTTAAATTGAGCGAGAATTTGTCATTTGAGATAGCAGGGAAAACACGGAGAAAGGTTGATAAGAACTTGCATCTCTTTTTTAGCAGAAGAAGCCCAAAAAACATGTTCAGTTTAGTTTTTTTGAACTGCACAAACATTTCCGGTCATACTTTTCATCGTGCTTCATTGTTATAGAAGAAGACATTTATAATCTTTGTGGTAGCCTCTCACACTTTTCTTTGACTTTGCTTTACATCTTTAAAAATCCGTAACTTCACTAGTAACCAATACTATAGCCCTCACAAGAATTCGGCGGCTCGTTCGGCAACTCTCAGCCCCGATGTAGCAGAATGTTTTGTCGGTCAATGTAACTTAAAGCCACAAACAAAAGCGGTTATCAGAACACTCAAAAGAATAAACTGCTGCAGAATTGTTGTGATTGATGTGTGATTATGTGAGGCAGTTAATATACCTCATTTTGACGTTTTCTGATCACGAGTTCAAAATAGTTTGAGTTCTAATATTCTTGCAAAAGAGTTGAAAAACGCAAGATTCTCGTTGTTTGTGTTTGCTGATTAGAAAATTTTCGAAAGAATTTTTGAGTTGCAGCACAAAATTCTAAGAGTAAGAAAAAAGTTCATGACGCTGAATAGCTATAAGACGGACCGTTTCTCCTGTGTTATCGGTACGTGGCTTTCTGTTTAATTTGCAACTTTTTTCTTGGTTAAGCAAATAATTGGTATTGTTCGTAAATTAGTGAAGAGATTCTGACAAATCAATGGAATGAGAAGATTCATTCCATAACTGGTTCAATGAATCCTGAACTGTTTCGTGTTCAGTTGAAAGTTCAATCATTGCTCTTGCTTGCATACTTTTGAAAAGTTAGTCCAAAGTGAATCCAATAGATGAAAGTTGAAAAAAGACTACAACTAATCAATTTTAATTACAGTTGAAGAAGTAGAAGTCTTCTCAATCGTTGCTCGATAAGTAAGAAGAACTCAAGGATGGATCAAGTTATTTATCCCCAGAAGGAACCTCAAAAATAGCTTTATCCATCCTTTTCTCCAAAAGATCCAAGTTCATCCGCGTCACAAAATGATGAGTCATCGTGACGAAATCCGGGGAAAAAACCCTTCTTTACCTCTTTTCCCTTTTCTCTTTGCTTATCCAAAGGAAATTGAATCGAGTGACGCTCTTTTTCGTGGAGATTTTTCTTCCTGGAAAATGAACTAATGCAAAATTGTTTCGCACGTCAATTTCACAGACTCAAAAGCTCACAAATAAACATAAGTTACTCACATTTATGTCATTTTTCTGACAATTTGTGATTATTCGCAAGATTATAGATAAATATTAACGGAATCAATGCTTACTCACGCTAATAAAAAAAAATATGGATCCGACGTGACACTTTCAACATGACAGCGACCCAAAACACACAAGCCCAAAACAAGATGATGGACCAAAAAGTGAAGATATCAAATCGTCGTTTTATTCGTTTTCCGGGCTGGTTTCGCATTAATAACGTTTACCGTATTTTCTGTAATAGTAGTGCGCACTACTATTTTTTCAATCCCTCTCCAGCCTGCACTACTATTACAGAAAATACGGTATCTGCTTCGAACTCCGCCTTATTCTCCCGATTGCAACCCTATTGAGCATTTAAGGGCTCACATCAAACAAGAGAACATCACTTTTTCTCAAATCTTTGGGAGGTTCAAGAGATTTGGAATGGAATTCCAATATCTACTCTGAACGAGTTGATCGAAAGTATGCCGAGACGAATGGATGCAATCATTCGTCTCGGCATACTTTCGATTGAATGGTCCAACAAAATATTGAATTGAATTCTTCTTTTTTCGATAGTTTGGGGGGTCCAAACTTTCTTTTTTGTTGTCCAAACGTTTTTGCAAATATTGTGTACATACATATTTTTTTTGCCCGTTAAATAGACTTTACAATTCAAAACTTTGTATAACATTACGAAGCTTAGTTCTTCTAGTTTCTAGAAATTTAAAGAGGATTTAAAAGCTCACAAATAAACATAAGTTACTCACATTTATGTCATTTTTCTGACAATTTGTGATTATTTGCAAGATTATAGATAAATATTAACGGAGTCTCACTAATAAAAAATATGGATCCGACGTGACACTTTCAACATGACAGCGACCCAAAACACACAAGCGGTTTGATGATGGGCCGAAAAGTGAGATATAAAATCGTCGTTTTATTCGTTCTCCGGGCTGGTTTCGCATTAATAACGTTTATCTGCTTCGAACACCGCCTTATTCTCCCGATTGCAACCCTATTGAGCATTTATGGGCTCACATGTAACGAAAGTCGAGAGAACATCACTTTTTATCAAATCTTTGGGATAAGAGGTTCAAGAGATTTGGAATGGAATTCACTCTCAACGAATTGATCGAAAGTATGCCGAGACGAATCGATGCAATCGTTAAATATTGAATGATCCAACAAAATATTGAATTGAATCCTTGTTTTTTTGATAGGTGCCCCCCAAACTTGTTTCCTCGGGTTTTTACAGATATAGTGTACATACATATTTTTTTTTGCTCGTTATATAGACTTTGCAATTCAAAACTTTGTATAACATTACGAAGCTTAGTTCTTCTAGTTTCTAGAAATTTAGAACGGATTCAAAAAGCACAACTTCTGATTTCTGCTTTGTCCGTTCAAACTAGTTTTGTTATAATTTTGCAGCCTCAATTCTTTTTTATCAAACTATACAAAGTAAAATATAATAGCATTGCTAAAAAAGTTTTGTGCCTTTAAAACCGGGTTATTCTTTCAAGAGATCCCTAAACTACACAAAAGTCGAATACATTTTGAAGATCTGAGCACAAAATGGCTCCATTTGTTTTTAAAATATTTTAAAATCCGTTCTAACTAAAGCGATATTCAAACAAGTTTGTCTAATATTTAACCAAGCCAACTGTAGTTCTCGAAAATAAGTCCAAAGCACTTTAAATCCTTGTTGAAAAAGAAAGAACTAACGAATCAACTTTTAGTAAGACTCCACTCAATGTCAAAAAAGTTTAATGACAAGACTGGCTTTAAAATAATAAGAGAAAAGTATATGTTTATTGTTCACAAATAAAACAAATGAACCATGAAAAAATGAATTCAATTAGAACAATTGCAAAAAAGGGCTTTAAGCTTTGGGACTCTCGTGACAAAATTCCAAATCTTCTTCCCGTTATCATAAGTCCACCTGCAAATTTGAATTTAAAAAGGTAAAAGATTTTCTTGTTACGATTACTTTGAAATAAACAGCAGTCGTTAAGTCAGCGCTAGGTGTATACTATTGAACCCCTTATGGCATGTTGCTATTTTGCTTTATTTCTCTGAAAATTGCAGCACAAAATTCTATATCTATTCAGTGTCATGAACTTTTTTCTTACTCTTAGAATTTTGTGCTGCAATTCACAAATTCTTTCGAAAATTTTCTAGTCAGGGTTGTAAAAGAGTTGAAAAACTCAAGGGTCTCGTTTTTTGTTGCTGATTAAAAAATTTCGAAAGAATTTTTGAATTGCAGCACAAAATTCTAAGAGTAAGAAAAAAGATAATGACGCTGAATAGATATGCAACCGACCATTTCTCTTCTATTATAGGTACATGGCTTTCTGTTTAATTTGTGTTTAATTTCAACTTTTCTGCCTGAATACAAAAACGTTTCAGTATGTATTCACAACCCGCTTTGGATCAACAACAGCTCCTTGATTTGTTACAAAAACTTGTCGATTCAAACCTGGTGAGCTTTATGAGCCGAGGTTAACTCATTGTCAGAATTAGTGAAGATTTTAAGAATTTGGTTTTTTCACATGAAATCGAATAAAGAAGTGCGTAGTTCATTGATTTTGCATTGGTTTTTAAGTTACTCGCTTACGTAGACAACTTTACAGAATCAATTGATATTGCTGTTTCACTTGTTCCTGTTTTCTTCTATAGATTCAGCTCATAGTTTGTTAACGATAAGTTTTAAGAGCTATACTCTCTATCTATTCAAATGCATGTGTTCATTTTCTAGAATAATGGTACTCAGCCTGGAACACCAACTACCACTACTACCACTCTGACGAGTCTACTAAGTGAGACAGAACCAAATCAGCCAACGACAGTACACCAAAAGCAGCCCAGAAGTTCGAAAAAACCAAAGAAATCTCTGGATGAAAAGAAAAAGAGAAAGGAATCTAAAGAAGTGAGTCGGGCAGAACAACTCAAAGTAGTCAGATTATGATAATCGAAGGTTTTATCTTACGATTAGCGATATCCTAGGCAGGCTTGTTTATTGGTGATTTCATAATATTGAAACCTAAGCGAGCAAAATATGAACATAGTCTTTTCCGTTGAGAAAAAAACGTTGAGTTTTTAGAGCGACACGAAAACAGCTGTGGAGTCTAATCAGAAGAGCAATGAGATAACGCAAATTTCGAGCACCAAAGAGCCAATAAAACTAAAGAAAAGCCTAGCCGAGAAGGACACTTTGATCAAAAAGGATCGACATGAGCAACCAAGTGAAGTAGGCATTGTGAAAACAAATTCAAACGTGACTAACTGCACTAACTAGTAGCTTTAAACTAGAGATGCTTATGGCTTACCGTTAAGTGCCTTAACATTAACGGTAGATAGACCGTTTGGAACAATTTTTGAAGCAGAAAGTATGTTCTGATTTGTTCTAAAAACAGCTAACAAGTTAAGAAAAACTTGTCTACTACCAAAAACCAAAGTATCGCTTGTCGTTTATCGTTAGTTTACCGTTAATATTACAATTACACATCTCATCTCTAAACTATTCTAACTTTTAGAGCCACATGCTAAGTAAAGTCAACACGTAGTTTAGGGTTTTTCTTTCATACTTTTAGTTCACGGTTTTTTTCAGACCAATGACTTTCAAACTGAATCGAGTAGTAAAGGAAAAGCAACAAAACCGAAACGTCTGAAAAAAGAAGAAACTCAACGAGGAAGACAGGTTAGTTACTACTCTTGCTCTTCACTAGTTGAGTTTATCGACAGGGATATCCATGACAGCGATAATCCAGAGACGGATGACTGAGAAGTTATTAGATTTTGGACCTTAAAATACTTTTAGGTACATGCATAAGAAATGCGGATTTTGATCCAAAAAGTTTTAGAATATTTAACAATTCATTTACAACTTCAATCGTATAATTTCGCAAGCTCATGACCAGTAAAACGTGGATTTTCTTCAATTTTTTTTGGCGTAAATCCTCGCCATCAATGGTGAGAGAATGGTGGCCATGTTCTTCGCCATGTAGATCCTCGTTACCGTTGCGGAACTTTTTAAACCATCGGCCGCATTCATTTTCAGAAATAATGTCTGGTCCAAAGACACAAGCAAGCGTTTTATGGCATTCAACAGCGTTCTTTCCCTGCTTGAAGCCGTAGAGCATACATACACGGACGCGATACTTGAGGTCCTCGATCTCTAATATAAAAAGTATAGGAGCAGAAAATATCAATTGACAGGCAATAGAAACTACTTAAACCTGGCTAGAAAAATGCAAAAAGAATCAGATAAAAATGCTGAACATATAATGAGATACAAGCTTTCAAAGTTTCTCGGCATTTCTTACGCATGTACCTAATATTTGTTGAAAGTTGAAGTGATACAAGGGATAATTACCGTAAAAACTCTAATAGAAGAGCATGCTCTTCTATTTTTCAACCCTCCCCCCCAAAGGGCTCTTCTATTTTTACACATCTTTTCAAGGATTTTGTCAAACAAAAAAGCCACTTTTTACAAATTTTAATATAAACTTTGGCAGTAAATCACCATTTCAAAGCGCAACTTTTTAATTAATTAATTCATGTAATATAAACAAATAATAAACATTAATAACTTAAATAACAATAGATTAACAATTTCAAATGAAACAATGTTTGAATCATTAACATTTTAACATTCGAAGAATTGGCCTTTGGCCAGGATTTCAACGTCGCTGTCCATGAATTCGTTTTTCACATCCTCATTCAGGTCGATTTGCTCAAGCAATTCACCGCAAATTTGATCAGTTCGTGCACTCGAAAGTTTCAACAGTCCAGTTGGAATCGGGTCGTCCGTGCCAAAACAGTGGATTTGTCGTTCTCGGATCCACCAACATCGTTTGCAATTCCACAACTCTTGAAAGACTTTTCAATCAACTTCTTTGGAATACTTTTCCAAGCATTCACGATCCACTGTAGGTAAACGTCTATCGGGGGTGCCCTCAGATTGCCAGCCTTTGTCTTCTCGTGGTCACCATCCATCATCCACTCGTCGTAGAAGTGACGGATCTTTGCTTGGAATGGGTGATTCAAAGAAACGTCAACCGGTTGGATGAATTTCGTCTTTCCTCCGGACACCACAGCCGCATCCAACTTGAGCGACTTGAGCTTCTTTTTTGTGTCGGCGCTGATGTGCCATCGGAATGAGTCCCAAACGAGCAGTCGCTTCTTGAACGAAATTGATCCAAACGTCCCTTCCAAGTAGATTGATGTGAGCATGTCATCGAGCCACGTCTTTCCAGCCAAACAAGGCTGAACTCTCCCTTGAATTTCTTTTCGATGCTCGGATCGGGGCCTTTCCTGTTAAACAAGACAAGTGGGCGGCACTTGATTCCATCTGATCTTCCAGTTAACATGGCAGTGATTCTGGTCTTTTCGTGACCTGGACTCAAGACGGTGATCTCCTTGGCTCCTTTTGTTTCGACGCATTTGCCACCAAGCAGATCGAGCCCCAGTCCTGTTTCATATGCCGCATAGAACAAACCGTATCCTTCCTTTTGACGAAGCTGTGAGAGATACTTTACAAAGTTCACGATGACATCTTCGAACTCGTTTGGCGGCTTTTGAGCAATCGAAGTGGGAATTCGAAGAGAAAATCCGTTCCGTTTGAGAAACTTCTGAAGCCATCCTTCGGTGGCACCAAAATTGTTGTTGAACTCTTTGAGTGAGCCATCAGATCCAATTTTGAGAGCTTGCTTCCGAATTAAACGACGTGAAACCTTGATTTTTGCTTCTCGTTGTTCGCTAATCCACTTCAGCAACTCGGTCTCCATCTCAATCGATTTGAGATGGCGACCGACTCCCTTTAGCCGCTTTGCTTGATTTGATTCCATCTGAGCGAATTGTTTTTCCTTCATCGACCATTGTTGAATCATCGCTCATGTCACTCCGTACTTCTTTGCAGCTGCACGAACCGAGATATCTTTAGGGTGTTTGACGGCCTTTAGTTTGAAATCCTTCAAATAGGCCTTGCGGTTTCTCGTCATTTTCTTCTCCACCGGCTTCAGCGTTCTCTGAGTCGCCATCAAGCTAGCGTTTTCCCGAAAGTATTCTCGTCCCTCCTCAAAAAAATCCCTTCAGCTCGTTTTCTCGTCGATCTCGAAATTCCTCGAGTCCGTCCAAGAGCTCCCCATCATTGATTCATCATCGAACCTGAAAATAAAAGGATTAGTTATTAAAATAAACAATAAAAACAAAAAACCTAATACCAAGCAATAACTAAAAACTAACAAGAAATGATCGAATGATTCTAAGATTGTAAGATTGTAAGAAATGGTCGAGTTTTTTTAAACAAGCAAAGTTTTGTTTATCACGGGAGTACGGTAACATGGAGCCGAAAATAGAATGAAGGGGCTCTTCCATTGGAGAAGGCTCTTCTATTGGAAAGGGCTCTTCTATTAGAGTTTTTACGGTAGTCTAATTTCCATAGAAAAAAAACTTGGTGCCCGTAAAGCTGGTAGAAAATCCAGCCAAAAAAAGTATTCACAGATTTGACACTTTATTAGATAGACAATCATATTCGTTGAGCCAGACAACATTACTTAAAGTTGCAATGTTGATTTTCATAAATTTAGTATCCTGAAGCCACGATTACCAGAAAGGAAAATGGAAAAGTGGCAGCTAAATTGAACCCATTTCGAGAATTCGATTCAGACGATCCGCCAAGCCGCAAAAAAGAGTTTAACATTTTGATAATCGGCGAAACCGGGGTGGGCAAGTCAACGTGGATCAACGGAATCTCTAACTACATAAAATTTGAATCCTTTTCTGAAGCTATCTCTGAAAAAGATCCGATTTGCTTGATTCCAATGCAATTTGATGTATACAAGAGAGATATGGAAAAAAAAACAGTCAACATGCGACCAACTGTGGCGGCACGAGATGACAGAAACGAGGCCGATTCGAGCAACGGACAATCGTGCACCCAAGCTCCGAAAGTGTATAGATTTGTCACCGATACTGTTGTTTTCAACCTAATCGACACACCGGGTATCTGCGATACACGAGGAGTAGAATGCGATAGAGATAACCTGAGAATGATCGTGAAATGTTTGGCCAGTCGTGACAAAATTCATGGGATTTGTCTGCTGTTGAGGCCGAATGAGAGCCGCTTTAAGACCGCCTTTCGTTACTCGATCAAGGAACTATTGGTCAGTTTACACAAACACTCAACACCAAACTTCGCGGTCATCTTTACGAATTCTTGTAACTCTTTGTACAGACCTGGAGAAAGCATGGCCGTTTTGAATAGATTATTTGAGGAAGTGAAGGCTAAGAGTCAAAACGAGATTTCACTCACAGAAAAGAACGTCTTCTGTCTTGATAACGAAGCAATCCGAACTTTGTATGCGCTTTTTAATGGAGTTCAGTTTGCAGAGACGATTCTCGAAAACTCCTCAAAGTCCTGGAATCAGTCGGTCAAAGAAACACACCGCTTATTAAAGTATTTCACCGGCTCCACGTTCATTCCACATTTGTCAAATGAGACAAAAGTTGTAGGTGCTGTTCGGGAAATCTCGCATGATTTGTGCGAAGCTTTAGTCAATTTAGAGAACAAAATAGAGTTAGAAAAACGTCTTTTCAGCCAGCTTCAAGGCCAATTGAGAGCTTTAGACAGAAAACTCGAAGTGCCTGAGAAAACGTTGCTTGTTGAAAGTTATTATCTGGAAGAAACACCTCTAGACCTGCCAAATGTGGTGTGCCATGGAAAGGATTGTTGTGAAACTATCCGGGATTTCAGCACCGACACTTCAAAAATTTTCCATAAAAAAGTGTGCTTGGTTGGCTGCACATTGAAAAATGTCCCTGAAAATCAAATTGGGGACACGAATTTGAGGAGTTGTCCGATTTTTGACGGCTCTGGAATGTGCTCCGTCTGTAAATGCTCTTGGCAATCACATATGCATTTGCACAAGTCGCAAAAAAAAGAGCCCGGAAAAATGCAGGTGATAGCCGAGAATCCCAACGAACGAACACTTCTTCTGCACCAACGCGTTTCAAAAAATGATTCGATCGACGAAACGCAACTTAAGCTTGGCAAATTTTATGAAAGCCGCACGAAAATTCAACAGTTTACCTATCCATATTTCGAGTTTCTCAAAGAGAATGCAATTATTTTGAGGAATGATGCGTTTGAGGATTTCGCTAACGTATCGATAAAAGAACTGGAAACGACGGTAATGAGTGAAGGAAGTATTGCTGAGATGGAAAAACTTAAAAAGTTGATTACAATTCAGCGAACACAAGAAAATCTCTTAAGTGCCAAGAAATTAGTGCGAGATTCCGAGAAAATAACACTAGCCAACTACGCCGGCAGAATCGAAACACTAAAAAAAGAGCCGTGTTTTGGTGGAGAACTGAAAGCATTGATGAATTCGCGAAAATCTCTTGAATCAATGGAATTTGAAGTTGTGGAAGTGCTGCAAACAACAAATTCGTGAAAAAGAATAAGAATGACTTTTTGTTTTTGTAATAAAAATTTGCTTTACCATGTCTTTTACAATCTTTTAGCTGTTTTCACAGCTTACTACTTGTTTCTCACTTTTAAACCTTTAAGCCTTATTCTTCATTTACAGCTTCTATTATGTCAGACGATCCACTTATCAATTCGGCCAATTCATTTCTGAATAATATTGATGAGATGAACGAATTGGGCCAAGTAAGCAAGGAGTTTCGAGATTGGAATTGCTGTTAGCAACAGCCAATCTTTAGTTATAAATACAGCCTAGGCTTAAACATGTAGGCTTAAACATACAAAAACAGTTCCAGGTTGATCGTGATCTTTCTATGAACAACTTTTTCTTGGCAGAAAACGAGAAAAAGATCGTTCTCAGCAACTTAGCCGAGCCGTTTGGCGATGCAAGAGTGAAAGAGGAAGCTGATCGAAGTTTCGTTCTCCAAATCTTCCACGCACTTGAATTGGGTGAATTGGAGAAGAGGATTCAGATCATCGAACGTGAAGGCTCATTTGACCCAACAGAGGGAAGATCACCACGTCGAGTGATCGTCACTTTCACCGATGTAATCTCGCAGAAGCTCGCTGTCGAGTTTGGGCGAAAGTTGCCTTCGATTCGCTCTCTACAAGGTGTATCCCTTCAGCCCTATTTGCCGACTGTAGGTTTTCGTTTAAATGAAGTGTCTGAAAATGTTAATTTTGAGCAATGATTAAACCAAAATTTAAAAATAACGGCTCGTGATTTCAATTTAGCATCAACAACTTCATCAGCAATTGCGCCAACAAATGCACGCAAATGGGTTTAGAGATGAGCAACCGGTGAGTTCAGACAAAAATACAGATGTATACAGACAAAAAAATAGTGGTACTTAAAAATCAAGTCGTAAATTTGTGCTAAATAATGTTTTTCAGCGAATGATGACGAACCAATATGCTTGGGTGCCACAAACAAATCCTCCAACCCCGCCCTCCGATCAAACCGGTACTTATTCTAGCAAAATAATTGAGATTTCTTGTTAGCATATGCATTTAAATTTTACCCATGCTTTATTTTGAGTCGTCAAACTCTTGGTTTCTACAGATCAGTTGACAATTTAGGTATTGATATGTCTCGATTCCAACAGCCTCCACCGTCCCACTCACCTCATTTGCTTTTTCAACAAATTTCGAAAGGTCCCTATGGCCCCTATGCGCAAAATCATGAAGGTCTTTTACCATTTTTGAGTCAATTTTCCGTTTAGCATTAGTTTCACATCTCCCATCCTTTCAGGAAACCCCCGTCACATCAACATGAACCACTTGGAACCAAAGCAACCCGAGTGGACTTCTAATGCTTTTGGTACTTCAAGAGTTCTTTTTTTCTATACAAAACAAACTTTTACATCTATATATACCTTACTCTAACCTTCTCAAAAAACGACGGTCAAGTCCGCTTCCAGATCAATATGGGCCCCAATTCACGGCTCCAGCCAACATGTATCCACCAAACTACTTCACGGGACAAGCATCCTATCCTGGCCATCCACTACATCAACTAAACCCAAATCAAAACCATTTTCGTCCAGAATTTGGTAAGTTTATTAGAAAATTACCTAGACGCGGAAAAGACTATAGCTTAATAACCAGCTGCTCATACATAAAGCCGCCGTAGAGCCTGAGAGTATAACTGCTGCTCCCACCATTGTTTACGAATAAAAGCGAATCGTAATAAGTTCTCCTGTAGCTTTTGAATTCCATTGGAGAATTGCATGTAGCTTTTTATACTATTTCTTGCAGGTAATCATCCCAGTAATGATATGCACAGTCATGTGGGAGCAATGCCTTCAACATACCATCAGTTCAGTTATCATTCACCACCCAGTGTTTCTTTTGTGCTTTAAATTCTAGCCATAGTGGATAAACTACTTGGTAATTTCCTGATAACAGGGGACAGTAAAAAGAGAAAATTTCCGCAGTTTCTTCTAGGCAACAGCTGACTCATTTTAAAATACTTTATGCAAAAATTGGGCAAAAACTTTGAAAAAAAAACAAAAACAAAAACTTCCTCTTGCTCACAGCAAAGAGCCGTCAACCTTAGATCCGCCCGGGCCACAACAACCTCAACAATTCACCATGTTTGTTCCAATTCATCAGCCAAATCCACCCGTTGCACAAGGACCGCCACCTGGAAGAAATGTTGAACTACATGGAATGGCACCAAATCAACAAAACGAGAACAGGGCACAGTTTCAGACACAGGACTACAATCATGGAGTTAATCATGGCTTTTCGACAGGTAGAAATTGAGGCTTTATTTACGACCACAAGAAAAAAAGCTGAAAAAATTCTTAGTCACTATCTAGTTTACCCCGTTTAGCTGAATTCCTGAAAACAAACAATAAATGTTATCGTTCTGTGTTTAGCTACGACTTAATTAAATTACACAAATTGGTAAAAATTTTAAAAACCTTGGGATAGATTTAGCAAAATGGTAAACGTAAGCACCATATAAATATGAATCTTTGATTTTCAGGACACTTCCAACAGAACCAGGCAAACATCCCAGCACATGGTATGATGAGTGGCGAACAAGCAACGACTATTCCACAGCAACAGGAGACGACGACGATGACAAACAATCAACAACCACAACCCCAGACGCAACCACAACCACAACCACAACCACAACCACAACCACAACCACAACCACAACCCCAGACGCAACCACAACCACAGCCCCAGCCGCAACCACAACAATTTCCTCAAAGTAATGCTCCTTCAGGTGAATAGAAAGGAGTGGCACTAAAAAACAACAGATAGACGATATTTTTTATGACAGCTAGCTAAGTGCTCTTTTTTTGCATGTATTTTGACTAGAACTGTAGGTTTTTATAATAAAAACTGTATATAAATATTGGATACTTAATAAAAGATATCCTTTCAGACAATCCTTCACCTCAGCCAAACCCGGTGACGGCGGAGCCAAACACTGCAATTATGGAGCAGCTCACGGAACTACTCAGGAGTATCAGCACCCAGCAACAAAACACAAATCCAGAAGGGACAATTTTTCAGACGCTGATCGCAGCACTGCAGAAGGGGTTCTCTGGAAATCATCAAAACCCGGTGAACGAATCAGCAAATCAGCCGACGGCGCCTCAAGCATCACCAGAGCAATCAAAAGGTGAAGAAGATTATGATGAGGAAAGCGATGATCCGGAAGAGTCGGGAGAGTCGGAAGAGTCGGAAGAGTCGGAAGAGTCGGGAGAGTCGGGAGAGTCGGAAGCAGAGGGTAGTGACAATGAAACACCCGAAAGTGAAGGTGAAGAAAAACGACAAGAACCGGTAGAACAGGGACCCATCAACAACTTGTTCAAGGCGGAAGCAGAAATAGCTGAAAAAATAGAGCTCAACATTCTGGTGCTCGGCGAAACCGGAGTTGGCAAGTCAACGTGGATCAATGGAATCGCCAATTATATAACGTTCCACACATTAGAGGATGCGTTGAACGCTCGACAACCGATTTGCCTTGTCGCTAGCAAGTTCATCTTTTACGAAACCCCACAACACAGCATTGAGGTGAAGCTTGAGCCAATGCACAACCCACGAGACACGAATGAAGTTTTCGCTGAAAAAGGACAATCGTCGACCCAAGAGCCAATGATTTATCGACTCGAAACGGCCAAATATATTGTAAACTTTATTGACACTCCAGGAATTGGTGATACGAGAGGAATCGATCAGGACAAGGAAAATTCGAGAAAAATTCTTGCAGCCATTGCAAAATATACCCACCTGAACGCGATTTGCTTCCTGTTCAAAGCGAATGAGCCACGGTTGACGACAAATTTCCAGTATTGCATCAGTCAACTTCTGCTTCAACTACATGCGGACGCTGTTAACAACATCAGTTTTTTCTTCACCAATTCCCGGAGCTCTTCCTATGGGCCTGGGGAAACGATCAATCCGTTACGTGCCTTCTTAAATAACATCGAACAAAATCATGGCCATAAAATCAAGCTCAACAAGAACACAATGTTCTGCGGTGACAACGAAGCTTTTCGGCTTGTTTGTGCTAGATTTAGTGGAGCCCATATTACAAAGTCTGATTTTCAAAACTATGCTGCTAGTTGGAATCATTCAGCTGCGGAGACTCATCGCTTTATCGAATATGCCGCCAGTTGCCCATTCCATCAGGTCTCTGACACACTTTCTATCAATGAGGCGCGAATGAAAATCTATTTGTTGGCTAAGCCGTTAGCTGATGCCAATGAGCTGATCGAAACACAGATCAGTGTATTAAATGACCGAAAGAAGGACCTGGAGGGCACCGGGACGAACCTAGATGAGCTTAGGAAAAAGGCCACATATTCGCAAGTTTCCATTGAAACGAGAGCACTACCCTACCCAAAGACTGTTTGTGCTTCAGAGAAGTGCATCGAAATTATCATGATTCCGGATACCGAGCAGTACACCACTCACTACAAGCAAATCTGCCATAAAAAGTGTTATCTGAAAGGTGTCGATATTGAAAAAGTCCCAGAGCCGCATATTCAAAACTGCTCTGCAATGGGTGGACGAGGAAGGTGTCTAGCTTGCAAGTGTTCCTGGGATGTTCATCTGCATATCAACTATGAACAATACAAAACCAGGATTGAAATCGTGGATGAGAAGATGGTAGCTTTGATTGAACAAGGAGAAAATGAGACCAAAATTAAAAAGCTGGCAGTTGAGGAAACTGAAAATGTAATTAATGAAATGCGGCAGGAACAAGAGAAGATCATCAAAACCTCGTTGAGATTCGGAAGCTTTCTCCAAGCTAACACCATTTTACCATACAATGACGCTTACGAGACATACGTGAAGAAATCAATTGCTGATGAAGAAATGTATGCAACGAAAGGCGGTGATCGAAAAAAACTAGAGAATCTACGACAAGGTCTGGCCACGTATCAGCAAGAGAAGGCGATGCTCAACAAGGCAAAAGAGAACCCGATCACAGGTAGCAAGATCAAAGACATCCAGGAATAACTTATAAAGCTAACTAAGCACCTAACTAGAGCCTAGCTTGAAGCAAATTACATACAAATTACATAATTACATGAATAATATTTTATTGAATCCGATTAGTTGTTGTTAGATACGCATTTTTTATAAAATTTGATCGAATTGATCAAGGAAAAGTGGTCGAAACGATTCCTTATGAGGTAAAGCTATCATAAATGAGCAATAAGCTCTATAATCTCTATTTTTGGCCAAAAATTTTTGACATAAGAGCTGTATTTCATAAAAATAATTTTTTCATGACATCTTCTTGACACTGAGTGTTTGCTAAAATAGGTGATTCTGAAAAGTGAAAGCATTAGATCAAATTTGCCTTAATCATATATTTTCCCTATTTTAAGTACTTGATTTTAGATTTTGAATGAGACCCATTACCTATCCATTAACCCATTAAAAACTTGTCTAAAGGCTGATCACTCAAAAAGTGAACAAGTCACTTCAGTTGAAGAAATCTATTATTTTGTTATCAAGAACTTTTTCGAAATCTAGTCAAGTTTATCAAAAATTCTGAGAATTGATGACTTGGTTTTTGAGAAATCACCGTGCAAGCTTTTTCTACGAACTTTCTTGCCAATCTAATAGTACTCGATCTTTTTTCTCTTGCTTTCTTTACAATACAGTTACAGGCTACAGTATCCAATAAAAACGATATACAATAACCTTGATTTTTGAGAAATCATCGTGCAAACTTTTTCCGAGAACTTTCTTTCCAACCTAATACAAAATGAAAAAGTTTGATTTTAGGTGGTGGAAATTTGATCACTCCGGCGGAGATCGCGACGATGCAATCCGAACTCTTAGGACTGAAACACGTCGGTCAGACGCTGCAAAATCTCCTTGCGGCGACCGGTGAAGGATTTGCCACACACCAACCAAACAACATCGTTTCCTACTCAGCGCCAAAGACACTCGGAAAGTTAGTGTTTGCCGACGAAGAGCCATCGACTAGCAGTCGAGCCGAGACAAGCAATAGACAACAACGGGAAAAGTGAGTTCATAATTGAAATAAACTTTAATAGTTTATACTAGAGTGTGTTCCTCGCGAGTAAGTAATTACTCGAGTAAAATTTGCATGGGTAATCTTTACTCGATTAATCGGCGTTTTTGGCCGAGTAACTACGAGTAATCCTCTTTAGACGTCGGGTAAATTGAATATCTTTACTTGTGAAGGGAATTTGCCACCAAATCAGTTGAACGGTTGAATATCTTTAAAAGGAGTCGTATATAATGCGGGGCTCGTCATTTTTGCGTCATTTTTTTTGCAATAATTTTTGCTAAAAGTACGTTAATTTTTCTTAAGGGTGCGTTTTAAAAAAGGCATTACTCGCGAGGAACACACTCTATTATAAAGGGTTCGTTAGAACACACTCTATTAGAAAGGACAATAGACAACAACGGGAGGAGTGAGTTGATAACTGAGATAAACTTTCATAGTTGATACTGTTTCTTTTGTAAATCCCTTTTTTTATAAAATTGAATGCAAAAATTAGTAAAGTGAAGAAAATGCTTGGTGATTCAGACCTTCAACTTCCAAACCGAAGCCAAAGCCGAAGAGCCAAAAAGTGACAACTGAAACACGTGCGGCGCCATCAAAAGAAAAATCGAAAAGATCGAAAAAAGGAAATTAGTCAAATAACAATCTTCGTGCTTAAAACTTTGAATTTTTTATTTATAATACAGTCAACCTTTTCTATAGCTAACATCTCTACAGTAACGTATTAAAAAAGACTTTTTTGTTTTCTGTTTAAGAAAGGGATGCCAGCTTCCTATGCCTTTGATTGTTTGATGATTATAAAAGTACCTGGAATTGTTTTTTGTTTGTTAGAAGGTTCAATCCTACAAGTTTTTATCGATTTATTTTACATATTAATCATTTCATTGATTTTAGGACTTAGGATAAAGGTTTGAACAAATGGTATCTCACCAAAATGACTGGAATGGCGTAAAAGAAGAGGACGGCGGACATGAAGGAACTCCACGAGCTGTTAGTTTAGCAAATTTTACAAAAGTTTAAACTTTACAGTGTTCAATCAGTTCAGGCGACTTTGATGAGCTTGCGGATGTCGATGATGTGAAGAAAGAACTGGTAAATAGTCGATTTTAATGTGAAGAAAAATTGAAAAAAAGCTTAATCTCTTGTTTGATAAGTGTTGGCTTTAAAGTTAAACATATTCAAATGGTCTTTTATCTTTTTTCTTGCATTAAACTAAGTTTACTAAGCAATTCTCGTAAGGTAAATTAGAAATCTGAAATATTTCATATGAAACACTTTTTATTTCAGAAATTATAGGAAGTAAAAGAAGGGAGCGAAGAAAAATCCCAAATTGAATTGAACGACGACGGCGTTGTTGTCAGTGAAACATGCGTTGAGAGAAGCGAGAGCCATGATGAAATATCGCTTGAACATCAAAAGGAACAGAAAGAATCAAAGGCAAGTTTTCAACAATACATGAATCTTGAGTCTAAATCTTAGAATGCTTCTCCTGTTCGATCAGCCGATTCTCCAAGTGCTATGGATCTACGTAAAGATAATCTAACTCGCAGTGCTCAGAAACAAGCTCATTTGATCAATGCCATATTGCAAGAGATGTCTCTCGAGGATCAAGAATATTTCCTAGAAGAAATGGACAAATTTGTGTGGAGACAAAAAGTGGTAAGTGAAAGCAATTTTTTTGATCAAAAGCACAGTTTGTTCAGCAAAGCGTGCAAAAAACTTCAGAGAAAGAACTCGAAAAGTAGGCTTAGCAAAGGATCAATAAAAAAAACTTTTGATGATTTGAATAATTGAGAAATTTAGGTCACTAATCCCTCAGCTTTATCGCCGAAAAACGATGTTGGTGATGTTGTATCAAAGCCGACTAAAAAGGATATCAACAACGCGAGCCAACTAACAGAAAAATTGGTCGAAAAAAGCGCTTCAACGCACTCCAACGTTGATGTTCTGAGTAAAACGCCAACTCCAAGCAACATTAACATGGAAAAATATCATACGCCTACGATGGCACAAATGATTCAAGAGAAAAAAACCGAAGATCAGCCCACGAACTCAAATCAGTTAGTGGGTGCAACGAAACAGAAAGCTTCCCAAAGAAAAAGTGGGCTGGATCAAAACATTTCCGATGAGTACTCTGGCGGTATTCCACAGAGTCAAGAATTCCTCACGCAAGTACTGGAAGGTGAATCCAAGTCGACTGAAGCCTGTTCTCCCGTAAACTCTACAAGCAAAGATTTGTCCAAAACAGTTGCTCTCTCTCAACAAACTGTTGAGCATGATGTCAAGAGCAACAACATCCTTGCTGACAACAAACCATTGGCAGATGATGCTGTGAAGGTTTTGACGAATCAAGCAAAAACTCAGAGTTCTGGTCGAGAGTTTTCTGTCGCGAATGATCCTTGGAAAACTGCTGGTCGTCGTCTCAAATCTCCCCCATTACCAGTGACCTCGAATTCCGATGGGCCTTATGGACAAACAGAAAAGATAGCTCATCCAAAACATTTGAGCCAAAACAAGCCATCTTTGTCTACTAAAACAGCGTCTCAAATGTCTGAGAAAGTCGCTGAACCCATCAAGGTTCAACAGGTTCAACAGGTGAACAGGTTCAACTCAAAGACGAAAAAAATGATTAATATTTTGGTTCTCGGGCAAACCGGAGTCGGAAAGTCAACTTGTATCAATGGTTTTGTCAACTACTTGACCTATGGATCATTAGAAGAAGCTGTCGATACACCTTATTGTTTGATTCCAACAAAGTTCACATTGTTTGATGAAAACTATGAGCCCCGAGATGTGGTTTTGGGAAGTCATGATAACGAGGTTTTCTCAGATGAGGGTCAGTCCGCTACACAAGGAGCAAAAGTGTATCGCTTTGAGAAAAAAGATTTTGATGTTTATATCATTGATACACCTGGAATGGACGACACTAGAGGGATTGAACAAGACAAAGAGAACGTTCAAAAGATTTTGAAGGCCATTGCACTATTCGACGAGATTCACGCAATTTGCTTCTTGTTCAAGCCAAACAATGCTAGACTCACAACATCTTTTCGATATTCGATTGGCACTTTGCTAGAAAATTTGAGCCCATCGGCTCTCGAAAACGCTTGTTTCGTGTTCACCAACGCTCTGGGCAGCTTCTATCGACCGGGCGACACGCTGACCGCTCTTAGAGCCTACTTTCAAGAGTTGGGCACTAAGGGAAAGATTTCGGTGCAGATCACCGATCAAAATACGTTTTGTGTGGACAATGAGTCTTTCCGGTACATCTGTGCTCGTGCCAATGGAATAGAATTCACAACAGAGGAACGGCTAAGCTTTACAAAGAGCTGGACACATTCATCGGCAGAGTTTTATCGCCTTTTGAACTATGCGGCACAAATTAAGCCTCACAAAACTTTGGATACACTATCCATTAATGAAACGAGAACCTGGATTACACAGCTGATTGATCCACTTCTGAATATCAGTTCGGTGATACAGGAGAACATTCGCCAGCTCGACATTCAAAAGGAGCAGCTAGAGAAATCTGAAAGCATTGTGGAGTTGCGCCAGCTAGTCACAATTCGTATCACTACGTTGGAGAACATCAAGCTGGAAAACCCGTACATCGTTTGCTCGAGTCCGAAATGTGTTGGCTATGAGACGATCAACGGGACAGTGGCCCCGATTTATCGACAAGTTTGCCATAAAGAGTATCCATCTGTACACGCGGAAAATGAGGCCGAGCTAGCATTGCATGCCGCTTTCAAAACTGAAAACCTGTGCAAAAAGTGTGGTTGTGGCGCAGAAGCTCATCAACGAATCATCTATCAACAAAAACTCAAAGTGGTGCCGGTTGACAACCCACAAAAATTCCTTGAAAATGAGACAAACGCGAGCAAATTGAAGAAACGATTGGTTGAGAAAGTGGACGCGCTCAGATATGCCTATAACAAAGAGCTCGATTATACGTTGTTCGGAATGGCAAGATTTTCTTTGTTTCTCACTAGAAATGCAATTACAATGAGTGCAAAGGCGAATATTTTCAAACAAAGGCTTGAAAAGTTGCTCGATATCGAGCTTGCGAAAGTGTCTCGGGTGAGTCAAATAGGGAAATATACAGTAGAATTCATAAAATGTTAAACTCTCCAAAAATTTCTGAACTTTAAGCGGGACAACAAGGAAAAAGGAAATAGTTTAGAGATCAGTCGTCGCTCTAGTGCTTGCAACTTGATGAGCTTAAGAAATCCGGAGTTAATCAGGATTTGCTTGAGTTGACTCAAAAAATAGAACTTTTATTTATCAACAATCAAACCTAGTCTCTTATGGAGGGAAACTTGAAATACCCGGCCACTATTGGGGTAGTCACTAATAAGGCTTCAATGTAAATCAATTTTACAGGTGCGTGACGCTGACAGGACCAGATACAACCAACTGATTCAACTGCTCCATGTCTATTTGACGATGTATGAAAAACAGCAGAAAACGATCCAACACACTTCAATTGAAGAGTTGCAAAACATTCGACAAAAACTGTTCACCATGAGCCATTTCGGCTCAAAAATTGGGGAGGTTTTCGCCATAAACGTCGACGTTGATCATCAGAATTTTGCTGCCGAAGTCGTTCCTTGCAATAAATCGATGAGACAGTGAGTTGAAAAAAGATATTGAAAGATAGATAATTTCGATGTTTTTCTAAAGCTTCCAAAACTAAACTCATTAGCTCATTTGGCTTTGAGGAAGCTAAAACTGAAAGCAAGTAGCTTTTCGCAAAAAGATGATGATTTTCAGAAAAATAAAGCAAAATAGTAACATTCCATAAGGGGTTCAATAGTATACACCTAGCGCTGACTTAACGACTGCTGTTTATTTCAAAGTAATCGTAATAAGAAAACCTTTTACCGTTTTAAATTCAAATTTGCAGGCGGGCCCTTGATGGCGGGAAGCAGTTTTTGAAAGCTTTCTGGAATTTTCTCGTTTGATTTTGAATTTTGTCACGAGAGTCCCAAAGCTTAAAGCCCTTTTTTGCAATTGTTCTAATTGAAATGATTTTTTCATGGTTGATTTGTTTTATTTGTGAACAATAAACATGTATTCTTCTCTTATTATTTTAAAGCCAGTCTTATTATCAAACTTTCTTGGCATTGAGTGGAGTCATACTAAAAGTTGTTTCGTTAGTTCTTTCTTTTTCAACAAGGATTTAAAGTGCTTTGGAGTTATTTTCGAGAACTAAAGTTTGATTGGTTAAATATTAGACAAACTTATTGGGACATCGCTTTAGTTAGAACGGATTTTAAAATACTTTAAAAACAAATGTAGCTATTGTGCTCAGATCTTCAAAATTTGTTCGGCTTTTGTGTAGTTTAGGGATCTCTTGAAAGAATAACCCGATTTTAAACTAGAAGAACTAGAAAACTAGAAGAAGGCACAAAACTTTTTTTAGCAATGCTATTATATTTTACTTTGTATAGTTTGATAAAAAAGAATTGAGGCTGCAAAATTATAGCAAAACTAGTTTGAACGGACAAAGCAGGAAGCAGAAGTTGTGTCAGACAAAAGCTTTTAATTAGAATCGTTTAACATTTTTCCTTTGCTAATCAGTGGTGGAAAAAAAAGTATGGGGCCTCCCAGACTGTTTTTAATTTTTCTTCCAAAAAAACATTTCTATCGAAAGCTTTTTGAATCCGTTTTAAATTTCTAGAAACTAGAAGAACTAAGCTTCGTAATGTTATACAAAGTTTTGAATTGCAAAGTCTATTTAACGAGAAAATAATATGTATGTACACAATATTTGCAAAAACTGGCGGAAAAAAGTTTGGGGGACACCTATCGAAAAAAGAAGAATTCAATTCAATATTTTGTTGGATCATTCAATATTTAATGATTGCATCCATTCGTCTCGCCATACTTTCGATCAATTCGTTGAGAGTAGATATTGGAATTCTATTCCAAATCCCTTGAACCTCTTATCCCAAAGATTTGATAAAAAGTGATGTTCTCTCGAATTTCGTTGGATGTGAGCCCATAAATGCTCGGAAGAATCGAGAGAATAAGGCGGAGTTCGAAGCAGATACCGTATTTTCTGTAATAGTAGTGCAGGCTGGAGGGGGATTGAAAAAATAGTAGTGCGCACTACTATTACAGAAAATACGGTAAACGCTATTAATGCAAAACCAGTCCGGAAAACGAATATAACGACGATTTGATATCTTCACTTTTCGGCCCATCATCAAACCGCTTGTGTGTTTTGGGTCGCTGTCATGTTGAAAGTGCCACGTCGGATCCATATTTTTTTATTAGCGTGAGTTTAATTGACTGCGTTAATATTTATCTATAATCTTGCGAATAATCACAAATTGTCAGAAAAATGACATAAGTGTGAGTACATTGTGTTTATTTGTGAGCTTTTGAGTGTGTGAAATTGACGTGTAAAACAATTTTGCATTAGTTCATTTTCCAGGAAGAAAAATCTCCACGAAAAAGAGCGTCACTCGATTCAATTTCCTTTGCATAAGCAAAGAGAAAAGGGAAAAGAGGTAAAGAAGGGTTTTTCCCCGGATTTCGTCACGATGACTCATCATTTTGTGACGCGGATGAACTTGGATCTTCTATTTTTGAGGCTCCTTCTGGGAATAAATAACTTGTTCCTTGGGTTCTTCTTACTTATAGAGCAACGATTGAGAAGGCTTCTACTTCTTCAACTGTAATTAAAATTGATTAGTTATAGTTTTTTTTCAACTTTTATCTATTAGGTTGGTGCAAAAGAAATTTCGGTCGATATAAAATGTTCTTATTTTTTTAATCTGAAGAGCTTATTTGATGTTCTTTTGTGCATTTGTACTCTTGGATATTTACTTTATTTTAGCATTTTTTCAAAGTCAGAGCTTTCACTTTTTAATTGATTTTTGCTTTAGATCATGATGGATCAAAAGTATGTTCTGCGCACGTGTCTTCTCTATGACTTCAAGATGGGCAAAAACGCTGCTGATTCACATCGTGATTTCTGTTCCGCCTTTGGAGAACAGGTTATCACCGAAAGATCATGCCAGCTCTGGTTTGCCCAATTCCGAGATGGTAATGAATCCCTTGAAGACGAATCGCATGGACATCGTACCACAGCCATCGACAACAATGAATTGGAACAATTAATTGAAGCTGATCCAATGCAAACAACACGAGAACTTGCCAAACATCTCCAATGTGATCATTCAACAATTGTACGCCATTTGGAAATAATTGGAAAGACAAATCGTAATGGACAATGGGTTCCACATCAATTGAGTGTTGAGAATCTGGGAGCACGCGTTTCGATCAGCCATATCTTGCTCCATAAGTCGAAAAGAAGCCATTTTTTTGAGAATATCTTGACGATGGATGAGAAGTGGATTCACTTTGATAATACTTCTCGAAAAAGACAATGGCTGAGCAAAGGTCAAGCGCCAATTCCAACTCCAAAGCCGGATTATCATGGGCGCAAAGTGATGTTGTCTTGCTGGTGGAATATCAATGGACTTGTTCATTTTGAATTATTAGAGCCCGGAAAAACAGTCGATTCATCTTATTTTATTCAACAACTTAAGAAGGTTGACGAAATTTTGCGTGAAAAAGGCCTAAATCCCTCAACTATCAACTTTCTCCATGATAATGCTCCAGCTCACACGGCAAAAACCTCTTGTAAGGAACTAGAGAAGCTAGGATGGAAGGTCTTACCACATGCGCCGTATAGTCCAGACTTAGCACCCTCCGATTTTCACCTTTTCAGATCGATGCAACATTCCCTTGAGAATTGCCAGTTTAAGAATGCAAAAGAAGTCGAAAATTGGGTGACCAACTACTTTGCATCACAGAATCAAGCGTTCTTTGAGAAGGGGATCCGCAATCTGTAGCAACGTTGGAGGGATGTCATAGATAATAATGGTGCTTATTGTTTTAAATAAATTGTTATCTAAAAAAATTTTGGATGGCTTTAATGTTTGTAAAAAAACGAAATTTCATTTGCACCAACCTAGTATTGGATTCACTTTGGACTAACCTTTCAAAAGTATGCAAGCAATGATTAAACTTTCAACTGAACACGAAACAGTTCAGGATTCATTGAACCAGTTATGGAATGAATCTTCTCATTCCATTGATTTGTCAGAATCTCTTCAGTAATTTACGAACAATACCAATTATTTGTTTAAACAAGAAATTTTCTTTCCAGATTTGTACCTGAATTGTGATCGTCGTTCACGGTGATCGATTGTTTTGTCTCGATTGTCAATCTCGATCGATTGTTTTGTCTATTTTCCGAGAAAAAGACTAAAGCTTTTGTTAAAGCTTGGTTTGTATTCGGTTCTCATAAAAATTTCATTTACTGATAAACTTTTTTAACCAAAGAGCACCATAAATCTTGAAAAGTCCCTTTTTGCACTCATTTTACAGTCCAAGATAATTTCTCTGACAATTTGTGATTATTTGCAAGAAAGTTCTCTCCAAAATTGAGGGGAAAACGGTATCGGTGAATTGTCTTGGCTTAAATTTAAAACTATATTTCTTTGTGTAACGGTAAAAGTGTATTCATGTTTAAATTTAGAACTTCATACATTCAGGGTTGGACAAGTCTTTTTGGCCCATACCCATCCATTTCTTTTTCTTCTTTTCTTCTCTCCTCTCACAACTTCATGCTATTTTCGCTTCCTCAATCGATTCATTCCAGTCTTGAAAGCGAATAAAAGGTGGATTAACTTTGAAACGTCAAAACTTTAGTTCTATTTCCTCAAATTAATTTAAAAAAACTTCAATCTGAGAATCTTTCAAATGTTTTTGTCTGTATGACAAAAGCCCGCAAAAAATTGCATCAAAAAGCTCTCCAATTATAAGTTCTATCTTTCTCTCCCTTCAATTTCTCAATCGCTTCTCGCTATTGACTTTTCTCCAAAATCCACCCATCAATTTTCACCTCTATTATTCAGAATTTTAATTTTCGCATATATTTTGTAATTCAACCTTTTATAAATCGACTTATTTCAGTCATTTCCAGTCAAATCATCGAGATGGATCCCCAATCGCCTCCTCCGAGCTATGAGGAATGTATGAACTCTCGACCACACACTCCACAGTCACACACCTATGGAAGTGGTGGACATCAAGCCATTCCGATGTTTCAAGCGAGTCCAAATCTTGTGAGTTTATCTAAAAGTTAACAGTCGATTAACTTTTATCAATGATTTTCCTTGGGTTTTGTGGTCAAAATTAAAACATATTGTTGGCATCATTACAATGTTTCAGAGTTGTCACAACCCACGTGCCGTCAGTTCAACTCCTCGAGTGTATCGTCACGGGGAACAAGTGATCCCAATAATGGTTCCCGAACCACCCGGCACAGAACAAGATCTTCAAGTTCGTCGAGAAAAAGTGCGTTTCATTGTCAGTGGCGGTCATGTTAAATCCGCCCCTTTTTCGGTCCGTTTGCCGTTAGCAATCTACGAATTTTGCTCGTACCTTGACGGTTTTTCAAACAATTCCGGCTGAGATACAAAGCAAATACTTAGATTGCCAATGGCAAACGGATGGGCGGAGTTAACATGCCTGGTCAGTAGGAGAGAAATCTTCGAAAACTAAATATTGACTAAGTCTATGTGTCAATTGTATTTCTAGAAGAATATCCGCTTGAATTGTCCTGAAAAAACCGCTCTCTTGTTTGCTTTCCTATTCATCTTTATGATGATCATTGTCTGGCATGTCTGGAAACCAAAAAGTTTTCAAAGTTATTCCTATCGATCATGATTAGATCAAAATAGTTCGAAGTACTCTACGATCTAAAATAAGTTTCCAGAAACCTTTTTAGGATATGTTTGTCGGCATTTTGAAATGTTTCTTCTACATTACATTTTGCATAATCGTCGCCGTCGCCTTTATATTTCTCAAGCTATGGCGAGTTGAGAAACGTCGTAGATTCGACTCCTCATATTAATATTTTACTGTCTATTCATCACCTTTGCTTACTTCCATCATTGATTACATAATGTCCGTTCCTGTAGCAATATTGTAAATTGAGGTTTGCTGCAATCAAAAGATTGTCGCTTAAAGTAAATTTAGGATGGAAGCACTTGTGGAGGTATCAGCGCTATTGTCGTTTGGTGAGGAAGTGTTTGTCATCAATTCTCGTCTTGTTTGTTGTCTTAACTGATTAAAACACCGATGGTTTACTTGTACGATTAAAACACCGATGGTTTACTTGTACGATTAAAACACCGATGGTTTACTTGTACGATGGACTTTACTAGTACGATGGTTTAATAATTATTATTTTTTTCATTGTTTTTATTAGAGTTAGAGTTACTATGATTTAAAAGAGAACTTCAAAGCCGGGTAAATACTCAGTTCATCGCCGTTTTTATTTACTTATGACTTTATGACTTTTGAACCATTTCAATCGTTTTACTATTACATGCATTTTCGAATAGAATAATACCAGACTCATTGAAAAAAAAGTTTATGCTCTAAAACTCAACCAACTTGCTCCCAGATTGACAAAAGACAGGAGAATGACGAGAAATGGGCCTTTGCATCGATCTTACTAAACTTCTAGCAAAATATCTCGTTGCCCTAATTTGTCTACTATTCGTATTCGTTTTAATGATTGTGATACCAGCGGAAAACGCCCACTGACGTTCACGTTTTCTACTGGGGAGGACCACTTTTTCCACGCAAGCTAACCCCCTTCTTTGCCAATGGCTGCGCACAGACAGATAGACGGACAGACGTCTCTTTTGCTTTAATATAATAGATGACGTGCTGGAAAATCAAAAGAATCCTCAAAGTTATCACAAGAATAGCTTATCGGTGATGTATGACAAAGACTTAGGAGTAACACCATCTACAATGTTTTATTAGAGTCGATTCTAGGTGAGGCGAATAGGGGAATTTTCGATTGGTATCTTTTTCATCTCTTCCGTAGTTTGATTTCTCGATGTGGTCACCTTTGTATTACTCAATTGATGGAATAAAGTAAAACAAATAGTCTTCTATTAGCTTGTTATTGTAAATTGTCCACAAATATCTTCAATGTTGCTAAAAAGAATTTTAGGATGGAGACTATGTTGGATGCTTGACCGGTGTCGCAATTTGTGTATTCATCATTTTCATCATTGTCCTCGTTTTCTGGTATCGTGAAGAGAAACGTCGAAAGGAACTTGTAAAGTCACCCGTTTGGTTCACTTCTTGACTCATGCACAAGTATGTACGAATTCATCTATGTAACTCATTCATCTTCATCTATGTACTTCCAATCATCTAGAAGGCTCTAAATTTTTAATCAGTGGCAGTCATTTTAAAATTGAATCAGAGCAAAGAATATATGAACAGAAAAAATGGGAATAGATATCAAAGTTCAAAGTTGAATCAAAATTTTCTAATTTTGTGCTATAAAAAGTTGAAACCAAGTTCAGAAAAACAAATTATACAACAACAATAATGAAAAAATTTTAACATTATTAAGTTTTTTTTAAATCTTTATAACAAAATAGTTGATTTAATTAAGATTTAGATTAGTAATTATAATTTTCTCAACCAATTTCAGGATTCAATCTGCTATACGGGTGTGCTCGTTGTGGTCGTCGGAAACATCGCATTGAAGGCCATGGTTTGATCTCCGCCCGTTTCAAGAGCCAATAAAAGAACGGAAATCAATAGGGCTGAAATGTCCCAACTTCAACAACTACCTTGATCCGATAAAAGTACAGAAATCATCCGTCAGGGCTAAAACATCCCAACAACTTCTCCGATAAAATTGATCCGATAAAAGTCATGGCCTTCTATGCGACATGCTACAAAGAAAACAAGATAGTTTTGTGTCGATAAGCCAAAACTCAATCTCAATGTCAACAGGATCATATCGGAAAACACATCTTGAGCTTTGAGATAAACTTTTCGAAAGTTCTATCCACTTATAAGCTTATAAAATGCAATGAACTTTAAATTTAAATAAGAAGTTGACTTTAAACAGCTAAATTCGCTGTTTTATTGACGTCAAGACCAGAGTTTCTCTAATTTTGATTCATTTATTATTGATTTATCCTGTATTTTCTTGGCATCTCTTACTTCTATGTGTAAATCATCGATATCACGCTTTGTCTTTACTAAATGCGGGTGTTATCTATTGTTTGTTGAATAAACTATTGTAGCTAAAAATGAGGACAGAACAGTGTTTTCGAAGATAGACAGTTTGTACTTTTTTAGGCATTGTTTCTTTGATAAGTATTAAAGCTCGAAAATTGTCAAAGCCAAAGTATAGACAAAAAAAAGTCTAAGTGAAGGCGTTATTAATAAGTCTAGGTTAAACTAAGTTAAACCATTAAGCTAAACTAAAAGATGTCTCTCTGAAAGTCTCCTCGAAAGCAAGAAATTGGTTCCGGGTGACAAATCAAGAAAATTTAAAAGGTTCATGGGTGACAATTCATGTTCATGGGTTCATGGGTGACATTCATTCAGATGACCCATTGCTTGTAAAATGCAGCTGAAATGAAATCTTTTTGTACCTGATTAGACTAACAGGAAAAGAACAATCTCAACCAAATTATTCAAGGGCACAAAAACATTATTTCACCTGTTTTCTGAACGACTTTCCTGTAATCGAATGGGTTGCCTTCAAGAAAATTTGAGCTCAAGAAGAATTTCTCAATCAGTTAGTAATTCCGTAAAAAAGATGAATGTTTCAGCGGTAGACATCTTTGCTAATCACTATTTCGATATCTATAAGATTTATCATACTTTAGGTAGGTGTTTTGTTTTTTAGAACATTGATGAGTTGTCCAATCTTATCCAGAAACATTTCTAAAGAGCATTTTTAGTCAAGCCCTGAACTTGTAAAATCAGACCATGGGAAGTCAAGCCATGCAAAAGCATTTATTTGGCTGATCAAACTAAAATTGAGTGATCTCTCAAAAAAGTTTACTTCGAAATGTGGCAGACAGTCTCTAGTATCTATAGCGCCGACGAAATTTACTTCATTGGCTTTTTCTCTCCTTAGAAACGCCTTTTTTTTCAAAAATTCAACACTGAGACACTTAGAAATTGATTTACATTTTTTTGATCAATTTCTAAGTTGATTTGCATTTTGATATCAAATTTAAGAAAAAAAATTTGCTTTTTGAAAAAAGTGCCTTCGTCATATTTGAGTATTTTCGGAAAATGTGTGTAAATACCGACTTTTAGGCTAAAAATAACGTTAGTTTTGTTGAAAAGAAAAGCGTGCTGACGCGAAAAACGATTTGGCACATATGTCTTCAGAAATAGTCGTCAGAAAGTCGTCAAAAATAGAGCACCCTAACTTGGCCCATTATAGATAAAAGAAGTGAACTTTTAGCTTTTAGTTTGGCCTGATTAGATCTGAAATATTGAGTTGGTGAATTGAAAACCGCGGGAGGTGTCCCAGTTTGAGCACTTTCTTCAAAAGAAACCCATTTTGGTGTCAATAGAAAAGTTGTAGAGAATCAAAAATTAGGCTTATAGCCAAATTTCCAAAAGGATACACTTACTAGTTTCGCTTAAAATGCAAGTTTTGTAAAAATTCGTAAATTTGGCATTTCTTGAAAACGTAAACTTGGCATTTCTTGAATTTCTTGAAAATTTGGATATAAGCTTGATTTTTGATTCTCTACAACTTTTCCATTGACACCAAAATGGGTTTCTTTTGAAGAAAGTGCTCAAACTGTCACATATGACAATAGCCGGCAGTTTTCACTTCACCAACCCAATATTATCCGGTGGAATATGAAAGTCAAATAAAAAAACCACTCGACAACCAGCCATGGTGATGGTTCTGCTATGGTTTCTGACTTTTTGACCCATCTTATTCATTCTTAGATATAATTTCTTTCAGGTCCACTATGTTCTCTGATCAATCTCTTCGGAATCTTTATCATCTTCACCCAAACACCGCCACAAATGAAAGACTATACAAAAGTGTTACTTTTACATTTGGTTTGTCAAAATGATAAATAATGAGATACCCATAGAAATTCAGATAATTGGAACGATTTTCGAGTTTTATGTGACTGTTCTCGGATGTCCCCAGGTCTATGCTCCATATATAATGGGATCATTTGATGGGCCGCTGATGAGATGGGCTAATATGGATGCTTTTAAACAAGAAGTTTCTTTTTGTTGATTACCTATTTACATCATTTGACTCAGCTTGTGCAAAAGCTGGGTTATTATGGTAAAGTCTAGATGATCTAGATTAAACCCAGCTTTCAAAGCTTTTTCTAGAGAAGTTTTTTAGAAAACAGTATGGGTTTTACAAATACAAATTACAAAAAGTCTAACAAATACGGTAAGTTTTTTTGAATAACATCAAGAGCTATGATTTTAAACTTTTCCCTCTATAAAAACTAGAAATTTGAAAGAAAATAGCATTGCAAGAGAGGTTATAATTGAAAACTGAGCAATCATTTCGAATTGTAAAAAATTTAGATGGTAGCACTACTAATGATTCATACACTCACATGTACTATTGCACATCTTGTCCTCTTTCGAGCCAACACCGTTCTCCCGCCGGGATCTCGATGCAAAATGAGAAGAAAACATGTAAAAATAAAGATAATTCAAAGAAAAAGATTTTTAGTTTAATGTATTCATTCTCAGCTTATATATTCTAAATATTGTTCCAAATGTGTTCACTCAACTCTTGCTTATGAATAATCAAAATGGAATGGCTAACGGGAGAAAATTTGTTGATGTGAAAAAGTGAAATGATTGACTAAAATTGGAAAAGATTCAGGAGCATCCAGAATATTTGAGTCTTCAGCCATTTCGCGATAAAATTCTCCTAGCAAACCTCGATTTTTGGGCAAAACTTACGGTGGGTAACTTTTATAAAGAAAGAGAATTCCAATCTATTTTATATAATCGATTTATTTATCTATATATTTATTCAGTATCAGGATATTTATCTATTTAGATTCATTCAGGATTCAGTAAAAAGTTCGAGTCCCGTCAAGGAGAGTCAAAAACATCATTTTTGTTTCTTGTCATTTCTCTTTCTTTTTGAGATCTTGATTCAAGATTGTCAAGAAAACCAAAACGGGCTATTACGGCCTATCTAAAACCAGTTGCTTGCCGTAGAAAGTATTCCTATTTTCAGTTTTATATGACGTGTGCAAGCGGAGCGTGGATCAGTTGGCTAAGTGGTTTTGGTTTCATTTCTATTGTTTACACTCTTTGCTCTCATGGGAATTCCTCTAAACAATCAAAAGTTAATGTAAAAAAGATTTTGCTCATGTTGGTCATTCAGGTTGGTGAAGCGGCAGACAGAGACAATTCCCAATTTTACATGGACAAAATTACCCAAACAAGAAACTTGTTTAAATGCTATTCGTCCACCGTACCATAACTCCTAATTCTTTTTCTCCTAATTCTTTTAAGTATCCACGAAAAAAGTAGTCACACCTTTCTACTCTTAATCTTGTTTTTTCTCGAGTTTTTCAGAAGCCAAAAAAGCGCTGAAAAGGGAGATAATGAAGCGCCAAGATCCATTTTGCCCTATGCTTTGTGCTTCGAAAGAAATGTCGATCAATGGATTTTTCTTTTCAGTAATATCCCAATAGGTTAAAGAATAAATAAATTTATACTATGAAGAAAATGCTACGGTTAAGTTGGCTCGCTGCGAAGTTAAAACGAAGAACGCTTGTCCGGGTAATTTTCCCCACCAACCCTGTACAAACGGTCTTGCAAAATTTACATTGAAAAGAGGTAAAATGGTTTCACTAAATGCATGATATTGCAAAAATTTTGTTGATTTTCTGCCGTAAACTTGTAAAATTGTAAGATTTCCAATGCATGTTACGCCTGTGATCCCATTTTTTGACCTGGACCCGGATTTTCAGGCTCGAATTCAAATTTCGGAACTCAAAATTCAGATTTCCCCATCATTTATCTGCTATTCAACGGCGATGAGTTGGTTTGCATGGTGTAAGCAAATGGATCTACAATGGGAAAATGTTCAAGGTGAACTTTGCTTGGTTTTTTTGGAGAATTCAGGTCAATGATGACAAAAATGCACCTGGAAAAGAGAAGGCAATGGTAAGCGTTGCAAAATTTTGCTTCCTACTAGACTAGACTGCTTGGTTTTTGAGTAAATTAAAAGATTTCCCCTATTAAACATATTAGGTTGGTCGATAAGTCTTTGGACATTTGGTTAAAATGCTATTTGGAAAGAACCAATTCACCGATTGACTTACGATCACCATTAAAAAGGCCTACTATTTTCTCATAAAGGATCGTTGAAATCTTAAGAAATGTTTTATTTCTGGCTTTTTGTTCGGAGTGCGAACTCGGGCAATCAAAAAGAGCAACAGTTCAATGACATTTTGGTCGAAAGAAACCTATATCGGTGTCAATAGAAAAAGAAAGAGCGCAAAAAGTTAGGCATAGCAACATTTCCAGAACAATCTGCTCAGCCAATTCCTTTGTATCACATTTTATCGAATTTTACGCAAAAACGAGTTTTTGCATTCGGATTTTTGAGAAATTGAGCCCAAATTGGCGTAAAAAGTTAGAAAATTGTATCATAAACATCTTTTATTTGATGCAAATTGTAGGTCAACTGGTGAACTTTTCATTTCTAAACAGGTTTATAAAAGTGTTCAACTTAATAGATTTAGTTTTAGCTACTAAGATAGATACAATAGTCACAGCTCATATTAACAGCACTGACTGATCGATTTTAGTTATCAACGACCTGGCTATTGTATTCATTTGTATTCACAATTCGGTTAGTGTTCTCTTGGCTCTTTCAATGATCAGTGCATATCGAGAATATTTAATGGCTCCCTTCAAGAAAACAGGTAAAAATGCCTGAATTTAGATTGAAAATCGGTGGATTTATGGTCTAGTGAGAGATTTGATTTTACACCAGGATATGGAAAGTGGCCTAAAGTTTTTACCATCGGGATTTCCGTGTTCAATGAACGAGTAGCCATTCAATAGGTTTCAAAAACACAATCTTAAGCTCGGGTACAACTTCAGTAATCACATAAATTCAGCCTAACTAAAAACTCACTATCATTTTATTGAGTAGAATACCAACAAAAAAGCTACCCTTGTTTTTTCACAAATTTCTCAGACTTGTGCTTTAGAATTGCCAATCTAATAAAAATTATTAGATTCGCAACTTTCAAACTTCCGTTTTAACTAACAACTTCTTTATTACACAAAACGCAAAATAGAAAAATTTAATCCAAAAGATATCGCCATTTTTATCGATGAATTCTTCCCATTTTCGGCGCAAGTCCCGGATTTCATTCTCGAAAAACTGAGGAGTTTTGGAGGTAAAGTATGTGTTGAGTGCTTTTATGATCTCAGCGTGATCATCGAATTTTTCTCCCTCCAAAAAGCGTTTCAACGACCGAAACAAAAAATAATCTGATGGTGATAGGTCAAGCGAGTAAGGTGTGTGGGGCAACAATTTCCAGCCAAGCTCATCGATTTTTTGCTGAGTGGCTTTTACCGTGTGTGATTCTGCGTTGTCGTGGAGGAATCGGACCCTTGAAGGTTTGAGCCCCAATTTCTTCAAAGCCTCGTTAACTCAAGCCAATTGTTTCAAATATCAGGTTGGCAACTAAATAATGGCCCTTTTCAGTAAAAACAAAAAATTTATTAACAAGATGAACAAACATCAACATCAATCCAAAAGGTATTCTCCGTCATTCTTTATTACTTCTTACCAGTTTTGACGGAGCAACTGGATTCCTCTTTTGAAAAATTCTTCTGGTTGATCGTCAAAGAACTTCTGCACTGAAATTCGGACTTCGTCAAGGTCCATGAACTTTTTCTCGGCTAGAAAGTGTTGCATCGATCGAAAAAGATGGTAATCACTAGGCCCCATATCCGGGCTGTATGGCGCATGAGGAAGAACATTCCAGCCCAACTCCTCGATTTTCTCCATTGTAAGTTTTGCAGTGTGTGGTTTTGCGTTATCATGGAGAAAATGAATTGAAGAGGGTTCGAGTCCTTGAGAGCGAATTGCTTGATCTCCACAATGTAGTTGAGACGAATAGAGTTCTGAATTAACCGTTTGCCGGCTTTTGAGAACCTCGAAATGCACCAACCCACGAGAACTCCACCACACACAGAGGAGAGTTTTCTTTGAGTGAATATCCGGCTTCGGAGTTGATTTTGGGTCTTCGTTTGTGCTAAGCCACTGTCGTTTTCGCGTTCGATTATCATAAAAGATCCATTTTTCATCAGAAGTGACAATGGAATTCAAGAAGCTTCTCTTTTTCGCAAGTTTTAGTAGTATTCCAGCTGTGATAACACGAGTTGCCTTATTTTCTTCGCTCAATTCATGCGGAATCCACTTTCCACTGCGGTTACTTTTCCCCAATGCATGAAGTCACTTTTCGATTGCAGTATGCGAAAAGCCCAATCGATCCCCTAGCTCGCGTGATGTTTGACTTGGATCCTCCTTTAAAGCTGCTTCCAAAATATCGTTCTGCAGAAGTTCGGGTCGTCCTTGGCGAGGCTCATCTTCAAGACTTTCATCCCCTTCCTTGAACCGTCGATACCATCTCTTACATTGTGTTTCGGAAAGAGCTTGATCACCAAAAACTCGCAATAAATCTCTGTGGGATTCGGCAGCTGTTTTGCCTTGTTTGTAGTCGTACCAGAGACAGACACGCATTCGATATTTGAGATCTTCCATTTCTAAACAAAATTATTTGAAAAGTATCAAATCAAAGAAAGTAAAAAACGTATAATAATGCACCAGAAATTCAGTAATATTCAATTAACAACAAGCGAGGGTAGATTAAACGCAAAGATTAAAAGATTTTATCAAAAGAGGGCGAGGGCCATTATTTAGTTGCCAACCTAATAGAGTGCGGCAGCAACTGTTTGTCCAGATTTTAGCACTTCGTAATGCACCAAACCTTTTGCATTCCACCAGCAACAGAGCATGATCTTCTTTCCACAAACATCTGGTTTGGGAGTGGTTTTCGGCTCTTGATTTCGGGACAGCCACTGGTTTTTTCATTTATGATCCTGATATCAAATCCACGTTTTATCAGAAGTCAAAATTCTATTAAAGAAATTCTTCGCCTTACACTTTTGAAGTAAGAATGAGCTCACACTTAGACGAGCCGTTTTGTTCTTTAAGCCAGTTCATGTGGAACCCATTTCCCCGCCCGATTTTTCTTTTCAAGTTGATGCAAATGGTTTTCAATTGCAGTATGGGAAACATCAAATAATTCGTCTAACTCTCGGGTGGTGTGTTGGGCCATTCTCGATTTCCACCAGCCAATCCGTGTTTGAAACTTCTTGAGGATGCCTTCTGCGCGGCTCATCCTGGATACATTCATTGCCGCTTTGGAAACGTTGAAACCATGTATAGCATTGTCTATCGCTAACATTTTCTTCTCCACAAACAGAAATAATTGTACGATGCGCTTCAGCCGCAGATTTTCCTTGTTTAAAATCGGAAAGCAATGCAGCCCAAATCGAAATTTTTTTGGTCTTCCCTTTAAGTATCGTAAAAAAAATGATGAAATTTTGAAAAGAAGAGATTGTTTACGTAAAAATATTGTAGTTTGTTTTTATGCAAAAAGCGGAAAGAACGCTCTTTTAAAATTTAAAAAAAATTATAAAAAAGTTAGCGGAAGTTTGAAAGTTGTCAACCTCATAGAACACAATAGAGAACCCAAAAATCAAAAAGCTAGATCTTTTCCATGGTAATTTCTTTCTTCAGTGTCTCGTCTACTTTTCCTAAGAACAACGGGAGCAGCTCGTGGACAGACCTCAATGAGTAGTCTATCAATTGTCGTTCAACCACTTGCAAATCCGAGACAACAAGTCGAGCTACGCATGATTCGTATTTTACCAGATGCTAATTGAATAATAAATAAAGTTGAAGGAAAATGGTTACAAAAAGTGTATTGTGTATTATTAATAATTGATTTTGCGCAGCTTTGTTCTTGGATTGGGTTGGCTTCACAGCCGGTCTGGTCTAGAGTGTGTTCCTCGCGAGTAAGTAGTTACTCGAGTAAAATTTGCATGTCTAACACGTCCAGATATGACTTAGCAATAGTAAGTAACTACGAGTAATCCTCTTTACACGTCGGGTCAAATTGAATATCTTTACTTGTGAAGGGAATTTGCCACCAAATCATTTAAACGGCTGAAGATCTTTAAAAGGAGTCGTATATAACTCGTCGCTCGTGATTTTCTTGCGCCAATTTTCTGCAATAATTTTCGCTAAAAGTACGGTTATTTTCCCTAAGTGTGCGTTTTAAAAAAACGCATTACTTAGAGGAACACACTCTAGTCGAACAAGCTAGTTTCTGACGAACTCTTTTCACTACAAAAAAAGTTTGTTTCCTTTTTTTAGAAAGATGAGCTCGGTTACTATGGAAGGAAAGCTTTTTTCTCCAACCTTTTCTTTTCGATATGCTTTTGGAGTTTTTGCTAAAGAATTTTGATGGAATGACCCTGGTCAGCTGGAGGTGAAGGAGAGGGGCACTCAGGCATCTTCAATGATCCATCTCTAGTCCGGGCACTATTTGGGTACTTCAAAATTTGTTTATAAATCGAAATTTCATATTATTCTCATGTCATCTTCTAAAAATTTAAATTATTTGTAGCGATTTTTGTTGAAAAATAAGCGGGTTATTAATTTGCTTAGTGAAAAAAATGGCATTTTCTTTCGCCCATGTTTAATCGGTGATTTTGAACCAATTGCGCACAATTATTTCTTTTTTCTTCAGCTTTCTTTGTGAAACAAGCTTCAAAAACCTATTCATCTGAAAGAAACTAAAAATAAACCTGTTTGTTTTAATTTTGAGATTATACGGATATGAGATTATGAGTGTTCATTGTTCCTTTTTCAAAATTTTAATAATTGAAATGAGATACCTGATGCCATTGCGTAAAAATGTCTGGGTTATCTTCTGAGATGTAATTTGAGCAAAATTAAAATGAGAAGTAGGGAGAAAATATTGAATAAATTATGAAAGATTTATTTAATTTTATGAAAAGCTTAACTTGAGTGACAATCTGACACCTGTTGAGCTCACAGTTGAAGATATCGATTTCGCAAAAGCCACTTTCCCACTTTGTTTTTTATCGAAGCGACGAAGTGCCAGAGCGGTGGTTAACCTAATCATATAATATTTAAACTAATATTTAAAAATTTCTAGCTAAATTTTTCAATTTGCTAATCCTTATTTTGGGATTTCTAACCCATTCGCCGCAATGAAGCCAGTCAGGAGGACATTCTTGATTGCAAAGATTAGGAGAACACTGCTCGATGGACCAAATATATTTTTTCCGAAAACAATGAAAAATCCGGGCATCAAAATTAGAAAACACGTCCAGATATGACTTAGCAACACCTGTAATAGGCGAGATTATACGAGTATAGAAGGGAAGGATTTAGACAGAGTTCTTAGAGACTTTAAGAAGGAGTGGTGGCCAAGTGGCATTGGGTTGGAATATAAGGCAAAGACTTTCTAGTTTCTTTGCTATCAAGCAAAGCATATAACTTTTGACAGAGTGTTCCATATCAGAAACGGAAAGCAGATTCGGAATTTGTGATAAAGCAAAGAACTATAAATCTGCTTATAAACTCGGGGTGTGATTTTTAAAATCCGATACAAAACTTTGCACACTTATAACTTTTGACAGAGTGTTTCATAGCAGAAACGGAAAACAGATTCGGAATCGGCGTTGAATTCCGCATCGAATAACCATTGGCACATGTCATTTGACCACCACACCCAGTTGACATTCCCTTGTCAGGACTAGGTCGAGCGTCACCGAACGCAGTGAACTTGAATATACAGACACAGGATTCGAACCTAGTCGATCAGATCAGGGGGCAACCTTAGCCTGGTTTTATGGTTTTAGGTCAGTCTGTTCGATTTTTCAGGACAGGTCTGTTTATCAGAAAATAAACTGGATGGTAAGATCAGATTAGATCCACGTCTACTGTTCACTAGACATGGGAAAATTCCAACCCGAACCTAATTCCACCTTCGTTTTCTCGGCCGATTGCTCTGAAATTTTGTCTACAGATAGAAATCAATATTTTCAGCTTGTAGAGAAATTTCAGAAATTTCAGAAATTTCAGAGCAATCGGCCAAGAAACGGCCGAGAAAATGAAGGTAGAATTAGATTCGGGTTGGAATTTTCCCATATCTACTGCTTACCATGATAGTTAGTCGTCGTTGGGCATAATCGAATCTCTTATTTTGCTGATTTTTCTAAAAATATGGAAATCATGATAGAATTTGTCTAAAATACAAATCGATGTCGATATCAATGAATGTTATAAATTATTTGAAAGTTGTAAATCTCCTCGACAAAACAGGCTAAAACGTGTTTCAATTGATCGAACCATTGAAGAGATTTCGAGGACGAAATGCGAGTGACCAAAAAAAGGGCACTTTTTGAAAACCCCACTAAAGAATATATGAACAGAAAAAATGGGAATAGTGATCAAAGTTTAAAGTCGGATCAAAATTTTCTAATTTTGTGCTATAAAAAGTTGAAACCAAGTTCAGAAAAACAAATTATACAACAACAATAATGAAAAAATTTTAACATTATGAAGTTTTTTTTAAATCTTTATAACAAAATAGTTGATTTAATTAAGATTTAGATTAGTAATTATAATTTTCTCAACCAATTTCAGGATTCAATCTGCTATACGGGTGTGCTCGTTGTGGTCGTCGGAAACATCGCATTGAAGGCCATGGTTTGATCTCCGCCCGTTTCAAGAGCCAATAAAAGAACGGAAATCAATAGGGCTGAAATGTCCCAACTTCAACAACTACCTTGATCCGATAAAAGTACAGAAATCATCCGTCAAGGCTGAAACATCCCAACTACTTCTGCCGCTTTGATCCGATAAAAGTCATAGCCTTCTATGCGACATGCTACAAAGAAAACAAGATAGTTTTGTATAGATAAGTCAAAACTCAATCTCAATGTCAACAGGATCATATCGGAAAACACATCTTGAGCTTTGAGATAAACTTTTTCGAATGTTCTATCCACTTATAAGCTTATAAAATGCAATGAACTTTAAATTTAAATAAAAAGTTAACTTTAAACAGCTAAATTCGCTGTCTTATTGACGTCGAGACCAGAGTTTCTCTAATTTTGATTCGTTTATTATTGATTTATCCTGTATTTTCTTGGCAACTCTTACTTTTATGTGTAAATCATCGATATCACGCTTTCTCTTTACTAAATGCGGGTGTTATCTATTGTTTGTTGAACATTTTTATTGTTGAATAAACTATTGTAGCTAAAAATGAGGACAGAACAGTGTTTTTGAAGATTGACATTTTGTACTTTTTTAGGCATTATTTCTTTGAAAAGTATTAAAGCTCGAAAAATTGTCAAAGTCAAAGTATAGAGAAAAAAGTCTGAGTGAAGGGGTTATTAAATAAGTCTAGGTTAAACTAAGTTAAAGCATTAAGCTAAACTAAAAGATATCTCTTTGAAAGTCTCCTCGAAAGCAAGAAATTGGTTCCGACAAATTTAAAAGGTTCATGGGTGACAATCCATCGATTACATTCATTCAGATGATCTATTCTTTGTAAAATGCAGCTGAAATGAAATTTTTTTGTACCTGACTAGACAATCTGCGAAAGAACAATCTCAATCAAATTATCCAAGAGTACAAAAAACATTATTTCACCTGTTTTCCGAACGACTTTCCTGTAATCGAATGGGTTGCCTTCAAGAAAATTTGAGCTCAATCAATTAGTAGTTCAGTAAAAAAGATGAACGTTTCAGCGGTAGACATCTTTGCTAATCACTATTTCGATATCTATAAGATTTATCATACTTTAGGTAGGTGTTTTGTTTTTTAGAACATTGATGAGTTGTCCAATCTTATCCAGAAACATTTCTAAAGAGCATTTTTAGTCAAGCCCTGAACTTGTAAAATAATACCATGGGAAGCCAAGTCATGAAAAAGCATTTATTTGGCTGATCAAACTAAAATTGAGTGATCTCTCAAAAAAGTTTACTTCGAAATGTGGCAGACAGTCTCTAGTATCTATAGCGCCGACGAAATTTACTTCACTGGCTTTTTCTCTCCTTAGAAACGCTTTTTTTGTCAAAAATTTTAACACTGGGACACTTAGAAATTGATTTACATTTTTTTGATCAATTTCTAAGTTGATTTACATTTTGACATCAAATTTAAGAAAAAAATTTTGCTTTTTAAAAAAGTGCTTTCGTCATCTTTGAGTATTTTCGAAAAATCTGTGCAAATATCGACTTTTAGGACAAAAATGATGTTAGTTTTGTTGAAAAGCAAAGCTTGCTAATGCGAAAAACGATTTGGCACAAATGTCTTCAGAAATAGTCGTCTGAAAGTCGTCAAAAATAGAGCACCCTAACTTGGCCCATTATAGATAAAAGAAGTAAACTTTTCGCTTTTAGTTTGGTCCTGATTAGATCTCAAATATTATCCGGTGGAATATGCCAGTCAAATAAAAAAAAATTCATTTGACAACCGGTCATGGTCATGGTTCTGCTATGGTTTCTGACTTTTTGACCCATCCTATTCATTCTTACATGTAATTTCTTTAAGGTCCACTATGTTTTCTGATCAATCTCTTCGGAATCTTTATCATCTTCACTCAAACACCGCCACAAATGAAAGACTATACAAAAGTGTTACTTTTGCATTTGGTTTGTCAAATTGATAAATAATGAGATACCCACAGAAATTCAGATAATCGGAACGATTTTCGAGTTTTATTTGACTGTTCTCGGATGTCCACAGGTCTATGCTCCATATATAATGGGATCATTTGATGGACCGCTGATGAGATGGGCTAATTTGGATGCTTTTAAACAAGAAGTTTCTTTTTGTTGATTACCTATTTATTAGGTTGGTGCAGATGAAACTTCCGTTGGAACCATAAACAAAATTTATTATAAAAATCCTAATACAGAACCTCAATCCAAAAGATATTCGCCAGCATTATCAATGACTCTTTGCCATCTTCCACGCAGAGAATGGATGCCCTTTTCGAAGAACTCGGGCAACTGCGACTCGAAGAAGTTGAACACCCAGATTTGAACTTCTTCGCGATTTTTGAATTTTTTTTTTTTTGCTAAAGAGTACTGCATTGACCGAAACAAGTCGTAGTCGGATGGGGCCAAGTCCGGGCTAAATGGCGGATGAGGCAGAACTTCCCAGCCCAATTCCTCGATTTTCTGCTGAGTGATCTTCGCGGTGTGGGGTCGAGCGTCGGAATTTTGTAGTCGCCGTGTTATTGCCTTGACGACGCAATGCCTGGTCCGCGCGGCTCAATTGGGCTTTGTAGAGATCCGCCGTGACTCTTTGGCCCGAATCCAGCACCTCAAAATACACGAGAGCTTTACTGTTCCACCAAATACAAAGCATCACCTTTTTTCCGTGGATATTCGGTTTGGGAGTCGGTTTTGGCGGTTCACCGGCGTCCAACCACTGCCGTTTTTTCGTTGTGTTGTCGTAACATATCCACTTTTCATCTGCCGTAACAATGGAGTCGAGAAAACCGGCGGTCTTTGTGCGGCGGACGAGAATTCCAGCCATTGTAACTCGAGCCGCCTTGTTTGCGTCGCTGAGCTGATGTGGCACCCATTTTCCACACCGATTCGTCTTACCAATTGCGTGCAAATGGCGGAGAATGGTTGTATGGTCGCAGTCAAACAGCTCTGCAAGCATATAAACAAACCAGTGTGATGCAAGTTTCATCTGTTGTTTGGCATGGATCCGATTCGATAGCGTTCTTCAACTCATCGTTGTCGACAATTTGAGGCGGATTCCCGCGTTTTTTGTCTTCCAAACTTTCATCACCGTCTCGGAAGCGCTGAAACCAAGTCCGGCATTGACGTTCGAACAACACGTCATCGCCGAATGCTTTGCACAGAGCGCGATGAGATTCCGCAGCCTTCGTTTTGCGTTCTGCCTTGTTTAAAATCATACAACAAGCAAACACGCTCTCGAAATTTTTGGTCAACCATTTTCTAGAAGCTAAAAATTACTTCAAATTAAGTAAAACGCATAAGTCTTAGATATCAAAAGACGCGCAAAGAGACGCTCTTTCAGATAGACAAATATCTTCAAGAAAAACTTTTATTAGGTCCGAAATATAAACAAACAAGTGCGACGGAAGTTTCATCTGCACCAACCTAATACATCATTTGACTCAGCTTGTGCGAAATCTGGGTTATTATCGTAAAACCTAGATGATCTAAGTTAAACCCAGCTTTCAAAACTTTTTCTAGAGAAGTTTTTTAGAAAACAGTTTTGGGTTTACAAAAAAGTCTAACAAATGCACAAGTTTTTTTGAATAACATCAAGAGCTATGATTTTAAACTTTTCCCTCTGTAAAAACTAGAAATTTGAAAGAAAATAGCATTGCAAGAGAGGTTATAATTGAAAACTGAACAATCATTTCGAATTGTAAAAAATTTAGATGGTAGCACTACTAATGATTCATACACTCTCATGTACTATTGCACATCTTGTCCTCTTTCGAGCCAACACCGTTCTCCCGCCGGGATCTCGATGCAAAATGAGAAGAAAACATGTAAAAATAAAGATAATTTAAAGAAAAAGATTTTTAGTTTAATGTATTCATTCTCATCTTATATATTCTAAATGTTGTTCCAAATGTGTTCACTCAACTCTTGCTTATGAATAATCAAAATGGAATGGCTAACGGGAGAACATTTGTTGATGTGAAAAAGTGAAATGATTGACTAAAATTGGAAAAGATTCAGGAGCATCCAGAATATTTGAGTCTTCAGCCATTTCGCGATAAAATTCTCCTAGCAAAGCTCGATTTTTGGGCAAAACTTATGGTGGGTAACTTTTATAAAGAAAGACAATTCAAATCTATTTTATATAATCTATTTATCTATTTAGATTCATTCAGGATTCAGTAAAAAGTTCGAGTCCCGTCAAGGAGAGTCAAAAACATCATTTTTGCTTCTTGTCATTTGAGACCTTGATTCAAGATTCTCTAGAAAACCAAAACGGGCTATTACGGTCCATACAAAACCAGTTGCTTGCTGTAGAAAGTATTCCATCGTTTTTCAATGCTTATTTTCAGTTTTATATGATGTGTGCAAGCGGAACGTGGATCACTTGGCTAAGTGGTTTTGGTTTTATTTCTATCGTTTACACTCTTTGCTCTCATGGGAATTCCTCTAAAAAATCAAAAGTCAATGTAAAAAAGATTCTGCTAATGTTGGTCATTCAGGTTGGTGAAGCGGCAGATAGAGACAATTCCCAATTCTACATGGACAAAATTACCCGAACAAGAAACTTGTTTGAATGTCATTCGTCCACCGTACCATAACTCCTAATTCTTTTTCTAGAAACTCCTAATTATCCTCGAAAAAAGTAGTCACACCTTTCTAATCTTAATCTTGTTTTTTCTCGAGTTTTTCAGAAGCCAAAAAAGCGCTGAAAAGGGAGATAATGAAGCGCCAAGATCCATTTTGCCCTATGCTTTGTGCTTCGAAAGAAATGTCGATCAATGGATTTTTCTTTTCAGTAATATCCCAATAGGTTAAAGAATAAATAAATTTATACTATGAAGAAAATGCTACGGTTAAGTTGGCTCGCTGCAAAGTTAAAACGAAGAACTCTTGTCCCGGTAATTTTCCCCAACCCTCTACAAACGGCCTTGCAAAATTTACACTAAAAACAGGCAAAATGGTTTCACTAAATGCAAGATCTTAGAAAAATTTTGCGACTTGGTTGGTTTTCTGCCGTAAACTTGTAAAATTGTAAGATTTCCAATGCATGTTACGCCTATGGTCCCATTTTTTCAACGCCAATATCTTAGACCTAGACATATTTATGTTCAAAAGATTCAGAATGGGGAAAAATTCTTCGTAAGAAAAACTTTCATTTTACAAAATGTTGATTGGTGAAACCTGGACCCGGATTTTCAGACTCGAATTCCAAATTTCGGAACCCAAAATTCAGATTTCCCCATCATTTATCTGCTATTCAACGGCGATGAGTTGGTTTGCATGGTGTAAGCAAATGGATCTACAATGGGAAAATGTTCAAGGTGAACTTTGCTTGGTTTTTTTGGAAAATTCAATTCAATGATGACAAAAATGCACCTGGAAAAGAGAAGGCAATGGTAAGCGTTGCAAAATTTTGCTTCCTACTAGACTAGACTGCTTGGTTTTTGAGTAAATTAACAGATTTCCCCTATTAAACATATTAGGTTGGTGGATAAGTCTTTGGACATTTGATTTGAAATGCTATTTAGAAAAAATCAATTCACCAATCGATTTACCATCACCATTAAAAAGGCCTACTATTTTTCCACAAAAGATCGTTGAAATCTTAAGAAATGTTTTGTTTCTGGCTTTTTTTGTTCGGAGTGCGAACCCGGGCAATCAAAAAGAGCAACAGTTCAATGACATTTCGATCCAAAGAAACCTATTTCGGTGTCAATAGAAAAAGAAAGAGCGCAAAAGGTTAGGTAGATAGCAACATTTGCAGAACAATCTGCTCAGCCAATTCCTTTGTATCACATTTTATCGAATTTTACGCAAAAACGAGTTTTTGCATTCGGATTTTTGAGAAATTGAGCCCAAATTGGCGTAAAAAGTTAGAGAATTATGTCATAAACATCTTTTATTTGATGCAAATTGTAGGTCAACTGGTGAACTTTTCATTTCTAAACAGGTTTATAAAAGTGTTCAACTTAATAGATTTAGTTTTAGCTACTAAGATAGATATTGGGTTGGTGAATTGAAAACTGCCGGCTATTGTCATATGTGACAGTTTGAGCCCTTTCTTCAAAAGAAACCCATTTTGGTGTCAATGGAAAAGTTGTAGAGAATCAAGAATCAAGCTTATATCCAAATTTTCAGAACGATTCAAAAACTTGTTTTCCAGAAATGCCAAATTTACGAGTTTTCCCGAAACTTGCATTTAAAGCGAAACTACTAAGTGTATCTTTTTGGAAATTTGGCTATAAGCCTAATTTTTGATTCTCTACAACTTTTTTATTGACACCAAAATGGATTTCTTTTGAAGAAAGTGCCCAAACTGGGTCAGCTCAATCTCCAGTTCTCCACTTTTGAGTCTCACACTTGTCTCGCACACAAACCAAAATTCTACTACGAAAGAGGAATCCGCAAATTGGCTGTAAAATGGGCAGAAGTCGTCAATAATCATGGAAATTATTGGAAATGAATTTATGGTTTTATGTTGAATAAATTTTAGTTCAAAGTCCGGCAGTTTACAATTCACCAACCCAATATAATAGTCACAGCTCATATTAACAGCACTGACTGATCGATTTTAGTTATCAACGACTTGGCTATTGTATTCATTTGTATTCACAATTCGGTTAGTGTTCTCTTGGCTCTTTCAATGAATAGTGCATATCGAGGATATTTAATGGCTCCCTTCAAGAGAACAAGTAAAAATGCATGAATTTAGATTGAAAATCTGTGGATTTATGGTCTAGTGAGAGATTTGATTTTACACCAGGATATGGAAAGTGGCCTAAAGTTTTTACCATCGGGATTTCCGTGTTCAATGAACGAGTAGCCATTCAATAGGTTACAAAAACAGAATCTGAAGCCCGGGTACAACTTCAGTAATCACATAAATTCAGCCTAACTAAAAACTCACTATCATTTTATTGAGTAGAATACCAACAAAAAAGCTACCCTTGTTTTTTCACAAATTTCTCAGACTTGTGCTTTAGAATTGCCAATCTAATAAAAATTATTAGATTCGCAACTTTCAAACTTCCGTTTTAACTAACAACTTCTTTATTACACAAAACGCAAAATGGAAAAATTTAATCCAAAAGATATCGCCATTTTTATCGATGAATTCTTCCCATTTTCGGCGCAAGTCCCGGATTTCATTCTCGAAAAACGGAGGAGTTTTGGAGGTAAAGTATGTGTTGAGTGCTTTTATGATCTGAGCGTGATCATCGAATTTTTCTCCCTCCAAAAAGCGTTTCAACGACCGAAACAAAAAATAATCTGATGGTGCTAGGTCAGGCGAGTAAGGTGCGTGGGGCAACAATTTCCAGCCAAGCTCATCGATTTTTTTGTGAGTGGCTCTTATCGTGTGTGATTCTGCGTTGTCGTGGAGGAATCGGACCCTTGAAGGTTTGTGCCCCAATTTCTTCAAAGCCTCGTTAACTCGAGCCAATTGTTTTAAATAGAGTGCGGCATCAACTGTTTGTCCAGGTTTTAGCACTTCGTAATACACCAAACCTTTTGCATTCTATTGCATTTGCACTAGCAAGAGAGCATGATCTTCTTTCGGTCATGATCTTCTTTCCATAAACATCTGGTTTGGGAGTGGTTTTCGGCTTTTGATTTGGGGACAGCCACTGGTTTTTTCATTTATGATCCTGATATCAAATCCACGTTTTATCAGAAGTCAAGATTCTATTAAAGAAATTCTTCGCCTTACACTTTTGAAGTAAGAATGAGCTCACACTTACACGAGCCGTTTTGTTCTTTGAGACAGTTTATGTGGAACCCATTTCCCGCCCGATTTTTCTTTCCAAGTTGATGCAAATGGTTTTCAATTGCAGTATGGGAAACATCAAATAATTCCGCTAATTCTCGGGTAGTGAGTGTTGGGCCATTCTCGATTTCCACCAGCAAATCCGTGTTTGACACTTCTTGAGGATGCCTTCCTCGCGGCTCATCCTGGAGACATTCATTGCCGCTTTGAAAACGTTGAAACCATGTACGGCATTGTCTATCACTAATATTTTCTTCTCCAAAAATAAAAATAATTGTACGATGTGATTCAGCCGCAGATTTTCCTTGTTTAAAATTGTAAAGCAATGCAGCCCGAATCAAAAATTTTTGGCCTTCGATTTAAGTATCGTAAAAAGAATGATGAAATTTCGAAAAGAAGATATTGTTTACGTAAAAATATTGTAGCTTTTTATGCAAAAAGCAGGAAGAAAGCTCTTTTGAAATTCAAAAAAAATTATTAAAAAGTTAGCGGAAGTTTCAAAGTTGTCAACCTCATAGAACACAAATGGAGAACCCAAAAATCAAAAAGCTAGATCCTTTCCATGGTAATTTTTTTCTTCAGTGTCTCGTTTACTTTTCCAAAGAACAACAGGAGCAACTCGTGGACAGACCTCAGTGAATACTCTATCAATTGTCGTTCAACCACTTGCAAAACGGAGACAACAAGTCGAGCTACGAATGTTTCGTATTTTACCAGATGCTAATTGAATAATAAATAAAGTTGAAGGAAAATGGTTACAAAAAGTGTATTGTGTATTACTAATAATTGCTTTTGCGCAGCTTGTTCTTGGATTGGGTTGGCTTCACAGCCGGTCTGGGCTAGAGTGTGTTCCTCGCGAGTAATTAGTTACTCGAGTAAAATTTGCATGAGTAATTTTTACTCGATTAATCGACGTTTTTCGTCGAGTAACTACGAGTAATCCTCTTTACACGTCGGGTCAAATTGAATATCTTTACTTGTGAAGGGAATTTGCCACCAAATCAGCTAAACGGCTGAATATCTTTAAAAGGAGTCTTATATAAGTCGTCGCTCGTGATTTTTTTGCGCCAATTTTCTGCAATAATTTTCGCTAAAAGTACGGTTATTTGCCCTAAGTGTGCGTTTTAAAAAACGCATTACTCGTGAGGAACACACTCTAGTCGAACAAGCTAGTCTGACGAACTCTTTTCACTACAAAAAAAAGTTTGTTCGCTTTTTTTAGAAAGATGAGCTCGGTTACTATGGAAGCAAAGCTTTTTTTCCCAACCTTTTCTCACTTTTCGATATGCTTTTGGAGTTTTTGCTGAAGAATTTTGATGGAATGACCCTGGTCAGCTGGAGGTGAAGGAGAGGGGCGCTCATGCATCTTCAATGATCCACCTTTAGTCCGGACCCTATTTGGGTACTTCAAAATTAGGTTATAAATCGAAATTTTTGCCTCTTTTATTCTCATGTAATCTTCTAAAAATTTAAATTTTTTGTAGCGATTTTTGTTGAAAAATAAGCGAGTTATTAATTTGTTTAGTGAAAAAAAAAATGGCATTTTCTTTCGCCTATGTCTAACCGGTGATTTAGAGAAGTAGGAGTGCTTTATAGGAGTAAATCATCAATTTATCGGGGAAAATGGAAAATGAAAAAAAAAAATGACTCATTAATTATGCTAAAGCCTAATAGAAAATGCCGGAAAAAAAGAAGAGAAACAAGAAAATACATGACTTTTCCCAAAAGAAGCGGAAATTTCTTCACATTTCTTCATGATCAAAAAGTTAAGAATTTCATAATTTCATAAATTTAGTTAGTAATTGTTCAATAGTTCGTGGGTTCTCAGGTTTGGATTTGATTTGGATCATGTGGGGTTTAGGTCACCGGTTCCTCAAACAAACAAATAAACAAACAAATAAACAAACAAAATCTGGTCAAATGAGCTTTTGCAATTCGAAATCTTCTTTGAAACTTTTGCATTCATCAAATGGAAATACACTGTGGTGCAAAAGTCCTGACCGGTCGCACTGTCCTATCAAGTCTTAACCATTTCGCCAGAAAAAGAACGTTAAAATTTTATGGTAAAAACGTTTTTGGATAGCTTAAACCTTCTACTTTTATAATCCAAAGAATGAAAGCAATAACATTTTATTTAACAAAAAATTTTGACAATATTCCGAAACGACTCAAAAAAACATGGTGCAAAAGTCTTGACCGGTACAAGAAAATTCAATACTTCGTAGGTCCTCCTTTTGCGACAATGACTGCCTTGATGCGTCTAGGCATCGAGTCGACCAAATCACGTAGAATTCCCAAAGAAAGTTGTCTCCAAACATTTCTGACAAAGAAATTTGAGCTGAGGACAACGTTATAAGCTCAAATACGTTAAACCAACGGTCAAATTCGGCGGTGGGAGCATTATATTGTGGGGTAAGTGTTCGCCTTACTTTTTACTTACAATCTGTCTTCTTTAGGCTCGATGAACCGAAGTGTATCGGGACCGCTAGTGTTTATCTATGGAAATCTCGACGCTCAAAGGTACAAGTCAATCATAGAGAACAACTTACTTCCATTTGCAAACACGAACATGCCACAAGGATGGGCCTTATATCAAGACAACGCCCCATGCCACAAAAGCCAATTACTGATGGGTCGAGTTGTCCGGCTTGCAAATGGAGGTAAAGTTTGCCTGCCCGGCTTTTTTGCTGCTCATCGTGTGGAATTGATCAAAGCACCTCCCTATTCGCCGGATCTGAACGTTATAGAGCATCTTTGGGCCCATTTAAAAGCCAAACTCAAGGGACGCCGGTTCAACTCAAAGGTCGATGCTTATTTCTTTATCAGAAATGTTTGGAGACAACTTTCTTTGGGAATTCTACGTGATTTGGTCGACTCGATGCCTAGACGCATCAAGGCAGTCATTGTCGCAAAAGGAGGACCTACGAAGTATTGAATTTTCTTGCACCGGTCAAGACTTTTGCACCATGTTTTTTTGAGTCGTTTCGGAATATTGTCAAAATTTTTTGTTAAATAAAATGTTATTGCTTTCATTCTTTGGATTATAAAAGTAGAAGGTTTAAGCTATCCAAAAACGTTTTTACCATAAAATTTTAACGTTCTTTTTCTGGCGAAATGGTTAAGACTTGATAGGACAGTGCGACCGGTCAGGACTTTTGCACCACAGTGTATTTCCATTTGATGAATAAAATCGATAAAACCGAAGTTTCTAATCATGAAGCGAATAAAGAGAAAAAAGTTATTCAAACACAAATATTAGAAAGAAGACCAAAGGTTACAACTGATGAGTGTTCTATTCGTATCGATGTTATAGAATTATAGTAAAATAATATTACCTTGTAAGCATACTTTTCATTTATTCTGTACTTTTAAGTGGTTTATCCACATCTTATTTGCAATTTGATCAATTTGAGCAATTTGATCGCATTTCGAAGAATCCGATCAAATAATTCTTTAGAAAATCGAAAACAACTGATTTGCGTGTATTTTCTCAGAAATAGAACGTTCAGAAGAGAAAAAAATCAGTTTGAGTCTGGATTTTCCGATAAGATTCCAGGAAAAAAGTTAATGTTTATTTTCGGAACACTAGATTTCGCCAATAACCTCCATAACGATAGCCTCTTCGATATATTTTTGGAGTTTTTGCTGAAAAAATTTTGATGGAATGACCCTGGTCAGCTGGAGGTGAAGGAGAGGGGCACTCGTGCATCTTCAATGATCCACCGCTAATCCGGACCCTATTTGGGTCCTTCAAAATTTGGTTAAAAATCGAAATTTTTGCCTCTTTTATTCTCATGTCATCTTCTAAAAATTTTAATTTTTTTGTAGCGATTTTTGTTGAAAAATAAGCGAGTTATTAATTTGTTTAGTGAAAAAAATGGTATTTTCTTTCGACCATGTCTAATCGGTGATTTTGAACCAATCGCGCACAATTATTTCTTTTTTCTGCAGATTTCTTTATAAAACAGGCTTCAAAAACCTATTCATCTGAAAGAAACTAAAAATAAAACTGTTTATTTTAGTTTTGAGATTATACGGATATGAGATTATGAGTGTTCATTGTTCCTTTTTCAAAATTTTAAGGATTGAAATGAGATACCTGATGCCACTGCGTGAAAATGTCTGGGTTATCTTTTGAGATGTAAATTGAGCAAAATTAAAATGAGAAGTAGACAGAAAATATTGAATAAATTATGAAAGATTTATTTAATTTTATGAAAAGCTTAACTTGAGTGGCAATCTGACACCTGTTGAGCTCACAGTTGAAGATATCGATTTCGCAAAAGCCACTTTCCCACTTTGTTTTTTATCGAAGCGACAAAGTGCCAGAGCGGTAGTTAACCTAATCATATAATATTTTAAAGTTTCTAGTTAAATTTTTCAATATGCTAATTCTTATTTTGGGATTTCTAACCCATTCGCCGCAATAAAGCCAGTCGGGAGGACATTCTTGATTGCAAAGATTAGGAGAACACTGCTCGATGGACCAAATATCTTTTTTCCGAAAACAATGAAAAATCCGGGCATCAAAATTAGAAAACACGTCCAGATATGACTTAGCAACACCTGTAATAGGCGAGATTATACGAGTATAGAAGGGAACGATTTAAAAGATCTGAATTAAGATACTAGTGAGCTTTTAGACAGAATTCCCAGAATTCCCAGAGACTTTAAGAAGCACCGAGTGGGTTCTCTCTCTAGGCTCAAAGACTAGGCAAAGACTAGGCAAAGACTAGGCAAAGACTAGGCAAAGACTAGGCAAAGACTAGGCAAAGACTAGGCAAAGACTAGGCAAAGACTAGGCAAAGACTAGGCAAAGTCTAGGCAAAGACTAGGCAAAGACTCTCTAATTCCCCTATAAATTTGCTTATAAACTCGGGGTGCGATTTTTGAAATCCTATGCAAAACTTTGCACGCTTATAACTTTTGACAGAGTGTTCCATAGCAAAAACGGAAAGCAATCGGCGTTGAATTCTGCATCGAATAACCCGTGGCACGTGTCATTTGGCCACCACATCTAGTTGATATTCCCTTGTCAGGACTAGGTTCGTCACCGAATGCAGTGAACTTGAATATACAGACACAGGATTGGAACCTGGTCGATCAGATCAGGGGCCTCGTTTTATGGTTTTATGTCAGTCAGTTCGATTTTTCAGGATAGGTCTAGTTATCAGAAAATAAACTGAATGATAGGATCAGATTAGATCCAGGTCTACTGTTCACTAGACATGGGAAAATTCCAGCCCGAATCTAATTCCACCTTTGTTTTCTTGGCCGATTGCTCTGAAATTTTGTCTACAGATAGAAATCAATATTTCAGCTTGTAGACAAAATTTTAGAGCAATTGGCCAAGAAACGGCCGAGAAAACGAAGGTAGAATTACGTTGGGGTTGGAATTTTCCCATATCTACTGCTTACCATGATAGTTAGTCGTCGTTGGGCATAATTGAATCTCTTATTTTGCTGATTTTTCTAAAAATATGGAAATCATGATAGAATTTGTCTAAAATACAAACTAACGGTGTTCTTTCGAATCAATCGATATGTGAAGACATCAAGTGGAAGTGAACAAACGATTAACACAACAAGAATCCCTTCATAAATATATAAGAGAAGACTCAATTCATTGCCCGAAGTCACAAGCGCATACGCATTGGGATTATAGAAAATTTTATCCGAGGCTGAAAGATTAAAAGTCTATCTGGAAAAAACAGAAATTACCGCTTAAAAACTGGATAAGGCCGATGCCGGGCATTGGAAGGATGACAATTATTAAAATTTGAAACAAAACATATGAGTCTAAGTTCTAAATCGGATTAATTTGATGTTTTGATAAAAATTCGGGGTTAGTTTAAAGTAAGTATTGCAATGAATCGGCTGGCCGACCACCTAAAAATGGAACCAGACCAGGATTCTGATAAACCAAACAGCTTACTGTACCTATTAGTGTTTTTATTCAGCTATTTTTTTAGCCAAAAACAGCTAACCTTATTTTAGATGTATGTAGATAGATGTAAATATAAGTACCCAAATGTAGTTCTGGTATTGATAAGGCAAGGTGAAAGCTATTAGTCTAGTTGAACCCTACTACATCATTTGATCTGCTAGTGTGGACGTGATGTGTACAGAGTGCGCTTTAATTACGTGCACGGCTCTGTTTTCTTAGTGAACTAAGCCACTTTGCCATTCCAATGGTTTCTAAAGTCTGGAAAACAAATTTAGACTGTTTAAAATATTTGAAAAAGGCTTCTCTCATCGATATCTTTTACTAACTAACCGTTTCGACCTTCAAATGTCCCCTGGTCGAGTATCTAACGCGAAACTAGATCAAAAATGGAAAAAGTTTTCCAATGAATATACTATAGTTTTTTTGGTGTCAAAACAAAGAATTTTTTACTCTGTTATCTGACACCAAATTTATGATCATGCGTATGAATTTATGACCACTCATGTGGACGGGGCCTCTAACAGAAGCGCATGCGCTTCTATTAGAATAAATACGGTACCTATGCGGTCGTGAGGATCTCAGGCCTTTTGACTTTTGTTGTTTCAAGGTTTAATTGAGTTTAAACCGGTGTTTTCCCCTAGTCGAGTATCTAACGCGAAACTAGATCAAAAATGGAAAAAGTTTTCGAATGAATATGCTATGGTTTTTTTATTTCATTTCTGTTAACAAGCCAATTTGCCACCAATTAAGAGTTTTTAGCTTTCTTTGATCATTATTTTTAATTTTCTTAATATGAAAATTTCATCAAAAATCAAAGTTTTGTTTTTTGCCTTATAAATTTTGCAAAATAGATAATCTTTATTTTTCAAAAAGCTTATGAATATCTAAAAACACTTAGAAAACTCTTAAAAATAACTCGAAGTCATAAGAATTAAAAATTGAATGTAAATTTGCTAAGGTTTGTCGTGAAAAGGTTCGTGTTAAGGAACGAATTTGTGCTTCAAATCAAAGCGCCCAACTCGAGATAGTTAATAATAATGTTTAAATTTATAAAGAGATTGATTATTGGTAAGATCTCAGTTGTCTTTGGGTAAATCTTTGAAAACAAATGTTGATCTGTTTTCGAGGAACAACAAAATGTGTTCGAGGAACAACAAAACGTAATTAAAGCGCACCCTGTAGATGCAGGAAAAACAGACCAAAAAGCTATTTTCTCCATATTTGATGATCAAAAATCGATTGACGCTCAAAAGAAATCGGGCAAGTGCACTACTGTGATTGAAAGTAGCACCCAAGCCCATGAAGAGAACATTCAAAAAATAGAATATTGGAGAGCATCCAGGCATTCCCAGACAAGCAGCCCTGAAATTTTTCTGAAATTTACCTTAAAAATTATTAGGTACATGCATAAGAAATGCGGATTTCAACATTTTCATAAATTTCCAACCATAGAAACCTGATATCGATGAATGTTATAAACTATTTAAAAGTTGTAAATCTCCTCTATAAAACAGGCTAAAACGTATTTCAATTGATCGAACCATTGAAAATATTTCGAGGACGAAAGACGAAAGTGACCAAAAAAGGAATCGAGTCACTTTAGGGACAAGTTTAGTGTGGTCAAAATAGAGTTAGCTTCCCAAAATTGAAGATTTTAAAAAAGGATAACTATATATCAATTCATTAAAAGAGTCTAACGGAAATGCATTTACAGAAATTTAGATAGAGCGTAAGTTCAAAACCCTCAAAATTGTCAAAAAACCGGCTTTTTCACAAAAAAGAAAAATTATTGTAAAAACAAAGTTTTCCCATGAAATGATCCCAACTCTTAATTATTTTGAATGATATTTTTAGAATAATGATTTTAGGGCCGTCATTTTCCACTATATAGTCAAAGCCGAGCTCTTATGAAAGTGGGGTTTTCAAAAAGTGCCCTTTTTTGGTCCCTCGCATTTCGCCCTCGAAATTTCTTCAATGCTTCGATCAATTGAAACACGTTTTAGCCTATTTTGTAGAGGAGATTTGCAACTTTCAAATAGTATATAACATTCATCAATATCAGTTTTCTATCGTTGAAAATTTATGAAAATGTTGAAATTTTCTTTTCATTTCTTATGCATGTACTTCATATATCACATATCACCCACTTATTGAATATGCAAAATATCTCATAGTAGAAGACTATGCAAATAAGTATTCGAAGCAAATGTTCAATTATTAGATACGATCGACAAGATGTTGTAAGTGGGCCACCCGTTCTCCAAGCAACCCAAAGACCGAGAGCATTTCCAATAAAACAAATGGTGACTAACTGAAAAGTATAAAGATTGCTAAAAGAACAGTGAGATGTTGTTTGGTTTAAATTATTAGCTCAAAAACATTAACATTTTTCAGAGATTGGTAATAAATTACCAAAAATTATTTTTTAACTGAACAAATTTAACCAAGAGAATTCTACTTTAATCGATACTGCTGAATCAGTCCCATTTTTGGCTATTTAGTTGGCTATAGATCTAACCAATTCATGTTTTTATCCATTTAATCTACATTTTATGGATTCGGCGAAATACTCGTCAAATGAAATTTCGATGCTGAAACAATAATTGAATCACCAACAGGAAAAAAGATGCCACCAATCGTGAAATCCATTGTTGATGGCGAAGACATTTTCCGATATCGTCAAATTCTCCAATTTCCAGTTATTCAAATAATGTTAGATGTTATATAGTGGGCGATGTGGGTGTTACCCTCTCTAGATAAACAAATTATTTGAATGAGGGTTTTGTTTCAAGAATTCCCTAGAGTCCTCAAAAAAGGAGTTCAAAAAAAATTTCAAAAGTATAATAAAACGATTTAGAAAAAATTCAACTCTGAATGATTTTGTTTTATTTTTTTTTCGACCACTTGTTTACTTATTTATGAAAGTACTTAATTATAGTTCTTTGGTTCATTAAAAAGTCTTGTGTAGTGACAGTCCACCTGCTTTTGTGAGTGATTTTCTCGACAAGTTAAATTAAACATTTTATCAATTTTTTTCTTTAAACACTCGCTTCTAGTGTTGAAAATTAATATTACCCCAAAACGGCAACCTACCAAATTTAATGGGTTCAATGGTTCAAGTTCAAGTTCAACGGATTCAATTGGCAGTATCTATGAAATACAATGGTAAAACATAGGAAATATCATTTGAAATGGCTTTTTGTTCACAGTAAACTATCTTCGAGGTAATAAGTAAGGCTGGCAAGCATTCCTTTCATCTCAACCTTCAACGATTCAATCTAAAAATCTTCATGATTAGTCTTCTAATTGAATACCTAGATAATATCGAGGTCACTAGGTTACTATAAATTCAGAAAACTTCATTACTTACTTGATTTTGACTCAATGCATTCCCATAAAGCCGTGAGATGATTGTTTGGGCAATCTGAAAAAAAGCCAGACCTTTAGGTTATTACCGTTTTATTTTTGTTAATTGTCATTGTATTTGTCAAGATTTTTAGCAAGTAGCAAGTTTCTATTAAATTTTCCCTGAACACGAACCGAAAGGATTTGTTCTCTCCGTTCGTTGACCATAGTGAAAAATTCGACACATTCATAGCAAGAGGACCAGTAAAACTTCTAAAATTATAAATTAGCAAGAAGAAAATTCCAATATCTTACCTGTTTTACTGCAAATTTTCGTGGTTCTTCAAAGACGTTGTCAATCACTTTTCGCAAAGGATTTGTGTCAAAATGTCGACGTTTCACTGGAAAGTCACAATATCCAACATGGTGACAAACTTCATAGGGCACAGCCTAAATCAGGATAGATTTAGGAAAAAAAAAACCTCTATTTTAAACATGGGTTCTGTCAAGGATATTGAACAAAAGATATTTTTGTTACCAAGAACAAACAAGCAAACAAACAAACTAAACAAAACAAAATCGACATCCCTGGTTTGGTGACTAGTTTAGGGTTGAACCAAGACAGGCAGGGCAAAATTTGATCTCGAAGATCTGGATCTAGACCAGGGATGTGAATTTTCTTTGTTCCAAAAACTGGTAATCTAACAATATAACTTTATAATACAAAAGTTTTTAATTCAGAAACTTTTAGTATTAATCTCATGAAATTGACCTAAAGATTTTAAAAAGCATGCAATTCAAAATAACCTGAAAGGTTTTGACGAGAGCGAGCAAAGTGCTGAATTCAAGTGAATGTTTTTCAAACATTCCATTCACTGAATGCTAAAAGGAAAATTTATTTATTGATAAAATATGTTATCGGCAACGAAAATTTTTAAAATCAAAAACTAACCCGCAAGATTGCTGCAAAAATAACATCGATGTTTTCCTGGTTGAGAGTCTAAATTGTGAGGAAATTTAAAAGATTAGTGTAGTGTTCTTTCGGTGGAAGTAAGTCGTCCACAGATTGAAATGTAAAACTAAATAGAACCCATCAACTAAAGTCCTTAAGGCTCTATCCCGATATCGCGATCCTTTAAATTCTCCTTAACTCCTTAACTCCCAACCTAGATTTAAGTACTTGAATATGATTAATTACAGTTTTAGAAGGCTTAGAATCTCTACTTCCACAAAATATTTAGACTGAAGCATCTCATCTCAAAAAAATATCTAAATTTGGGTCGAAAGTTAGGGGAATTTGAAAGGAGGGCGATATCGATATCAAGGCAAAAATTTTTAAATTGTAAGTTAATTGGATAAATTCAGTTATTCATTTTGAGAAACCCAAAAAATTTTCCAACACATTTCCCGGGACATAGCACCCAAACCCAGAAGCTAACACTGACCTTTTTGCAAGTTTCACATCGATCATTCGAAGCACCGAAGATTGTGGTGGATAAAAGGAAGATGATGAGTGGTCGAATTCCAGCCATTCTAAATAGGTAAATAGTAAACATTACATGAAATGACAAGTAAATCATGAAATGAATAGAAAGATACAAAAGCAAATAGCTAAATTAGGTAATCTTGCTGAGAAAACTGTCCATACGGCTTGTCGGCGTGCGAACTTATTATCAACTTTCCTTTTGGCGTTCATTTGATAGATTGGAAGACAAATTTAATTTTGTATGAGTGCAAAAAAGCCAGAAAATTTGGCTGAAGCTAAAAATTCCAGACCGGGAAACTTTTAAGAAAAAAGAAGTATCGTATTTATTCTAATAGAAGCCCATGCGCTCCTATTTTTCAATCACTCCACAAAATTGCTCGTATTGAAGGCTGCGCTTCTATTTTTTAATGACTAAAAAAAATTGATGAAGTATTTCGTAGAAAGAAAACCTTTAGATAGCAGCCAATTAAAAATAATTCAATCGTCAAAAAAGCATTAATCACGATTTCATTACCGTTAAAGTCATCGACTTCAATCGAGATGTCACTATCGTAGCCAATGCAAGAAAATGCATTAAAAGCTACTGATTAAACAATAATGAACTTTAGCAATGATTTTTAAGCAGTTCATGCAAGAATCTAAGAAAGAACTAAGCAAGAAAGATTTTTTGCTAAAGGATTGGATACTAAAACGTCAAAATGTTTAAAGTTGTGAGAATTTTATGACATACAGTAGCGAACATAATTTTAGCATATTTTTGTTTTTACCGAAACTTTTTTGCAATTTAAGCTATCAAGCCAAAATTTGCCCTGCACGTAGAAAGTCTTCTAAAATTAGTATTTTACCATCTAAAAAATCCGCACATTCTGTTATAAGATTTTTCAAGAATTTTGGTGTAAGGCTGAACGACATAATTATAGCATATTTAGCGATGAGCTGTTAATATTTTCCAAATTTATTTTTTTCTTTTTTTGTTTGATATTTAGTTTAACACAAAATAATTCTAATTTTTAGACATGGGTAGAAAAGAGGATACTTAAGCTATCAAAAGAAATGACATTTTGAGGATGAAGGGCTTGAAGGTCATGCAAAACCATATAGCGCGTGGAATCAACCAAAGTACGGCATCGAGAATTTTTTTATTTCTTTATTCGCAATGGCTTTGATAGCAACAGGTTTGTTAACCAACGAGCTTCATGCAATTGGTCGGTCAAATCTCAAAGCGTAATCGTCCATTTTTCCGTTGGTGACTGCGCGATGTCCTTTATCAATTTGCACTCTTTGTTTAACAGAGCGGGTGTGATTTTTGCATCGAAAAGCTATAAAAAAGTTATTCTTTGCTGGATTACGAGAATCGTTCGACCAGCTTCCGCTAAATCCCAAACCCTGAAAGTTTTATGAATTGGCTTAGCACCTCACTAATATTTCTTTTAATATATGGCTGTTGGCAAATCAGTTAAGAAAGGCCTTGTTGTGAAAATTGGAAAATGGAGCGTGGCTAAGACTTCAAAACTTTGTTTTGTGTTTTAAAATGTGCGTTTTTGTAGTTTTTTTGTGGACTCTCAAGAAAAAACCGTTTTCTACTCGGATTAGCTCCAGAGAAACAAAGCAGAATCTGAAAAAAAAAAGTGAAAAATAGATAAGGCTTTGAAAATGAGAATAAAAATGAGAAAAAAATCGATCCAATATTTCTTCAAAATGAAAACTCAGCTCATCACTTTCTTATTCTGCTTCACTTCGATAAATGCTTTTCAATGTCCAAATGGATGGGATCAACCAGCCGGGGAGAATGTTTGCATGTTTCCAATCACTCAACGTATCTTTGTTTGCTGATTTTCAAATTTAAAAGCATCACTCTCATTTAATCCGCTTTCTAAAATGCATCTATTTCAGAAAGCTTTCAATCAGTCAGCTCAATTTTAGTTTTATTTGATGTGAAAGCACAGGCCTAGTTAATGATCCAAAAATTGGGTGACCCGATGTAAAATGGAGTAGAGTAGTTTTTGAAAATCGATGCCTTTGATTGGGTTAACTCATAAGTAATGAGGCAATTTCAAACAGAAATATTTATTCAATTCACGAAGAACACTAATGCCAATTTTCAGCTCAATACTATTCCGATGTTGTTCACCAATGTGATTTACTGACCGCGACGCCTGTGAAAATTCGAAATATCTATGAGAATGCCTATGTTATGCAATTCGCTCAAGGTTTGTTCTATTTGAAGCAAAAATGAGAGAAATTTTAAGCGAACGTCATTTATCCGTACATTGGAGTCGAGCGGAAATCGGATAGCACATGGGCTTACGCGGATGGATCACCGTTGACATATCCGAATTGGGATAAGGGTTAGTTAAGAACCTGAGCGGATATACCAGGGCCAGGGCCGTAAACAAAAGTGCATCAGAAGAAGCAAAATAGGTCGATATTTTAAAGTGACAACGATTTATTTACCTATACTTTTGGCGCAAACCCGACTTTTAAAAAAAATATTTCAAATTTTTCAAAAATGCGGATTCGAGGGCAGAACCATTCCCCAACCTCCAGACGCGATCCAACCACTGTGACGCGCGGGGACTATTGCCTGCTCCCTTTCGGGCCTGAGCCATCTGTCCCTCCTTGTCCGCCCGAGACTGCCGTCCTTCCGGGTAACAGCCTCTAGCGACGTGCCACTTGGTTTGGACGTCCGGTCGTCGGCTGGGGGCCGATCCCGGTCAATCCCTCTCCTCCACACCCGCGGTCAGCTGACTAACAAGCGCCCGCCACGACGCCCCGCGGTCGGAGGGTGAAAAAAAGGGCTTTTAAGGGCTCGGTCTCTAGGTTTTCTTCAGAAGACGTCGACTTGTCTGATCGATTTACAAGCCTTACGTGGACCAATTGAGATCAAATTTTTTGTGGATGTAGAACTAATGGTCTAGTTTCAGAATCTGAAAGCAAATTGGGCAAAATATCACAAGGAACTTTTTATATGAGTTTTGATCAAAACTTGCCAAAAAGCGGAAAATCCTGGTGATTTTTCACATCAAAGTCTTGAGTACTGATCGAGAACGTTAAGTCACGTAGAAAATCTTCTAAAATTAGTATTTTACCATCTAAAAAATCCCGACATTCTGTTATAAGATTTTTCAAGAATTTTGGTGTAAGGCTGAACGACAGTTATGACAATTATAGCATACTTAGCGATGAGCTGTTAATATTTTCCAAAATTTAGACTTTTTCGATAAATTTCTGGCTAAATAACTTTATTTTGACATATTGTAGTGGCATCAGTTTTGTTTTTAAAACAAAACAAACAAAAGTGTAGCATGAATTGTTTTTTCACTTCTTGGAACAATCTTTATCTCTAAATCAGTGAAATTAACACAATAAGTTCAACAAAAATATAGGTATTCAATTAGCAATAATAAGGTGAAAATCTTTGCTATTCAATGGAGATTCACATAAAAAACCAAGGCAATGAATCCTATTTTGTACAAAGCGTATTCTCTACAGGGTCCGTCAGAATTACGGCTACACCTTTTCGGCAGATTGCATGCCAAACACCGCAATCAATTCAAAAACTCTAAGTGTTATATACAGAATTGAAGCCTGAATTCTTGCCTACATTTCTGTACCAAAAAATCTTTGATTGAAGTTTTGTAGGCCATTTTTCAGATCCTCAAATGAGCCCAATCCGACCAGTCTCCGGCACGCTTCCATTTTTAGCTGTTTTCTAACTAAAAATTCCTAACCAAAACTTGAGTTAAAGATTTTGGCGAAATTTGGCTTTTGGGGGTGTTCAATTCTCAGTTTTTACGTTCATACGTGCTGTCCTAAAGCTGTACATTTATTGGAAATGATTTTTAAATAAATAAAAGAAAACTAAGGAACATTACTAAAGAAAAATTCTTCCTACATACAAGCTTTTTAGTTAGAAAGCAGCTAAAAATGAAAGCGTGCCGGAGACTGGTCGGATTGGGCTCATTTGAGGATCTGAAAAATGGGCTACAAAACTCCAATCAAAGATCTTTTGATACAGAAATGTGGGCAAGAATTCAGGCTTCAATTCTGTATATAACACTTAGAGTTTTTGAATTGATTGCGGTGTTTGGCATGCAATCTGCTGAAAAGCTGTAGCCGTAATTCTGGCACACCCTGTAGAATATTGTGTACAAGCGGCTACAATTGTGTTTTTGTGTTTCCTAAAGTATATCAATTTAGAAGAATATCGTAGTCGAACAACCAGTTTCCATTCAATTATCCAATTCGATTAGGAATCACAAAGAGTTTAGTCAATCAGACCAAAATTGGGGCAAGTGAATTGGAAGCTGGCTGTCTGAGAACGGTAGATTTCTGAAATAAGCGCAAATCGATATTTCTAAACTAAGTTGAAGACTCTTAAATGTTATTGATCTCAGGTGAACCATCAAGCAACCTGAGCACCCACTGTGCCATTCTTCGACCGGACACTGGTAAATGGCTTGCCGACGATTGCTCTCACACTCGACCATCTATTTGTTCATTTGATGGGGGAAATGGTTGGTGAATTTCTTTTGCTTTTTTCTAACTTTAGCCCAATCAGGATTTTGTGAGAAACTTGATTAATTGAAAGAAAAGTTTAGCCACATCACCTCCAACTACTCCATATTTGACTTCACCCTCCCCATCGCAATGTTCACCGAATTGGGTCTACTCGCAGGAAACTAATTATTGCTATTTTTTACAGGTAACTTTAACAACTTTTTTTTAAGATTTTTTTTGAGAATTTCACCTATCCGGACGGTGTACACTGGCAGCTTTACAATTGGACACAAGCTGAAGCAAATTGCCAAGCAATCGGTTCGCACTTGGTTTCAGTGCATTCACATGAGGAAGCTCAATTTATTTACAGTAAGAATTCTGTTTTTCATCCATTTTAGCTTAATTACTCAAGTTTTTGTGGTATTAATACTGAAAAATTTCCGATCTGATCGCCTCACACGTGGCAAGACAAGAGAATGCCGTTCCCAACGGTGATCCGTGTTTTTACGCATATGCCTGGACTGGTTTATATGGGACAGGAGATGTGGGAAATGGGAATTGGAGTGACGGGACACCGGTTGATTATCCAGCTGGATGGATCGAAGATGAGGCTATTTATTGGCAGGTAACAAAATTTCTAGGCTTCGATTTGGTTTTGTTTTACCTTACTGTACGCCGTTACCGTATCGTTAAGCAAGTCTATTTTATCCGACCTAGGTAAGTGATCAATTCCCCTTTTCTAGATGATCAACGATGCATCATGCCAAAGTCATGGTTGGGGCACCGATTACAGTTATGATTACACTGGCCGTTATGTCTGCAAGACGCCAGTAAAGAAAAACTGATCTCGACAATGCCTTAAACATTGGATAAATCATTTGAAAACGGTTTCATTTGGAAAAAAATGTAGAGTTTATAAATAATCATTACAAAATTATTTCAAAATACTCATCAAGAGAGTCATGCTTGAACTCGGGTATTTGAAAACCTTTGTGATCCTGTTTAGTCGAAAAAATGAGATTTTTGTTCAGTTCTCTGTTCTTGCTGGTTCTGAGTCGAACTCCTTGTCCTTGTCCTTGTCCCATTTGCTGTCAAAACAGCCATGATGGAGCTTGTGTGACCAAAGACGAGAAATGCATGCGTTTTTCTTTCGGCCCTAGTCGAGCAAGAGTTAAAATAAAAGTTTATTGGTCTTCATTATGAATGCAATTGTTGAAGAGTAGGATGAAAATTGAGGAACTATCAAAAAGAAATTATCTTGTCGCATTCTTTTTGCATAAGTATTGATAACCGCCGAAGCTAGTTCTAATAGTGTGCCATTCACCTCCTCTATCAGTGTGAAACTGAAACTAATTTATAAACGATTACAAATAATTAGGACTTAAATAGAAACACATACCGCAGCACGTAGAGAGTAATCGCGACTGGTGCCAGGCTCACGTTTGGCCCAGTTTGTGTACTTTGCAAAGCCACTTCCGTCGCTCCACCACCATGTGGAAAGAACATACTAAATTTGTCGTCAATCATTGTTTGTATTTTTAGAAGATACATGTAAGCCAAGCCAAGTGAAAAATGGTGCATGTGATGTCATCCCTGAAAAAGCGCATAGAGGTGTTTATCTACTGGAGTTTACCATTGACGAATTGCATTTCTTCTTGGCTGTGAATCGATACAGGATAGGAGTCCAGTTTTGAACATTTACTCATTGCCGTATCGTAGGAAACACGCTCTTTGAACAGCTGAATTTAGTCAATATTAAAATGGGTTCTCTGCGTTTTCTAAAGATGAGCGTTTTCGTTTTCTAAAGATGAGCAATTTGTAAAGTCACCGTAATCTTAATCTTAATCTTTCTCTTAACCTTGCGAGGATGTGGGTTTGAAACTTTCTCTGAAGCAGATCTTGGTTTGGAACTTTTTCTTAATCAGATTCGGGTTTGAAACTTTATTCACTATTAGATAAGTCACTTTTTCTGTTCGATAAGATAAAAATGAAATAAATTCATAAAACAAGCCTTGTAACAGAATCCATTGTATTGTTGCACATGTGAAAAGTTTGTTTCTAAAATTTTTGAGATTTGAGCAACTTTTTAAACCAAGATTTAATAAGCTATTTACTAGGCAGAATTCTTTTTCCTGTTTATTTTGATTTGGACTTGAAATAGACTTGAATTTAATGACAAATTTGAGTTTGATAGTTTGCTAGCTAAAGATTTAGCCAACTCTTTATTTGCTTCAAGCATCGAATCCATCAAAGGAAAGCCTCCGAAAAGTAGTGTTAGAATCAGCAATAGCATCTTGAAACTTAAAACCTGAAGACAATTTGTAGCGAAAATGAAAAATTGCTGAAAACAAATGAACTTTTACACTAGTAAAACAAAAAATTGCTAATCAAAAACATTTTGAGAGCTTTTCGACAGTTCTTGCCAAAATAAGTTTCCAATCAGCTTTCCGAATGTTTTCCATTACTTATTTGTTTCATTTTATATTCGAATTTATCATTATTTATTATTATTATCTTATCTCAGTTCTTTGTTTTGTTATTTCCTAGAAATTTTACTCTTCTTTTGACAAAACGTCACTCTCATTTTGCAAAGTTTGCTAAATCGCAAATTTTGATAACTCAACAAAAACGTGTTTTCAAATAATAAGCTTTTTAGTGTTTATTAGAAAGAGTGAACAAAACAATAGAATTCCAAGTTTAAATGATGTTTGAAATGTCTCAAATTTCGGTGTCCGGACGGGTCTGAATCCATTTCTTGATTGCCGGGATCGAGTGAACTTTTTCCATGTGAGCTTTTACCTATTATTAAAAAATTAGTGCAATATTTGAATGGGTTGTAAATCTTGCACTATTCTAATGTTCTATCAATTCTAATTTTTTTGAACTTACCTCGGGATATTTGTCAAGATAATGAGAGTTGTAGCGGGTGAAAGTCTCACAGTGATCGGCAACGAGAAGATCGATCCAGGAAACTTTCTCACCCACCTTAAATGTTGGTGTTCATTATTTTATTAGTACTTTTTGATTATTTCAAATAAAGCAGAGGTTAAACCTTTAAAAACTTGATAACCAACAATAAATCCCGATTTGCTCTCTTGAAGAAATTTGGATATTGGTGGGAAGAACTCGTCTCTTCCAGGTTCAACGGCGACTTTGTAAGCCTCTTCCTAAACTTTAACTTTTTCAATAAAGATTGCTAATTCTACCATCGGCTGCTCGCTGATTTGATGCCATGATAAATAGAAAGGTCGACAGGCTTTGAAGAGATCATCGTAATGAATTCCGATCGAGTCGAGAAGAGCCGCTTCATATGGATTTGAGCCATTGAAGCCTGAAAAAAGAGACTAAAGACTTGAACAGAGAATGTCTCACTTTTAATATAAACAATAAGCCATAACAAATTAGAGTGCAGCCTGGGTTTTAAGCAAATCCACCCACCAAACTCGGCGCCCAAATATTTGGCGATCGCGTTGGCTTGAGCGAGCTCCTTTCCATCGAATTTCAACACGGGCAATTGACCAAAATGTGTTGCTAAAGTTCATTGAATCCTGTTAGAAGTGTTCATCTACTTACTTTTCTTCAATTCACCCCATTTCTCCATATCACGACTCACAGCTCGTCCAAGGGGTCCAAGAGAAAAACGGTCATCTTCAAATTCGACTCCAGCCAATGCGAAGAGTTGTCTAATGAATTCGCCTAATCGGAAATGTTACATTATATTTAGTTTCTGTAAATAGAAACTTTAAAAGGGTTTAAAGTGTTGAGATTGACTTTAAAAGTTAACCTAACTAAGTTTATCAAATTTATCAACCAAAGAAAGTTGATAATCTCCACCAACCTTTGCCTCGAACAGCAAAATAGGTGAACTTGTAGTGAACCATGCTGAAGGTTTAGTCGCCAAAAGCTTGAGCAAAACCTTGTTTATATTTGTACTGAAGCTCCAAAAAATAGAGAACTGATCAAAGAAGATTGTGTGTGATAAGGTGCTCAAAATTGGAAAAAAAGAAAAACCCAATGCGCACAAAGTAGAAATCAAGGAAAAGAAAGGAAAAAAGCAAAAGGCAATTTTGATCTAATCAACTAGATAAGAGTTGACATTGACTTTTCAGCACAAACTATCAAAATCGTTTGAAACTTTAGTATGCAATGATGATTTTATTTTATAATTATAATTTTCGTATCTTTGCCTGATCAGTCAGAAAGGATAAATGCATCAAAGATCATCTTCAAAACGTTTATTGGGTTAAATCATTTTTGTAGATCGAACGGGTGATCGATGATGTGACTCAATTTGAGAAAGCTCTCTCACAACAGCTCCGGCCACAAATCCCGATCGCTTGCAAACAAAATACGGCACACCGAGGGCGTCATCCGTATCCGTGTATTGCCATATCAGCACGCTTTTTTTAGAGCTATGGTATGGTAAAAATTTATTCATTTGATTGTTGCATCAATAAATAAATATATTCGTTCACGGCAACAAGTAGATAATGACAAATCTTTGGGTTGAAACATTTGCTGAACGAGAAAACGATGGGTAAATCTCGTGGATCGATTCCCGTGAAAATTTCGGTGAATGACTTGAAAGAGTCGAGAAGTTTATCAGATAAATCGACAGAAAGAATTATATTTTTCTGCTCTTTGCATAATTCAATCAATTCCCCACCGTTGACAGTGTTCATTTTTGAGCCATAGAGTTGAAGATACGAGCAAGGATGAGCACTTGGAATGCCATGATCGATCAGAAATCTCATCTCCTCTAGTTGATCTTTTTGTCTTGGTGAAACTTCCAATACTTCGACTTTGATTCCTCGAAGAAATTCCAAGATTCCAATGACTCCATCGACTCGAATTCGACAACAATCTTTGAAAGGATTCTTCTCGAATTCCAAGGCACCCGGTTCTCTTTTGAATCTCAAATCGGTTTCGCCAAAAACATCAGCTTTTGATTCGTTGAAAAAATTGGCCAAATTTGGGAAACTGCTTTCTTTTGGACAAATGAAATACTTTATGTGGCGTAGATTTGGAAACAATTCTCGAAGTGGCAGAAGCTGAGCATCCCAATCAGCGACTGTAAGAGAATCAACGCCTTGAATTGCTCGGCAGAGATCGATGAAATTCTCTTCACTTTGGAATTCGTAGGGCCGAGAGTCGGCAGTGGATTGGATTCGAATCTCTTGACCTCTGTCGATTCTCAAAGACCAAACGATCTTCGGAAAGGCTCCATTTGTCAGAATTATATTTCTCAATTGATGATTTGCCTTTAACAAACGAAAACGCGAAATCGTCGACAATTTCTGATAAATGAGAGTCTTTATCACTGAAGGAAATTCAAGAAATGGAAGGATTCTCTCAGCGAGAAATGGAGAATCAGCTAGTTGACATTTGGCATAGAGATGGATTCGTTTTTTCTCTTCAACGAATAGAAATAGTAATTCACTTTTTGAGTCCACTCTTTTCTTAAAACATTGAAATTGGGAAGATCGAAAGAATTTCTCAATTCCTTTCAACTTTTCTTTATTTATTGAGGGCGTCAAAAGGATCGAGTCGAAAATTGGTGAAAGAATTTCTTGGTCATAGATCCGAATGAGATCTCGGTTTTTAGCCAATACCTTTGTCAAGCCTCTTTTATCGTCTTTTTGGCTGATCTCCAGATAGCATCCTGCTAAAGGATATCGACTGGGAATTCCCTCGTCGAGCAATATCCACAAATCCTCCACGTTGTCCTCCATCCCAAAGACAAGGAACTTGGCGTTTTTTTTGAACAACTCCTCCAAGACGATTAATTTATTCCAATTTCTGATTAGGCCACAATTTGAGAGATGGGCTTGAAAGAAATCATTGCCAGTTTCTTTTTTAAATGGGAAATCGACTTCTTCTTTGATTTGAACGGGAGATCCTTCAAAAAACGGTAACAAAAGCCGTGGATGGACAAGACCTCGAAAAAGCAAAGAACCTATGATTTTGAGCTTAGGGAGGAGATCTTTAAGTTGAAATCTTGAGTCGACACTTTTTAAAGTCATTTTTTCAACTCCTTCAAGCAATTTGAAAAGAGAAAACTTTTTAAAAGAAAGTCGACAATTTCGTTCGTTTTTCGACGTTTTAATCTTGAATTGCTCTTTCTCGATTTCGATCTTTAGCTTGTAGATTTTCCTAGGAAATGGCCCATTTTTGCAGAGAAATTCTCGAAAATTGCGATTCAACTTCAGAAATAGAAGAACTTCTCTTGTTTCGAGTTTCTGCTTTATTCGGTCGAGAATTTCGAGAGAAATCGCAAAAGTCTTTGAAGAATGAACTGAGAAGAGCTCATCGTCGAAATCGGGAAACCACATTTCGAAAAAATTATCAACATATGTCAAAGGAATAGAAATCTTTCAAAAAAAGTCTCAACGAAACTCCAAAAGCTATTTATTCGAAAAAATCTCCCTGACAACGAGTGTAAAATTGCGTAAATGAATGCAATGTCTTTCGCCTTTCGAAAAAAAGCGAAACAAAAGAGAAGTGAATTTTACATTAGGCTTCTCTCTTTCTTTCTTTTCTGAAAATGAAATTCTGGCAAAATAATAACTTTATCTGCAGAGATATTCTTCACATTCATCTACAAAAATCTTATTTTAAAGAACTCTAGATTTTCATCTGAACTTGTATTTCGTTTATGTGACTTTATCAAAAACGGTCATAGACTGTAGTTGGAAAGATTAATTTTCAATTAGGAATGAATCATTGAGATGAATGAGCAGAACAACAATCATCATCCGGTTCAGAAACATAAACAAAGGTCAAATCGTCATTGGTGATCGAAGAGGATACAAACTAAGTGCATTAACATTCATGCTATACCCGCAACACTTGAGTGCATTTTTTAGAGAACCCTAGCTTATAATTAGAACACAATTATCGTTCGAAATACGGGATTCGATTATTTCATTGAAATCTTTCGCCGATTTTATTGGCTGCTTTTTTTCAAGCGCTCATTCATTGATTATGAGCCCTCTTTATGATTAGAAACTTCGACGATGTTCTTCCACTTGAACTTCTTGACCGTATTCTGAAAGCTTTTTGAATTGAGCGCCTAAATTCGAGCACGGATTATCGTTATTGTTGGTGAGTCCCCGGTGGTCTTTCAATTTTCTGAGAAGTTCAGAAACAAATCGGCCAGAAACAAAACAAAAACAAAAACAAATTCTTTCTCAACTTTTTAAACACCTCTCGTCCCGGATTTACATGACGAAAATCATAAATAAGCAGGGTTTTGTTAATTTTGTGTGAGATTTTCCCCGTAAACGATGACTGGAAGTTGAAAAACATCTTTCTGATAAATTTGGTGCAAAAATTGCCCAATCGGCTTTCAATGTCACTTCAAAAACCCCAGAACTAGGTCACGCGCCAGGCTAAGTGCGACTCCCAACTTCGAGAGCTTGTTTGAAAAGTTTGTGAGCTGCAATCGGTTAGATAATGGGCACTGCTACCGGAGATCCACACAACATTTGTCTGTAAAATTTTTGCGGGGATCGGTTATCTTTTGACTGAGCTACACCCTCCAGAAGTGAGTCTGAGTAATTATGACGCACCCGGGTGCGTCATAAATACATACGGGTGCATCTTTTGAATACAGGGTGCGCCCTGTATTCAAAAGTTGGCTGCCTAAAAATAACTGTGTCAATTTTAACTCAGGCAGTTTTGCTATTTTCTCATTGCAACGCGCTTCTATCAAAGAACAAAGCTTTTATAAGAATAATATTTTCTTAATATTGAAAACATCTACTAAATAATAGAGAGCTACAAACTATTTGAAGAAGAAACTTTCCAGGTAAAAAGCAAAGCAAAACAATGTTGGTCTCGAGAGAGTTCTAACAATTAATGTTATCGTCAACGACTTGTGATGGCAATTAACTCGATTTCACAATATTTGAGTCAATGGGCAAATTCTTTCATTGAAATTGGATTCGCTCGTCGACTAATCAAACTGTTTGCTTGTGCTTTTTTCATTCCATGGAAACTGTTGGACAAGGTTAGATTTAAGTGAATTTAAATTGAAATGATCATTTCAAAGACAATCTTCTTGTGTCTTTGAATGTTTCAATCTTTCAATCTTCTCAATTCGATCTTTGAATTCAAGAAGACATCAAATCTTCTTGAGATTCAATGATTTCAAAATACAATGAGCTTCTCGTCGTCCTCCTCTCGACTCTCATCTTATCGGGTTGGTTTTTCGACGATTTCACGTCCTTACTGATTGCTTATAGGCACTTGGGTGGATTGACTTGGCTATTCGAATGGACTTCGATCAGTTTTTATGAGGCCGGTCAACCGGATATCGGAGAAAAGACAAAAGAAAGCATCCTACACGTCATTCAAATAGCTGAATTTGTGGTGAGTGATTAAAAAAACTATTGGGTTGTCCAGTTATGAATGCGCGTTTTTACTATTTTGTAAATTTCTCAAGATATCGAACAGATGTATATGAGTGTTATATATCATTCGAAAGCTGAAGATCTCCTCTACATTTTAGAGTAAAAAAGTTTTTGAATTCATTCAACTTTTTGGGAAATTGACTGCACAAAGGGAGAGGTCGTTTTCGAAAAAACCCATTCCAGCTTAGCTATTCCTCAAGTTTTATGGTGTAAAATAACCGCCCAGAAAAGAAAAGAAAAGTAAAGATGCTCTGAAATTGTTATATTTAAAAAAAATTTGTATTGATATATCTATTGGCCAAACATCAAACGGTTAACTCAATTTGAGCGGAGCCAAAACTTGATCCAAAGGCACCCTTCCATTTTTTTGGCCACCTCTTCTTCTGTGCAGTCAATTTCCCCAAAAGCTGAACAAATTCAAAAACTTTTTATATCAAAATGTAGAGGAGATCTTCAGCTTTCGAATAATACTCATATATATATCTTTTTCTTGATTTCAGTATCTTGAGAAATTTACAAAATAGTAAAAAACGCGCCTTCATAACTGGACAACCCAATAATTCAAAAAACTTGCAAGTGATTGCTGAAAGTCTAATCAATTGCTTGTGAGAAGATAGCTGGAATCAGATTTACAAGTTTGAAACTTGTAAATCTTTCGCAGCAAGATCGGGTACTAAGCCAGTATCGATGGTCTTCTGAAAGTTGAATCCAAAGAATCAAAGATCTTAAAGAGATTGAAAAACGGCCATAATCTTTTCTCTCGTGGTGTCTGACCTCCAGGAGAGTCTAAATCAAACCAAACCAAGCCAACATCATCAAGCCGAATTGTCACTCATGGGCTTCAGAAGAGTTCCGCTAGTTTCAACTTAATCAAACTGAATCAATCAACATCTAAAAAGCTCCCCAATCCATCAGTTCTCACTCATTAATGGAGTTTTAGATGATGTCGTTGAGCTTTGTCATCAGCCCACTGGCCATCTATTTCCCACTCAAAAACGATCAGCTGACGTGGCCAATTCGGTGATTTTTAAGACACGTAGCAATCAAGAATCTATTCAGTTTATTGGCGGCAAGCGAAAATCTCAGTAAATTCATTTTCGCCTTGTACTATGTGACTTATGGTTTCTGCAATTTGCCGGTTAACGGCGACCGATCGACTAGGTTGCAGTTGAAGAAATTTCGCATTGATTTAAACGATTTTAGATGCTCAGACAATCTGTATTCGGTGCTGAATTCAATCTATTTTAATGAATTCCTCCCTTATTACATTTGGGGTCACACGGCTCAGTACAGTCAGATGATGATCTCGTTGAGGTTTGGTTTTTACGATTGGGTAAAGGTTTTTTTAAAGGTAATCGATTGAGAGTTTGTCATTAAGAAATTCTAAGTTTGGTTTTAAATAGAGTTCCTTTCTAAGTTCCTTTCTAAAGAATTTCTAATGAGTTCCTTTTTAAGTGCCTAAAATAGGATCAGTCTATTATTGTGTCCCAAACAGTCTTTTCGGGAAATGGCTTGAAATAGAAGAAACTTATCATTCCAAGTTATTAAATCGATGTTTATATTGAATATATTCATGTTTCATTACTGATTAATCGTTGAGTTCAACCTGCAACATATATTGGGTTGGTGAATTCAAAACTGCGGGACTTTGAACTAAAATTTATTCAACATAAAACCATAAATTCATTCCAAATAATTTCCATTATTATTGACGACTTCTGCCCATTTTACAGGCAATTTGCGGATTCCTCATTCGTAGTAGGATTTTGGTTTTGAATCGAAAAACTTTCAAAGCCAATTTTTGACTGCTTCTTCCGAATCGAAGTGTTCTCCCGCAAGCTCATTACTCATGACCCGGAATAAATAGTAATCAAAAGGGGCGAGGTCCGGACTGTATGGGGAATGCGTCAAAAGTTCCCCAACAAGGCTATTTATTTTATAGCGAGTCAGTTTTGCAACATGAGGGCGCGCGTTGTCGTGGATGAGAACGATCTTTGACTTGGAGGGCTTATTCTTCTTCAGGGATTCACACCCCTGATCATGATCCGGAATAAATAGTAATCAAAAGGGGCGAGGTCCGGACTGTATGGGGAATGCGCCAAAAGTTCCCTAATTTGAGGAAATGTTGAAGTAACCAAACCCCCTTTCAGCTAGTTCAATGCTGTTGTTTTTTTATCTGCGAGTCTCGCGAAATAGCCGGCAGTTTTCAATTCACCAATATCAATATCAACGATCATTTTCGGAAAACTCAAAAGAAAGTAGTGGTGAAGCTTGTTGGAAAATGCCTATAATCATTAACTGCCTTCAAGCTATGGCACATTTTTAAATCTTCAGCCGTTTCTTCGCCATCTCGTTTAACGGTGCCTATTTTCGCTATACATTGCGATGGCCTATTGTGCAACTTGTACTACCGTATGTCTATCGAATCGGCTTCGAACAGCTCAAATGGCCGTTTCCCGACTCTTATTTCACATTTGAACCATATTTCCTTTTCATTCCGTTCTTTCTGATGATCTCCCTCGATTCTATGACTCAGTACAAATTTGGAAAGGTTTTTCCTGTAATGAAATTATTTTCAACAATTCTTTTGTAGTTGAAAAGAAAAGGCAAAACAACGCGGTGCGAAACGTTGCTCATGTTTCAAGTGAGTTCAAGAAATGGAATTTGATGAGAGCTGTTACGTTAAAATTGACTTTTTTTCCTAAGCTGCATTTCTTCCGTGGTTCCAAGAGAGATTTCTTTTTACTAATTAACAAGATTTAAGGCTTCCTATAATTTCAAAGCCATCAACTCTTCTTCATTCACATCTCTGAAAAGCTTTGAGTAGAAAAAGAATTTAAGTTAACATATTTCAGATGATAACCAACTCGTTGATCGCTCTCATCTATACGATCGTTTTCTACTCGGCTCAGAGTGGATTAAACGTGTTTTTCGGTGTGAATGTCGGCATTCTTTTTCTCGAGATCCTGAATTTCATTCAATTCTCGATGTTCAACGTATTGACCGTGTGAGATCGAGAATTTCGAGAAATCATTAAAATAATCAATTCAGTTTCATCTCGATCTATTGCTTTCGGAAAGCAAAAGAGCAAAAGGAAAGAAAAGGATCAGCCAGGCAGACAATTGTCATTTCGTCAGCTCCACCATCGAGTCGTCATCGAGACTAATCGTTGGCTGGTTACATTTGGCAATAAATTCCTTATTTCAAAGTTTCAAAGAAATTTTTTGAAATTATCATTAAAGATCAAATTACAACTCATTTTGATAAGCATGGACTTATCTCCGACTATCAATTTGGTTTCCTTAAAAATAAGTCCACCACTTACCAGCTTATTTTAGTTTACCAAGAGTTCTTTAAGGCCGTGGATCAAAAGCAACGTAAGCACTATCAGCTTGAAGCTGTGTTTCTAGATTTTGCTAAAGCTTTCGACCCTGTCCCTATTAAAAATAAATTAAAATCCCCATCAAAGATGAAGCCGCTAAGCTTGCTTCTTTAAGCCATGTCAGATCTTGATCTGGTTGAAAAATGGTCCCATAATTGGAAATTAGCTTTAGCGTCTACGAAATCCCTTCATTTCTCCACCAGAAATACTATTTTCCCTCTGAAAATTAATTCTACACCATTAAACAGAATTGGCAAAGAGGCAAATATCAGAGATCTTGGAGTCCATATTTCCCCACCTTTAAATTTCTCAAAACATATTAAAATTATTTTTCGTAAAGCTTCTTTCGTCTCTAGTCGTATCCTAAAAGCAATTTGTTATCAAAAGCAATTTGTAATTTGTTGTTATATAATCCTCACCCTATATAGATGTCTGATATTAACCAAGGCTTCGGCTTTGCACACGCAGAGACCTTGGAGCAAAGGGCCCCGAACGCACCGATCGCAACTGCCTTTAGGTAGCGCGCTTTTTGTGGCTTGTGCCTAGGTTAGGTGCAGACGGTGCAAATACTATAGGGTACCCTAAGTAGTGTATTGTAATTGAGTTTTCAGTGAGTTCAGTGATTTTGCTTTCACTGAGCTCGTTTCGCCTAACCTAGGCATAGATCACAAAAAGGCGCGCTACCTGGGCTGGTAAATTTGAGCTCATTCCTGCATAACACCATAATTCATAATTCAGTAGATTAATAGTCTCTCTTTTCTTTTAGGTTTTCATTTTATCTAAAAATCGAGCACAATGACTCACATTTGTCAATAATTTTTGTGATCTTCAAAAAAATAGCTCCTTCTCAATAATCTCAATAAATTTGTTTACGTCAGCGAAATGACTTCACTTTTACTGATAAGGGGCTTCGGATAGGCTGCGGATTCTCATTCTTTTACGAAATTATTGCGAAAAGATCTGATGAAGAGTTCGTTTAAGCAATACAGCACAATATTTACGCTTGGAAGGCATGCATGCCCGATCAGAACAAAGTTCAATCAAAAAATTCTGTGACACTTACACAATTACGCTAATTCTCTCCTCGTGCTTCCTCCGCTTTTAATCCTTCAGATAAGATTTATTGCCACCCAGCAGCCATTTACTAAAGAATCTTTTTTGTGCTTTGTGTTTTCAACTAATTTCTCGAAATATCTTTCAATACGCCCGACTTTTTTTAAAATCAGCTTGAACCAAAGCGATGGAACTGAAGAGAATCGGCAGCGGAAGATACTCTGAAGTAAAACTAAACACATTTCAAAACAAGTGAGTTTTAATGACGTAATTAACAAAAGAATGCTTTAGGTGGATTGCTGAAAAGCACATCCTTTTGCGTTGGAAAAGAGTCTTCAGAAATGAGGTGTCGGTGTTGCAAAAATTAACACAAGGCTCAAACAATCATCCGAACATTATTCGCTATTTTGACTGGGAAGAAAGAGGCGAATATTATGTGATCAAATTGGAGTGGTGCGAACGGGGATCGCTACAAGATGGTGAGTTGGAAAGGCTACTAAAACTACTACATTGAATAGCCTTCATCCAAAATTTCAATAAACTTTGTCAACCGTTGAGTTTCAGTGATCGACGACCCAAAAGTAGTCTACTCGATGAAAACGGCCCTCTGGTGGGCCGAACAAATCTTTGCCGCTCTCCGTTTCTTGAAACAGAAGAACATGATTCACAGAGATGTGAAGCCGAAAAAGTTGATCTAAATCTTTGAAAAAACTTTTTTCAATTCAGCATTTTGATTACCGAGCAGTTCGTAGTAAAACTTGCCGATTTTGGCTTTTTGTGCGAAGTTGAATCGATGAGCACAATTACTGAGACTGGCACTTATCGCTACATGAGTCCTGAGGTCTACGGGATAACCGGAAGAAAAATGGTTTGTAAAATTTAATCAATCTAATTTGCTTGATCAATTGTGATGATTGTAAGTATATTAGTTCTGTTTTTAATCCTCAAAGAAAATGTGATAAGATTCTTGGGGCTTTTAAGACAAATGACGTTTTGAGTAGAATCGAAGTGTATCGAGAAGTGGCTTCATTCTTGAATGCACGTAGAAATTGATTCAGTGATAAGTCTGAGTCTGCTGAGTTCTTAAGTTCATCGACTTTTGCAAGGTCAATGCAAGATCGAGTTCAATGTCAATTCTTTTAGATTCACTGCAAAAGTGATCTGTATGCGGCCGGCCTTGTGCTCTGGGAAATCCTCGAGAGAAAGTTTCCCGATCTCAAAGGCTAGGAAATTTTCTTGTTTTCAGAAAAATCTTCTACGACTATGTGGAACAAGAGGGCTTTAATCACGTTCGATTCTTTACCGATTTCAAAAAAGGCACCCTTAAATTCGAGCTTCCAAATTGTGCTCACGAGATCAAGAGTGTTGTTGGAAGGTTTGGCATGAGAAATGACCAAATTCGATTTTCTTAGTTGCATCAAATTTCATTTCAATGATCGCCCGGATGTGGATAGACTGTACGAAACGGTGACTGAAATGAATATTGTGAGTCTGTGATTTGGAGGGAAAAGTCAATGACTTCCAGAAAATGAAAGACTTCTTCAAACTGCCCAAGATTCGGGATGAGCTGACAAAGAGACTGAAACCAATTGGCTATGATGGAACAAACAATGAGCTCATTTTGGAAGATGATCAAATCTCGTTATCAGATTTGAGAAACAACTCGAAATCGACAACAATCAACGTCCTCTGCCGAGCTAATGAACAGAGTTCAATGAGTTTTTCTTGCAATTTAATCAAATTGTTTAAGTTGGACAGCTAGAACAACCGGATGCAGCAAACAATAAACAATAACAATAACCAGAACATATAATACTTAGTTGATAGCTTTTCACTAATCGGCTAAGGGGGGGCATTAATCGGGGCCGGATTCTGAAGAAAACGTTTTCTTGGTAACACTATGTTTTTATATTTTTATATTGACAATTATTACCAACTGCGCTGAGCATCCGCTACGCAGATGCTTTCCAAAAATTTGCATTAATTTCCATGGTGAAATTAGGTGTCATGTAGTCGCGCTGAAAAAATTCTACCGAAACCACTTCATAACTCAGCGGGTTTTCAACTTTTTCAAAAGCTGACTTCAGATTCGGAATCAACGAGCGATTTTCTTTTACCCTAAAATGAGAGTTTTCAGCACCCTAGCTCAATTCTCCGAATAAAAGCCTCGGACGGAGAGACAGACGGACAGACAGACGAATGGCGTTATATATAGTAGATGTAAAATGGGCGAAAAAAAACCCGTCTGGGGTGATGGCCTGGCTGGCATGCATCCGAAATGGAAGATGATGACATCGATAAACTTGGCGGTCAACTTGAAGAACTTTTAAATTTGAGCGAAAATGAAGAAGATGAAGAAGAAGATTATGTTTTATTGGCTGATTATGTTATTTGTGTTAGCCGATTCTGTTCCCTTTTTCTTCGGGTTTTTCGGGTTTTTCTTCGCCCATTTTATATAATAACTATCAATATAAAAATATAAAAACATAGCGTTACCAAGAAAACGTTTTATTCGAAATCCGGCCCCGATTAATGCCCCCTCTTTTAAATAGACCAATCTGCTATCGACCAAGCACACGATGTGGATAACACGATAACTGAAACGATCGGCAAGAATTTCCAAGCATCTCAGGCGGAGATGGACTTTATAGATGACTTTCAACAAGTTGGTCATCATTGCCAATCGGCTAAAACCTTTGTTTCTATAGAGAGAGATTAGAGATTCTTCTAGAGAACATTTACTTCAGGATCAACCAAAGGCGACTGAATTGGTCGCAACAAGGGACATTAGCCAGCTACCACCGGGAAAAGCTTCATCTGTCATCGATCTTAGGTGCATTCTGAAGCAATCTTATAGTTTATCTCTTTTTAGATCGCAATATGAGAGCAGCATGCGAATGAGCATGGCCAACTCGTCAACTTCGACTCTTGAGTCTCGCGATGTTCAGAATAATATCGGAAAGATTATTCGCTGGGAACAGGTAAGTTCCGAATTGCTTCAATCGATTTCGACTCTTGCAGTCACGATCGAATTTCTCGAAGAGCTGCGAATCTTTCGAAAGGGTTCAAATCGAGAGCCCAGATTTGTTTGCAACCAGGTTTTTTTTGAAGCAAAGCCAGTAAGAAAGCGTTTTCAGAGGGAAATTCAAAAATTCAAATTCAAATCGGAAAAAATTGCTGGCATCTACAGAGGAGCTTGATGAATATGTATGGGTCGATTGGAAATTTGTAGATTAACCATTTTTAGTTCAACATTGAGCCTCCAACGTCATTTCAGACTCCAGATCCACCAATCGATTATCTAGACAGCAGTGATCACGAAACCCAATCACCACGTCGACTTCCTAGAGAAACACCTGGTATTTCTTGTGTTTGTTTTGTGTGTATGTTTTAGTCCTGACTTTGTTTGTTATGTGAATTGATTTCAACTTAATTGTCCAATGTCCAAAGATGACAAAAAGTTCTCTTATTTAGTGATAACAAGCCCAGAGACGTCAAATACCGAAAACACAAAAGCGGTAGCAGCTTGGTTGAACTCGGGCGTCAAGGTAAGCAACTTTAAAATAAATTCAAATATCAGTTAGGTAATTTCAGTTAGATTATACAACGATTAGCGAACTCGATTCTCAAACTAAACCAAACGACTCAACGATGGCAGAGACTGAAATAAGTGTCGATTTAGAAGTCCCTTCATTTGACGCAATATCGACGAGCGAAAGCACGACTTTCAGGTGAGTGCTGTAAAGCCGCCGAATGAAGCATCTTTAGATTGAACTCACGACAAAAATCCAAGAAATTAGAACAAGAAGAGAGACAAGAATTGAAAGAATTCCACAAGAAAGCCACAAGTCAAATGAAAAAACAAGAGAAATTCCATTTGCAACAGAGATTGGTTGCCTTGATTTTCTGTTGTTTTTGCATCCCCCATTTAGAGCCTTCAAAATACCCTTCGGCAAAGCCTGAAAGTCATCGATGAGAAAATGTTGCAACAACTGGATGAGGAGCGACGAATTCAACAGAAAGAGCACAAGAGCGAAACGGCTCGGTTGAGAGCCGAGGCGGTGAGAATCTGGGATCGGAGAACTCTACAGTCTGTTACAGGAAAGACAGTTGACCGATTTCAACGAGGCTTTACCGCGGTTGCTGAAAAACCTTAAAACCAGTGTGATGAGTCTTTCAAAACCGCAACGAAAGAGAGTTCTTGACACCCGAAAGTCTCAACTCGCCAGAGAGCGTCAAGAGGAGGTCTATTGTTGTTGTTGTTTTAATGTTGAATTGTTATTGATCCTGAGATTGTTTGTTATTGATTGATGCTGATTATTATTAAAGGGAGGAGGGGTATTAATCGCGGCCAGGTGACCATAAAATTTTTTTTAAGGCAATCACATGTTTTTATATTTTAATATTACTTTTTATTATCAAAAGAATAACAATCCCTGAAAGTGAAATAGAGAAAAATCAAGAGTCCGATTTCACGTATACTTACATGGATTTCAGGTCTGAAACCAAAAGATGACCTACTCGTAAAAATTTCAAAAAAAATCAACTATGTTTTATTGGGTGACGCCTGAGGCAAAACCAATTCTGACACCACGATGAGCCTTGAAAAATCAACGAGAAGATTTTGCCAGACTTAAACTGATGACCACTTTTTTCCGGACACTCTGTAATTGTGTCAATCAAAGCGCTAAAGGCGTCCTACGGTGGAGAAAATCCAGTCATTTCTGGTGAGGATGCGCTGGAAATTGATGTTTGAGTCCGATTTGAGGAACTGCTGTACTTGAGCGAAGATGAAAGTGACCGAGAATGAAGAATTATAGATTAGCATCTTGTTTTTATTGTTGCTTTTTATTTTGTTTTCAAATTTATCTGCAACGAAAACTCAATCGATTTAGACTTTGCTGAGGACCTTGCAACGTCTCCAAAAATTTGTAAACTCATCAAATCACTCTAGCCGGTTGATTTTTATTCTTTTTATAATATAATTAGCAATATTAAAATATGAAAACAGGTGATTGCCTTAAAAAATTTTTTATGGTCACCCGGTCGCGATTGATATCATCCCTTTAATGTCTTTTCTGAAACTAACCAACTAAATTATGATTTAACTATTTGACTTCAGGAAAACACCTTGCGACAACAACTGAGAGAAAAAGCTGGCACCGCACTGTCGAGCCTCGAGATGCGGCATAAAAATAAGATTTCTCAGATTGTGTTGAATGGCGATGAGCAAAAGAAGAATCTCGAACAAGTGAAAAAAGAGCGCGAAACGAAATTGGAGGAAATTATTCGAAAAGAAAAGTTTGTAAAGAGAGTTGATACGAATACGAATCTGAGATTTTTTCAGATTCGATCTGCTTCTGAATCTTTTCAAAGCTCAATGGGAAATGCTTGGGGCACAGTTGGAGTGCGTGCAGGAGCACGAATTGCGACAAATCGAAGAAGAACAGTTTGTCGAGAAGATGCAAGCAAAGCGGTTTGAATAATGCGTACATACATGAGTTTCGGGATGGGTTAAATTCTATAATCTTTTAGAGAGTCGCACCGCAACCTAGAATACCATAGTCTTTTTAATAGTAGTGCCGGCCAAGCCGAGTTGATGACTATTTTACGGTTTCTAAGTTTTTGCAGAAGCTCAACGCTCTAATCCCCCACAAGATCATCATCAGCTACATTTTCCGACCCCACATCGATAGGTTCTGATAAGCGGTTTTCGAGATTTCGAGCAATTTAGGAAACGCTCAGGGTGCACTACTATTAGAGAGAATAATGAAGATCAGAGAAAAGAGAATATCAATTAGAGAGAAGAGAATATCATCACAGCTGCAAAATGAGCAGTTTACCAGACGGGGTTTCTAAAAATCGAACCCTCTCGCTGTCAAAAAAAGTGACGTTCATGTTCAGATTTATTGCGTAGTTGAAATGCTCCTCTTTAAAAAGACATATCATTTGTTGCAGTATGAATTCACTAGAAAAAGTTATAGCCGATTTAGTTCCATTCTGAAACTCATGTACATACATAATCGAAATGCCCACCTTTTAGGGCACTCGACGAAGATACCCGAACATTTCCTCGGTTTTTACATCGTGAAACCAAGACCCGTAGCATGATTTATCGAGAGTCGCTGAGAATCGGCAGACAGGTCTCCCAATGAGAAATATAAATATACTAAAATTTTATCAGAAATCGATTAACATTCCCGAGAGGATTCGTCAATTCCAAGCCGAAGAGGAACTTCGAAAGAAAACCGCACTTAATGAGTACAATCAGAAAAAACAGGCGAAATTGCAAGAACTCGAAGAACGTCATCATTTTGAGCTACACGCGATAAAAGAGCAACACAGAATACAGGTGCTTTCGGTTTTTTCTTCATGAAATTGATTGTCTTTCAGAAACAACAATTTGAGAATGAGCAGAACCGGAAACTGGAGCAATTCAATGAAAATCAGACACAGGAGAGAGTTTCTCTTTTTGACTTTATGGAGGGAAAAAAAATTGCCGGTACATCCTCTCAACTATCGCTCAGGGTCTAATAAAAATTTGCCGTATTAAGACAAATGATTTTCTGGATCTCATAAAATGGTTTATCTGTATTTGAAATAGCTTTCCTGGTCCAAAAAGCTGCCAACTCGAGATCGATCAAAGCAAACCCACCTGGTTTCAGCAAACATTTTCGTTCCTTATTTCTTTTGGGCTCAACAAAGAACGCGATAAAATCCTGGAAATTCTTTTTCTGAGCGTAGCTTTTGCCGACTATCATAATTAACTACATATTACTGCTATTTTATATTGGTGAACTTGTTAAGCCAACAAATAATCAGACTCAACGGACTTTAAATAACGTAAAGGTCCTAAAGTCCTAAAGGCCCTAAAGCAAAAGCAAAATCAATCAAATGATATCAGTTCTTTGGATGAACCTTATCCGGCAAATCCCGTCCATCGACGGCTTCGGTATCATGGATGCTCGCTCTGCTAATTGAAAGCTTTTCCCTACTTCAATCCATCGAATCACTCCAAAGTCGCCGATTTTCAGAATGAATTCTTCTGTGACAAAAATGCTGAACTTGCTTTAGTATAGCTGATGTTTTCTAGAGAAAAAAGCTGTACAAACTGACAAGTGATTCGAAATTCAAATTCTATTTGAATCAAAGATTTGCTGTCATTATCTACTTGTCGCCGTAAACGAATATATTTATTTATTGATCCAACAATCAAATGAATAAATTTTTCTGATTACATAAAGCAAGTTCAAACAATGATGCAATGATGATTTTATTTTATAAATTATAATTTCCGTATCTTTGCCTCATCAGTCAGAAAGCTGCAAAACGTTTATTGGGTTAATCAAATTTTTTTAGGTTGTGGACTGTCTGCTGATAAGATTCTTGTAGATCGAACAGGTGATCGATGATGTGACCCAATTTGAGAAAGCTCTCTCACAACAGCTCCGGCCACAAATCCCGATTGCTTGCAAACGAAATACGGCACACCGAAGGCGTCATCCGTATCCGTGTAATCCCAATCGCCAGGCCCTTTGCAATCTCCGCAATTATCCGAAAGTATCTAGATTTTATGGGGTTTAACAAAATGATGCAAGTCTTGAGCCACTGAACTCACCCATAAAATGCTTCCCTGCGTTTCTGGGCAGATGGCAGGCTGATAATCAAATGGAGTTCCATCCGACCAAACCCAGTTCTGGTTTTGCTAAAAATGAGAAAGTTACGTCACTAAGTACTTGTATTTGTTCACGGGGTAGTTTATAGTGTTTCGTCTTGAAAATTTGTTAATTTTAAGCATTAAAGTAAATCTTAGCAACCTTTTTTGCTCCGACAATGAAACCGCCCGCATAATCGCCAAACGATCGATGCCGGCAATCGGTGGTGCAACACAAATCTGAACGTTCAGGTGTTTTTCAGCTTTACATCTTCATAATTGCCAATCGTAAGTGGAAGATTTAATTTCAATCAAGAAAAATCGCTCACCACCAATAAACATTGACTCGCTGGCACTGTGAACTGATGCCAAGTGCGCATTTTGATTTTGGCAATAAGCTTCGGCCGGGGTGTACGAGTAGTTGAAACCGACCTAAAATGGAAAAATGTATATCGGACCAAGTTCTGCAATTAAAGAATACCTTTATGTAAGATTAGATTCTCTTGAAACAAACAAACAAAATGCTTACCAAATAAGAGCTGTCAGTCGTCGGGAAATACTGCCAACCGTTATAGCATGAATAGAGATCTTGCGAAGATGCTGAAATTTTCAAATTTAAAATTTATCTCCATGAAATCTTTAAAAATTCTTAGTGATTCTTTAATTTACTTTAATTTTCTATTTGTAAACGATAACTTTAATAGACTAACGTGGATTGCAAGTGAGTGGACTCATTGTTGGAGGAGTTCCTTGTGTGGTTTCAGGAGGAGCGCTCGTTGTGCATCCACCATTTAAGATCGCTGGGATATTACACCTAGAAAAAGATTGAAATTTTCACTTAAAAAGTGGGAAAACATGAATGGCAGAGTCGTTGTGCAGTCAACAGATGTCCATTTTGCTGTTTTCTTTTCAATCGAACCACAATCGTAACGGGGTTCTCCTAAGCACCAACTCAATATGTAATTAAATATAGCTTAATAAGAGGAAAACAATAGATGATGTAGCTCATTGGGTTAGTGTTTGCTTGGCAAGCGACAGGTTGCGGGTTTGAATCTCGGTACCGATTCTCAGGCAAGCTAGGGTTTGATTGCACTTTCTAATGAACCTGTGTTCCAATTCTGATAATCCCATGGGCTTTGATCTACCCACGCGAATTGAGTCCCATCCTTTTTTGCTCCAATGTAAAAGTAGCTTCGACTGATTTCTAGAAAACTTTCTTATCTTCTTATTTTAAAGAAATCAACGAGTATATGAGACTCCGGGAGAAAGCTGTCTGTGTCAAGGTCATGAATTGAGAAGAGATGTCCATTGAAAGCTGTGCAATACTTTTCAGCCAATGCAAACGAGACCACTGAAAAGTTTTTGTCAATAAAATGGAAATCTCATGTAAAAGGTTACAGTTATTATTTGCATGTAAACACGATTGAATCTCCTCAATGTAAGTAGAGCCTCGAGGACAGGAAATCGCTGAAATGACAACGGATTTTTCAAATTTCAAATCCAATTACGAAGAGGGGTTGTTGAGTCGCAATCGGGAGTTGTTGTAACAGGCCATGCACAAAGATACGGTAAATTATTGTCACAGTCGACGCTTCTCCACTGTTTGTCGTTCGAGTCAAGCGAGACACAGTCGCCTCGAGATGGTTCACCTAGTGAAAAGATTGAATTATCCAAGTATGGCCAAGTGCTTTTCATACTTGGTTAACGCTTTAAAGATTGAGGGTTCAAATTCGATTGTTTAAATGGAACTTTAGAATATCTTTTGCAGACTCAACCTGGTGCCCATTGTGCAAAATCATTCGGCGTTCCATCCGACCACAAATAAGTTGCATTCGCCGCTTTTCGTAGTCCCAAAAAGCCACGTTTTTGCGTTAAACCTAAAATACAAGTTGGTTTTAATTGTCTTGTTCAACTTACTCGTCAACTGTATTCCGGCGAACATTGAGTTGATGAAAGAGCTGTTAATCGAGAGCAGATGACCGCCGAAAGCCTGACAGTACAGCTCAGCATAGCCCATCGGAGAAGCTAAAGGAGAAATTTGACGAATCGAAAAAAGTAGCTATCACAAAATGCGTTTAATTTTGAATTTCAAAATTAAGCACACAGCTGGCTCAGATTGCCAACAAACCATCATTGTCTGGATGAATGCATGCTCCATATTCATCCACATAAAACGAATTTGGTGGACAATCTTGTCCTTGTGCCAGAGAAATGGCTGATAAAAGAACGGCGATCACCAGCAGTTTTCCCATTTTGATGCTAAATCAGAGAAAATGCAGAATAAAGGCAAGATAGCTTTGAAATTTTAAACAAATTGGCTTCTTTTCTTATTCGTGACGGGTTTAACGCTATCAAAGATTGGTAAAAAAAATACGCTGAATGCTAATCTTTGTGAAGCTTCTACTATTTGAAGTCTTTATCACGAATGCATCCGGACTAAATTTTTAGTCTAAAAAGCTTCTTTTACGACAGTCGTAAAATTTGCGACGATTGGGCGAAAATTTAGTAAAAAAGTAAAATTAGCTTACTTGGTAAGCCTAGAGTGATCAATACCCAAGAATTGATCGTGACTTTTAGGATCGAAATTTTGCTATAGTATAAGAGTGAAATGTCTTCGATTGCAAATTCCACGTACACTACTGGACAATGAAATATCATATTTGAAAAACGATCGTCACTTTCGCGCGTCTGTAACTCCCTTGTCTTTGAGTTTAAACTATTGGGGTTATACATTTTCTGAAAGCTCTCTTGAAGGGCTACACAATGGTAATATTAATATTTAAAAATACGGTAAAGACAAGGGAGTTACAGACGCGCGAAAGTGACGATCGTTTTTCAAATATGATATTTCATTGTCCAGTACTGTACATATTGCACGTTGTTTTCCAAAATTGAAAGTTTAACAAAACATATTCGTCATGTCATGCTTCATGAGTTCCTACAAGAGCACAGTGCAGGCTTGGTAGCTGCTAATATTAAAAAAGATATATAGGGAGGACTCACCTTCCGAAAGAATATGTCGAGTATGGTTTGCCAAGTTTCGATCTGGGGACAAATCTTTGAAAGATGCAGAGGGGCGTGGAGCGGCACCCCAACTGGATGATTCCAAATTACTCGAACTCACTACCAACGATCACCGCGTGAATTGGGAGAAGAGTTAGTGGTTGATCATGTTACATTGCTAAATCACCGTCATACCCTTGGATTTAAATCGAAACTTGGGACTTGGGTGCCCCATGACCTCACTGACCCCCAGAAGTGGCAGCGCGCCTCGATCAGTGCCGTCCATCTCTCACAATACAAAAGGAAATCTTTTCTTTCCCGAATTCTGATAGGAGATGAGAAATGGGTTTTACCTGTGAACTTTCAGAGGAAGTGGCAATGGGTGGGGCCAGGCAAGAAACCCGAAAGTGACCCTAAGCCCGATTTGCACCAGAAGAAGTTTATGCTCTGCGTTTTCTGGGATGTGGAGGGAGTGGTGTACTGGGAGTTGCTGGATAGCAAGACGACCCTTAATGCAATCAAATGCAGTGAACAGTTGGAAAAGGTGAATGAATTCCTAAAGAAGAATAGGCCCTCCGAGTCAAAGATCGTTCTCATCCACGACAACGCGCGCCCTCATGTTGCAAAACTGACTCGCTCTAAAATAAATAGCCTTGCTTGGGAACTTTTGGCGCATTCCCCATTCCCCTCGCCCCTTTTGATCACTATTTATTCCGGATCATGAGTAATGAGCTTGCGGGAGAACACTTCGATTCGGAGGAAGCAGTCAAAAATTGGCTTTGAAAGTTTTTCGATTCAAAACCAAAATCCTACCACGAAAGAGGAATCCGCAAATTGCCTGTAAAATGGGCAGAAGTCGTCAATAATAATGGAAATTATTTGGAATGAATTTATGGTTTTATGTTAAATAAATTTTAGTTCAAAGTCCCGCAGTTTTGAATTCACTAACCTAATAGAATGGAAGATCAGAAGTACCGAATTCAGGTGTGCTTGCTCTACGACTTCAAACAAGGAAAAATTGTCCGGGAGAGCCATAGCTCAATCTTGAAAGTTTTTCGAGAAGCCGCTTATTCAGAAGAAGCTTGTAAAAAATGGTTTCAACGATTTAGAGAGGAAGACGAAACTCTACAGGATCGAGGACGTGGTCGCCCGCCTCCAGCGCTCAACGATGACGATCTTCGAGGAGCCATAGAAGATGGCCCAACCTTGTCGACTCGGGAACTTGCAACGATGTTTGCTGTAGGCCACACAACCATTGCGGACCATTTACATCGTTGGGTAAAGCGAATCTCATCGGGAAATGGGTATCCCATCAACTTAGTGACGCTAATAAAGCTACTCGAGTGACTATGGCCGGTATTCTTCTTCGTCAATCAAAAAAATCGAGGACACTATTTTTGGCGGTCGATGAAAAATGGATTTACTAAGATAAACCATCGCAAAAGCGGCAGTGGTTCAGTCCAGGAGAACAGAAAAAAACGCCACAACGTGATCTGCATGGAAGAAAGGCCATGTTTTTGCCATCTCAAATTTTTGATTCATTTTTTAAAGCCGACGTGCTTCCTTTATCAAGGCTTAAGTTAAAAATATTTTACGTACTGGATTTTGGATTTAAATCAGCGCTTAGATTTATCAGCTTTGTTGCTTTTTTTCATTCACAAATTTGTGTAAAGATTTAGAAGTTCAAATCGAAAATTCCTTTCCAATCAGCTTTGTGAATCAAAGATTTTTGTGCTTTTTTTTCTTTCTTTTGAAAAACGAAGAAAAACGGCGTATTTGCTGGTCGACCCGTTGAAACGCGTCGTGTTTATTTTTTGCCAGCTGCCCTTTTCTCTTTCTTTTCACAAAATCTTTTAAAAGAAAGATCACTCTTGCACCAAAGGGTCATTTGGGAAAATTCCCTGCACAATTCTTTTGAAAGAAAGATCATTCGTGCACAAAACGGTCCATTTGGAAATTGTCATTGGTCATTCCTTACACAAATCATTTGCAAGCAAAATGTGCTCTCAATTTGATAATAAATTATTGGTAAGTGGCAATGATTTATCTATTCTTTTATCGGAAATTGTTAGACTTATTTGACTGGTGGGATGTCCACTCTGGCGCTTGGACTCGGCAAGAAACTCGGGCTGATTGAGGTGCGTTAAGAAAGTTATTGTTGAAAATTGTAAGAACCAATCAAACCATACAAATTTCACTACTCTAATCTGTTCTCCTCAAATTTCTATCACTTTCCGTGATCATTCCTATCATTGCTAGTCAAATACAGTTGAAGAAGATCTAAGAAATCTGTTTTAAAGCTAACGAACAACTAGTCCAGTTCAAGTCTCACCACAGATTAGTGTAAGTTTTAGCGCATGTATTGCAACCTTAAAATAGAATTAAAATAGTGTTATCTTCTATTTTTTGTGTAAAATCCGTTTTCTCAGGCAATCTGTGCTGTTTCCTCCGAGGATCACCACGCCACTCCTGAAGAGGTGGCCGAAAAGGCGAATTGTAAGCCACGGTTGGTAATGGATTTGGATAGAATAGATTATTTGGTATTTAATTTTCTATTGCTCAATTACACATTCAAAAATCATTTCCAGTTACGTGAGAGAATGGTTGTGCTGTATGTCGTGTGCTGAGATGCTCGAGGTCGATGAAGAGGAGCGTTTCTGGGCCACTGAAGAGCAGAAAAAGGTGGCAGACTAATAAGAACTGATTACAATAGAATTGACAATTGATAAGTACTAAAATTCTCAGGGCTTGTTGACTTCGGGTTGGATGCCAATGTTCGAGATGTTGCCGCTGTTCTCGGATGTGCGTGAGAAACTGGAAGAAGCCGTGCGCGGAGACAGCAAGAAATTGGGTGATTGAGAAACGCGAAAGGACTAGGCTAGGCTGAAGGACTAGGCTTAAACTTCTCAAATAAGGCTTTTAAACTTTATTTCCTTTCAGGACTTCATTACGAAGACTTCTCAAAGTTCTACGATTTCATGGGCGTCATTACAGGTAGATAAACCGAACCAAAGTGCACGAAGAACCTTGTTTAGCAAAGATGCACTCTGAAGTGGTTGTTCCAAAGTTGTTGCCCGATGTTGGAAATGGGATTTTGGTAATTTGAAGGAGGAAACAAACGTGATAAAGAGTTTAGGAAGGACTTGAAGGCGGTGGAATCAAATGTTTGGATGTCGGTTGTGGAAACGGATTTCATGTTCAATTATTGGGTTGTTGAACTTTCCGTGAACTTGTGTTTATTAGTTAAAATGTCATTTTAGCCAAATCCTTTCCGAAGAGCTCTTTCCTTGGAGTGGATCTTGTTGAAGATGCTGTTCGCGAGGCACAGAAGCACAAGGAGCAAGACAAAACGGAAAACTCGGTAGAATAACATGTCATTATCAGCAATCAGTTACATTTTCAAAAATTTAGAGCTATCTCTGTTGTGATGCTCGCCAATTACCCGTTGATTGGGCAAACCGCTTCGACTTTGTTACAATTTTCGATGCTTGTCATGATCAATGCAGACCCGATTTGGTGAGTTACAAAAGTGACTTATTAAACTAAGATATCTCGCTTTTCAGGGACTCAAAGAAATCTATCGTGTGCTGAAACCGGGTGGCACTTTTGCAATGATCGAGATCAAGGGATCGGGAAGTGTGACTGAGGTTTTTGGAGATTGCAAAAAGATATTAAGATTGTTAGCATTATGAAAAGATAAATCTAAACCTATGGGAAGAGTTGGATCAACCCAATTACAGGACAAGAAAGCTGGAATTTTGACTTCGATCTGTTATGGAGGATCTCTATTTCACTGTTTGCCCGTGGGGAGTAATGAGGAAGGTTGGTGGAAAGAGTAGTTACCCTTGTTGAAAAAGCAGCTTTAACTTAAACTCTAAAACTTGAATAACTTTAGCTTTAAAGCTTTATAAGTTCTGTTTTCAGTTCTGTAAGTTCTGTTTTCAGGTGCCCTTTGTCTTGGATCGATGTTTGGCACTAATAAAGCACTTGCTTTATTGAAAGGCGCCGGTTTCGAGGATGTTTCCTTCAAAACTCCCGATTATATGCCGATGAATTCTGTTTTTATTTGCAAGAAATAGGTTTATAGTACAAATTTGATCTGACATAATCTCTATGTAGCCTTCTTTTTTGTATTCTTATGTTATTTTATGATTTTTGTTTCAAGCATAGAAAGATTTATGTTTATGCCTTTTGAAAAGTGTTCAATACTTTAAATGATTTAAGTTTAAGAATTGATTTCAGATAAATGAATGAATGAATAAAGAGATTAGCTTCAGGAAACAAGAACAAAATCAGACCAAAAGAACATTTTGAGTCACGAAATAAACTTTAAGTGAAGTTCTGAAGATGAAGTTTGACAGTCTGCACAAGATAAATTCAAAAGTTATTTGACTGTTTTGAATAGCTCAGGTTCTTTACTAGATTTATTCAAAGTTAATGATTTGACGACTTTCCTTTCATTGATGAGACAGAAAGTTTGAACGGATCCTTTTGCAGATCTTTGATCTTTTCTCTGCTTCAGCAGAAGAAAGCTAGTTGTGCTGAAATAAGTGATTAAACTCATAAAAATACGTATTTGTAAATATCAAACTCCTTAAGACTCACCTTGCTATCAAACTGAACATAAAGACACGCAGAAAAGCAACAACATTAACAGCCGCCCATGTTAGATAAGCTCCAAAGAATAATTGTAAAAAGATGGCAAGAGCGGTGAAAACAATCGTATTAATGAAGTTCATAAAAGAGTTGGCAAGCATCTGAATTGAACTTTGAAGCTGGGAATGAAACAGAATCAATATTTGAGCAGAAAACAGATCTTGAACCAACCTGCATCATCAGTAGGACTTCGGCTCTTGACGCTTTTGCCTCCTTTCTCAACTGAAACTTGAATGCTAACTATAAACTAAGCTAAGTTTAGGATTTTGATTTTTTAGCCTAGTTAAACAGAGTCTTTTAACACCTCTTTTAGTCGCCGATTTGTCACATAATCAAAAGCACACATTAGAAGAAATGGGACCGCACTGATCTCTTCTCTTGGATACTCTTCCCAACGCCATTGACATAAATGCTCAAATCCAGCACCAAGCAAATATGGGATCATCAATTGAATTAAAGGCAACTTTTTTGTATAATCAAAATATAGATCATTTAATGAAAGAGCAAAGAAACGACTGAAAATAGGATTGGATACGCATTGAAAGTAACAAGTAACAAAGTAACAAAGTAAGTAAACAAAGTAATTGAAAGTAACAAATTTTCAATCTTACCTAAACGAGATTAACAATTGGCAATATTGAGAAATGTCGATGAGCGGGTAGAAATTAACAACATCGCCAAATGAATCAACGATTTGGTAAAACCAGTGATTACATCTAAAAGTGAAGTTTAGTTTTAAGAGCAAAACAATCATTGTTTGTTTTTAAGAGTTTTCAAACCAAAGATTTCTTAATATGCAAAATCAGACCAAGCCAGAAGCCAGAACAGTATCAGACTTCTAGATCAGGCTCGAAGATTCAAGCTGTAACAACTCACTTTACAGGCCCATCGCTCATTGCACAAAGACGACCCATTGAGCTCGAGAAAGCGTAGAGGAATCTGTTCAAGTTCTCGGCCATAGATAACAATCTGTAAATTCTAGATAGATTTATTTAAACATGCAGACAATCTATAAAACTTGCCGAATTGTTAGCGACAATTGAGTGTTTGCAGCTGATGCATAGAAAGCAAATGGTGAGACAAGAAGACTAAGAAGAAGAGCCTAATTTGAAAATTTTTAGAAATAAACGTTGTTTAAATTATTCTTTAAGCTTGTGAAATGTAAAAGTTCTTAAATCAAGACATGATTGTTTCACTTACCCAATCCGAAAAGATTGCACTTAATGCAAATAGTAATTCACCACTGATATCAGCTGGTTCTTCGAAAAGCGAAAAGTGTTGATAAGCAATGAAAGTCAAAAGATAATAGGTTCCTGAAGAATTTTTTTTTTGTAGGAATTTGATGATCTCTAATCTAACTCTAATCTAATCTATCTAATGATTGTAACCTAGAAGTCCAAGCCAAACAATAAGCACAATAATCAATTCATGGAAACGTTCCCAAAATCGATGAAACGATGAGGACATTGTTTAAAAGTTTAAAAAATAGTTGAACCAATTGTTTTTCGGAAATAAAGTTCGTATGCTCTACAACTTTTTGAAGAAATTTCCGAAGTTGATATATAATAACACCCCAGAACAACCAAAAACTACAAGAAAACGGCTAATTATGTAATAAATCATTACCCAGAGAATTTGTTTCAAAAATGACTTCAACGAAATGCCAAAATTCGGTGTTCCTGTAATTGGGGTGGTTCAATTTGGGTGACTGAGAACAATATTCACTTACTACTACGGTCTGTTGATCTCAAACAAATAATTATTTGGATATTTTTGAGCAATTCTTGTTTCTAGCAGCTTCTATCCAAATAAATGAGTCAAATAATTATTGGATATTGAGATTCTAAAATGCACTAACTTTTTGCTTGCGTATATAAGGGCGGACCTGATTATTTTGCAACCACTTTCATTTTCTTTCTTTCTTTCCATTCTTTTTAATTTTTCAAGTCGATATGTAATTAATAGTAAGTTTTTGTTTTGTTTTACCATAATCTTTTGTTTTCGATGTTTTATCCAGTCAATCGGTTAAACAATGTTTTTATTTTAGATAGCAACGACAAAAAAGAAGAAGTAGAAAGTGACCCAACAACAGGACAGTTTTTTTTTCTGTATATTTTTTTTTAAATGTACTGGGGATTAAATGCGCTTTTGAATGATATGATAGTATGATGATATTTAGTTTTACTTTTTTTACACCATCATCAGACTTAGCACACCATTATAAAGTAAAAGTAAAAGTTTGAAAGTAAACTTTATAAACTAAAAACTTTTTTAGCGTGTTTCAGAGCAAGCTTTGCGTTAAATGTATATTAGAAAAGAAAGTTTGCATTTCTTTGCCGCATCCACGCTTTGGAATTGTATCTGAGATCTGAGATATCTGAGATCTAAGATCTGAGATCAACGCACCCTACTCACTACTAGAGGAAGTTTATGTAAATTATTACGTAACCAGAAACGTTTACACTTCTCACTCCTTTTCTCAAAAGTAAAAACTTTTATCTTCATAAAGACAATCAGTTCTTTTCCAAGCAAGTGCTTTCACATTCCTCTTTGGTTTTGAAACGATTTCCATTTCCTTGACATCCACCGTAGATGAATTCCTTACAAGCACCGGCTTCTTTATCAAAGTACCAACTCGGAAAGTAGGCTCTGAATAGAAAAGATAAAGAATTTTAATTCTAGACAACAATTAACATCTTCAATTGTTTTGTGAAATCTTACTTGCATGGTCCTGTAACCTTCTCCAATTTACAAACGGACTTCGGCTTTTTCTAAAAATGTTTTTATAACAATGAGATTAATAAAGATGATTTTTCAATGCGTTAAATGCTAAACAATTGCTGATGTGAAGATTTGTGACTTGCAATGCTAACCGGTTCAGTTGAATTGTGACAATCGACACTTTCAACGAGCCACTTCTCCTCACGAGTCACCCATTTGGAATCCTTATTGCAATCAAGCACCAAATTGGGATCCGCTTGACTCACTGTTCCACTGCTTGCACGGTAAACCTAAAGAAACTCCTCGTTTCTTGTTCTACGGATTTTACGATAATTAACACTGATAATTTTGGAAGATTGTTCAGAATTACTTAACTAATTTGATCTTTTTCTTTTGCTTTAAACTCACCACATAATTTGGTTGATGACAAGTGAGTTTTCGCGTCAAACAACCATCATCTTGGTTTCTAAATTGATTCGCATTCCATTAAGTTGTTGGACAACTTACTTGACGTGATCTTTGTCGAAACTGGCGTAGCCCGGTGGGTCTGTTTTTGAGCATCCTTGGCAACCAGCTAAAACTTAATTATTGGCTTGGTGAATTGAAAACTGCCGGCTATTGCCATATGTGACAGTTTGAGCACTTTCTTCAAAAGAAACCCATTTTGGTGTCAATGGAAAAGTTGTAGAGAATCAAAAATCAAGCTTATATCTAAATTTTCAGAACGATTCAAAAACTGGTTTTCAAGAAATGCCAAATTTAAGCGAAACTACTAAGTGTATCTTTTTGGAAATTTGGCTGTAAGCCTAATTTTTGATTCTCTACAACTTTTCTATTGACACCAAAATGGGTTTCTTTTGAAGAAAGTGCTCAAACTGGGACATCTCCAGTCCTCCATTCTTGAGTCTCACACTTGTCTCACACACAAACCAAAATCCTACGCAGAAAGAGGAATCCGCAAATTGCCTGTAAAATGGGCAGAAGTCGCCAATAATAATGGAAATTATTTGAAATGAATTCATGGTTTTATGTTGAATAAATTTTAGTTCAAAGTCCCGCAGTTTTCAATTCACCAACCCAATAATTATTCTAAATCTTGTGGTTAATCAAACAGATAAAGGTAGTTCTAAAAAAATGAAAGCTTTTCAAAAAGTAAAACTCACTTTTATCACCCGAAACACCTAATAAGGTGAGCACGAAAATATAGAGAAATTTGCGCATTCCAATCAATATCAAAATAGGAAATGGGCCATCATTTCCATTCACTTTTTATTTATATCAATCTGCCATTGCCTAAAAAATGATAAACAATTCGACTAAAAAGGTCAAATTGAGAGGTGAAGAGAGCAAAAACATGAGAATTCTTTCAGTACTTCAGTTGAATCAACAAAAATCTATTGCGTAATCAGAAAACACTCAGCAATAATATGCAAAAACCCTTAAAGCATGCACTTTTAGCGTAAAGTTACAAAATTTTGATCTTTTTTGATCTAAAAACAAATGTTGAATACATATTTTCGTACTCAAATTTTGTCACCTTCACTTTTTGGCATTCAATTGCTTGTTTATCAAGGCTTTGCGCCTATTATTGGTTTGTTATTTCAAAAAAGCTAAAAACAAGTGTGTTAATACAAATATTTATTTTTCTTCCAAGGCAAGAGAGGTCCAATGAAGCAATCTTGATCTAAATTCTCAATTTTGGTGATAGTTAACGCTCTTTGCAGAAAGGATAAAGAACACCGCCACATTGACAATACAGACATTCATTATCCTCTTGACACATCTGAAAACAAAAGCACTAAACAAGTTTTCTCAAAGCTTTACCTTAAGCCAAGAAATGGAATAACTATATAAAGCTAGATAAAGAATGTATTTGCTCATTGTTAAATGACAAAGATATTTTAGTAGTTTTGATGGACAGGGGACAATTCATACTCGATTTATTGAGTCAACAATTTATTGAACGCATGATTAGAAATAGAATTGACACAAAATGAAACAAAACAAAATTGTTTTTAATACAACAAGGCATTGGCATTAATGGGTTTTACTCTCTTTTGTACCAAAGCGAATCAAGGTGAATGATCGAATCTCGGTATAAATATATAAATATATATTCATATCAATTCTTGGCTTGCTTCCACACAATTTCCGATCCAAGAACAGTGCTATCAGCGTTTCTTTTTCGTTTCTCTTTTGTAAGAAGTAGAATTCTCGAAATTCAAGCGTTTTAGCCTCATTCAACCACACTCTCAAACCATCATTTGAGTGAACAATCTCAGCCACATATTTGAAAGAACTGCGGAAATGCAAATAATCCAAGTGAGTCATTTCACAGCTTTTCAGTGCATCTTTTTGAAAAACTGAAACATTTGTCTGGCTTAGAATAAGTTTTTTCAGATTTCCTTCTACAGTTTCAATTTTACCACAATCTTCTTCAACTAGGTACTCCCGAAGCTGTGTTGAAACAAGTGAATTCTTACTGGGGATCCCTTTCTGCAATATTTCTTCAAGGGCTTCTACAAAAACTTCAAACAAATAACAATTTAGCTCAAAATGTTTAGCATTTGTTGGGAAATCTTTCAAAATCGATGGCAATTGTTCTAGAAGAACAATATCGAGATAAGAAGCTTCTTGAAGAATTGGCTTTTTAAGGATCGAATGCCAGTACGCTTGAAATTGTTGCGTGTTCATCGGTTCAAATGGCAAAGAAACCCGGATTTCTTGTACCATTTTCAGATCAAAATTTGGGAGAATTAACTTGATTAGCTCCGGTTCACCATTCAGATACAAACGAGAAATATGTGAAATGGTCGAGAAAATTTTTGAAATCGTAAGCAAATTGGCAATATCTTCCAAATCTTGATTTCCCAACTCTGGTTCTAACGTTAAACATTTGCAAGCTTTGATCCGATCAAGTTCTTTTCTTTTCACATTTTCATAGGAATCAATTTGACTCAAAGAAAGAGTCCAACATTGTTTATCACTTGCTTTGCCAGAAAAATTTCTTGGAAACAATTCAATGCATAAAGATAGTGATTCATTCAGGCGAATATTGATCTCAGAGATGTATTTTGAGACAACTCCTCTAATTTTCAATAAACTTCTTGCAGTTTTGTTTACTTTAAAGAAATTTCTAGCTTCAGACTCGTGCAACCAACCGATTACCAATAATTGAAGCTCACGGGGAATTGATTGGAAATTCAATTGGAATAACAGCATTCAGAAAATTATTGAAAAGAGATGAACGTCTTGAAAGCTATATTTAGGAATTTCTTTCAGGAATGAGGCTTATCTTTGCAATCATTCTTGTCACGTCACCGAAAAGAAGATTCTTCTCAAAAAGGCTTTTTCTTGTGTCATTTAAATGTCATTTCTTATGTCATTCAAATCGACGTTGCAATCTGTGAACTTTTTATATGTTTTCGAATATATTTAACCAAAAACTTAGGTAAATATGGAGAAAATTGCTGTACGTTGATGACAACTGTATTCAGCTATAAAGTACGGGCCTGCCGGGTATAAAAGAAGGATATCTTTGTGTAGAGTTTTTCCTTTTTTTATATATTTTGAGTAAAGATAGATTAGATACGGATCTGATGCCTGTAATTTTCTTAAACATATAAAAAGTTCACAGATTGCAACGTCGATTTGAATGACATAAGAAATGACATTTAAATGACACAAGAAAAAGCCTTTTTGAGAAGAATCTTCTTTTCGGTGACGTGACAAGAATGATTGCAAAGATAAGCCTCATTCCTGAAAGAAATTCCTAAATATAGCTTTCAAGACGTTCATCTCTTTTCAATAATTTTCTGAATGCTGTTATTCCAATTGAATTTCCAATCAATTCCCCGTGAGCTTCAATTATTGGTAATCGGTTGGTTGCACGAGTCTGAAGCTAGAAATTTCTTTAAAGTAAACAAAACTGCAAGAAGTTTATTGAAAATTAGAGGAGTTGTCTCAAAATACATCTCTGAGATCAATATTCGCCTGAATGAATCGCTATCTTTATGCATTGAATTGTTTCCAAGAAATTTCTCTGGCAAAGCAAGTGATAAACAATGTTGGACTCTTTCTTTGGGTCAAATCGATTCCAACGAAAATGCAAAAAGAAAGGAACTCAGTCGGATTAAAGCTTGCAAATGTTTAACGATAGAACCAGAGTTGGCAGAAGAAGATCTTTGCACAGTTGACTACTTGTTCTCACAGGAAAAACCTTTTCTAAATCTTTCTCACGTTTCCTTTTTATATTTAAATGGTGAACCGGAGTTGATCAAGCTATTTCTACCAATCTTTCATTTGAAAAGAGCTGAAGAAACTCGTGTCCGTTCGCCAATTGAACCAATAGCCGTTCGAGAAGTGGAAGAGTATTGGAATGAGATCTTGGAGAAGAAAATTGCTCTTCAAGACTCTTCGTATCTTGATCTTGGAGCATTTCAACATTTACCATCAATTGTCAAAAAGTTTTCAACTAAAACAAGACACTTTGAGTTTAATTGTTGTTTACTTGAGATTTTTCAAGAAGCGGTTGAAGATATTCATCAGAAGGGGATTCCTAGATTCGTGACTATCTCCTTGAATAAGATTGTGATAAAATTGAAGTTGTAGAAGAAAAACTGAAAACTCTTATTCTAAGTCAGACAAATGTTTCAGTTTTTCACAAAGAAGCACTGAAAAGCTGTGAAATGACTCACTTGGATTATTTGCATTTCCGCAGTTCTTTCAAATACATTGCTGAGATTGTCCACTCAAATGATGGTTTGAGAGTGTGGTTGAATGAGACTAAAACGTTTGAATTTCGAGAATTCTACTTTCTACAAAAGAGAAACGAAAAAGAAACGCTGATAGCACTGTTTTTGGATCGCAAATTGTGTGGAAGCAAGCCAAGAATTGATGTGAATGTGATATTTATACCGAGATTCGATCATTCACCTTGATTCGCTTTGGCACAAAAGAGAGTAAAACCCAAAAGCCCTGATAAACAAGAAATTGAATGCCAAAAAGTGAAGGTGACAAAATTTGAGTACGAAAATATGTATTCAGCATTTGTTTTTACAGCAAAAAAGATCAAAATTTGGTAACTTTACGCTAAAAGTGCATGCTTTAAGGGTTTTTGCATATTATTGCTGAGTGTTTTCTTTCAGAGCTGAGTGTTCAGGTGCATCAAAAGTTTATTACGGAAGAATATATCATAAATTAGCTTCAGGTGGATCTCTTGCACACGGCGTTGATCATCTTGGTGGCACACTCAAAAGTATTCCACTTCTTGAAATTCGCCGCAACCCAATGGTAAGCAGTTGTAGCAACCATTCATGAGTACATCTGAAGAACTGGATTTATCAGAATAATCGAATACCTACTCCCAAACAGATCCGTTGATCAGTCTTCTCGCCATCGCGTCCCCACGTTGAATAGTCAAATGGAGTCCCGTCTGACGAAGTCCATATATATGTTGTATCCGATTTGGATTGAACTCACCACTTGGAAATCTTTGTTTCTTTCCCCCCTTTTTATGGAGCAATTATATCAGCTAACTGTTATCAATGCGAACTGATTCATTCCACTGTTTACGCCAAATTTGCGGCCATTGTCATTGTTGTCTAGAGCTTTTCGAGTTTCTGGCTGCTTATCGAATAGCTTAATTTGAAGGTAAACAGTTACGATACTTGTTGTTTGTACATTGCCCAAAGTTTCGTCATATGATTCAACAGTACAATCCCATTATGTCTTCGGTGAAGCTTTTCTCAACTTCAAAAACTTCAAAAATGAACTATCATGAAGCCAACTTGCTAAAGCGATACACTCTTTCAATCGAAAACACGAGAGTCACGCTTTATCACGAAGACGAACGACGGAAAGCCGGCAGCGAACCAGAAAGGCAACGAGTAATTCAACAAGAAGAACTCTTGAACATTTTTTATAAAACGCATGTTAAACTTGGACATGCAAGGATATGCGTGATGTGGAAAGGACTCAGAGGATTTTATGGTATTTCAAAGTGTTTAATTGGCTGTGCTTTTGCTTTACCTTCTTTTAGAGAAATAATTGCTCTATTCGTCAATCTCTGCGAAGAATGCGAAATGAAGCGTCAAAATCCAAAGAGAACAGTCGTGGTGAAACCAATACAGATCCAAAGACAGAATGAAAGGTGTCAAATCGATCTCGTTGATGTTCCCGATCGAACGACTTCTTTTCGTGCTGCCGTTGGTGGATCTTCGGTTCACGGGAAGCAAGGTAGTTTTAAATTTTATTTGGTTGACTGATGGGCACGTATAGGCCACAGACACTGCTTATTTACTGGTGGATGTTCGTCAAACCGATGTGGCTGCAAAAAAAGTGGTCTCCTTTGCAATTCCAGATACCATCACAGCCTTAGTTGCAAGATCAAATTGTTGTTTTTTACATGTTTTTCTTTACATTCTCACAATTACATTTTGTTTAGTTACATTGTTTTTATCGTTTAAGGTGTAGTTTCATCAATTTGCTTACTTAACCAGTTATTTTATTGTTTATGATTATTTTCATTTACGATAAAGTTGCCGCTAATTAAATAAAGGATTTTGAATTGAATTCACATTAAAATACAGGAAAGCCTTTTTTGGGCAAAGGTGGTGCTAACGGACGGTTCTAGGTTGCCAGAGTTAAACCTCTATACAATTTCTAGAAAATGATTAAAAACCTTCTAAAAACATGACACCCTACCGTGAAATAATGTTTCAATCCAAATCAGATATCCGATTTGGATCGAAATCCAAATTGGATATTCGCGGTGAGTTCAATCCAAATCGGATAAAAATCCAAATAGGATACAACATATATAATTTTTGAAGGGTTTTTGAGTTTCTGGCACACCATTTTCGTCAAGCTTATAATGCTCGGTTGTGCCCTTAGTAGTTAGGGCTAATTTCAAAAGGTATTGGCGAAACTATGAGTATCTCTAGTAAGATACAGGACTTTTGATTGAGAAGACCACCAAATTCATTAAGCTGTGAAGAAGTTGAGAAAAGCTTCACCGAAGACATAATGGGATTGTACTGTTGAGTCATATGATGAAACTTTGGGCAATGTACAAACAACAAGTATCGTAACTGTTTACCTTTAAATCTAGCTCTTCGAGAAGCAGCCAGAAACTCGAAAAGCTCTAGACAACAATGATAATGACGTAAATTTGGCGTAAACAGTTAAATAAATCAGTTTGCATTGATAACAGTTAGCTAATATAATTGCTCCATAAAAAGGGGGGAAAGAAACAAGGATTTCCAAGTACGAAATTTTCTCGAAGCATGTCAAAACGCATAAATAAACTACTTTTTTCGGCAAAGGTGGTGCTAACGGACTGTTCTAGGTTGCCAGAGTTAAACCTCTATAAAATTTCTAGAAAATGATTAAAAACCTTTTAAAAACATGAAACCCTACTGTGAAATAATGTTTCAATCCAAATCAGATATCCGATTTGGATCGAAATCCAAATTGGATATTCGCGGTGAGTTCAATCCAAATCGGATAAAAATCCAAATAGGATACAACATATATAATTTTTGAAGGGTTTTTGAGTTTCTGGCACACCATTTTCGTCAAGCTTATAATGCCCGGTTGTACCCTTAGTAGTTAGGGCTCATTTCAAAAGGTATTGGCGAAACTGTGAGTATCCCTAGTAAGATACAGGGCTTTTGATTGAGAAGACCACCAAATTCATTAAGCTGTGAAGTTGAGAAAAGCTTCACCGAAGA